TGGCAGTAATGTTATATAGAAGTGTGCTTGTGAAGCAACTCTGTGCTCAGTGGCTGCCTGGGTCTATTGTCCATGTTTTCAGCTCCTTTTGGAAATCTCTTTTTCCCTTGGAACAGTTTTTTTTGTCCTAATTTAGATCAAAGCATGCTACAAATATTGTATCTTACACGAGTGGCATGATGCTCAAACCTAAAATGGAAATCAGAAAGCATGTGAAAGTGATTGATGACATGAGACGCTGTGGATGATGTAGTAGGGGGTGTTTGTTGTGTTCAGCTGGTTTATTACTCTGCTTGTCTGTTGTCCTCATCAGACCACTTTGTGGGGATTGAAAGGGGGTGGTGAAGCGTGATATTGTGCGCCTGTTGGTGTGTGCGCGCTCTTATGAAAGCCAGGGAAATCTTGGATGATGAGAGCTGTCTACTCCAAAAGTAAATTTAAAGGGTTCAGCTAACTTAATTGATTCTCAGGCCTATTTTTGGCAAAATGTGGGGGTTAAGCAGGGTTTCATGTTGTAGCAAACGTATCGACTTACTGAGAGGACGCATGGATTAAAAGAATCCACTGGTCATGCATATTTATTGGCCAAAATGATAAATACTAGGCATGTAACTGTACACAAAAATCACAGTTTAGTTCATTTTCAGTACAGTTATAATAAGGAAAGCAAACAATTGTGTATAGTATTCACATAGATAAGTATATCAGCGTGGATTTGGAGTTGAAGATGCCATCATACACCTGCTTCAGCAAACTCACAGTCATCTAGAAAAGGCAGACAGCACTGTGAGAGTCATGTTCTTTGATTTCTCCAGTGCATTTAACACAATCCAGCCTGATTTGTTTTGTCAGAAACTCCAGAAGACTCAGGTGGAGGCCTCAACAATCACCTGGATCAAAGACTGCCTGACAAACAGACCACAGTTTGTGAGACTGAAGGGTTGTGTGTCTAACCAGGTGGTCAGGAGCACCACAGGGGGCTATACTCTCACCACTCCTTTTCACTCTGTACACCTCAGACTTCCAGTACAAAACAGACTCCTGTCATCTGCAGAAATATTCAGATGACTCTGCAGTGGTCGGGTGTATCAGAGATGGACAAGAAGCTGAGTACAGGGAACTGGTGGACCGCTTTGTGGCATGGTGTGGAAACAATCATCTCATCTTGAATGTGAACAAAACAAAGGAGATGATTGTAGATTTCAGGAGAATCCGGCACAGGTCCAACCCTATTTCCATCATGGGAGAAGAAGTGGAGGTGGTGGAGAAGTATAAATACCTTGGGGTTCACCTGGACAACAGACTGGACTGGAGATGCAACAGTGAAGCGTCTACAAGAAGGGACAGAGCAGACTGTACTTATTGAGGAAGCTGAAGTCCTTCAGTGTTTGCAGCAAGATGCTGCATATCTTCTATAAGTCTGTTGTAGAGAGCACCATCTCTTCTTCCATCATCTGCTGGGGGAGCAGCACCAGAGCAAGTGACTTAAAAAAGATCAACAAGCTCATAAAGAAGGCTGGCTCAGTTCTGGGGACTCCTCTAGAACCTTTGGAGATGATTGTTCAAAGAAGGATTCTTCATAAAATGAAGAACATTATAGACAACCCTCAGCATCCTCTTCATCAGACTGTCATACAACAACAGAGTGTCTTCAGTCAGAGGCTTCTTCAGATCTGCTGCAAGAAATCCTAAACTCTTTAATGAAACCAGGATGATGACTTGCATTTAATTTCCCTTTGGTGTGAATAAAGTATTTGAATTGAAGAATTGAATTGAATATACACTAGTAGAATCTATATATAAGTTATGGACATACGCACTCGCTTTGTTTTTTCTTTGCAAGTTATGTTACATGTGTGTAAAGCTGTTTCAAATGAATACCGGTACATGACACGAAGCCAGCTGCATATTGCTGAACAATGCTAAGTTGCTAACACAAAGTTTTTGTTGAATCCACTGTTTCAGTTGCTGTCTCTGGAGTTCACTAAGAACGTGGAAGGTTTCCAAACGGCACACTTTAGTGATCGTAGGCCGGTCTCAAGCTTTGGTTTGCCTGTGCTCTCCATGCTTGTGTACGGCATTGCTTTGTGGCGCTACCTATTAAAGGTACATGTACACGTTTGTAACAGTGCTGCTTTTGTTCTGTTTACATGCGTACCAAACCAAAAGGTTCATGCTAAGATTTTTGGAAAACTAATACTGTTACACCCCTAATAAATCACCTGTTTTAATTTGTCTTTGAATACATGTGACGATATAAGCCTGACTGGAGGGCGTGTGCAATTTTCTGACCTCGTGTCTTCCAGGCTTCAGAAAATAGTTAAAATATTCAAGAATGTTTTGAGACTTGGTTTGAAATTCTTAACTTTTGAGCTTGCCATTCAGAATGTCAGAGAAAATCCTCTATTTTTTTTGTCTACAAAAGTATTTTCCCATCAGTATATGTACAGCATTTTGGGTTTTAAACTGTACGTTTCATCTCAGAATGGAAAAAAAAAAGTTAATGTTCACAAAGTTCAAAGTAATTTTTAGCTTAGTTAAGAAAACCGTCTCCGTGTTAAGTCATCTTGTGGTTGGAATGGATCCGCAGTGTTGACAGAAACAGATTTTTGATTTGCATTGAGGAGCAGCTGTACTTGTGTCAGTCTTCTCTGTGCTTGTGTTTAAAGTCTTTGTTAGAACAGAGTGCAAACAGACACCTGGCTGTGTGGGGTCTAATAAGCAGCTGGAGACACTGTCTTAACCAGGCAGAGAAAATGAGATGATGGCATACGTTACAGATGAGTCATTAAACAGGAGCTGAAGGAACTAAAACCGCAGCCTTGTAAATCCCACTTTTGCTCAAAGGACTTTTTTTTTTTTTCTAAATTTGCACAGTCCTTTTGGTAAAAGACAGCACATTTTATTTTTAACATATCTTCATTTTATCAGGTACCGCTGGCTGATTATTATAGCCTAAAAAATTGTGTCCTCTTTGACTTTTCCATATTTTAAAATATATTCAACAATGATCGTGTAGGCTTGTAATGTTTAGGTAATAAATCTTTTTGAGGCAATGTTTTAAACTATGCCAAATTATGCTCTAAACTATACTGTAAATAAAAAATACATGATTCTGCTGCAAAAATGACTTTTTGCCCTCTCTATTACTGTTCAATTCATAAGATGTTCTGATCCAAGGACAACATCCATCCATCCATTCATTCATTCTCTTTATCATTTTATTTTTTGCTCTTCATTCAGGGTTGCGGGGGTGCTAGTGCCTATCCCCAGTGATCATTGCTTGAGAGTGGGGTACACCCTGGACAGGTCCCAAATCCATAATGTCCAAGGCAGGAGTTTGTCTTCAGATTTTTACATAATCATCTTGATATAATCAGATTAGATTCATCAAGCCTCATTTACAAGTATAGTTGACTATCATCTGCATAGAGAAGAATACTTGTGCTTTATATTACCTCATAGAAGTGCATACTGTACAAAGTTTACTATCTTTGTCCAAGAACTGAACCCTTTAGACTCCATACTAACTCTGGTCCAAGAAGTTTCATGAGTTGCTTTAAATGGATGGTCTGGCCATTTTTAAAGTGAGGTTTTGTCAAATACTTTAGTCACAGAACTGAGTATGAAGAAAATGGGAAACACTTTCCACTAGGCTAATGGCTAGCTAAATGAGAGTATATTGTTTTTCAGGCTTTTAAAACTACTCTTTTTCAAAAATATCATACTGCTGTAAAACAAATAAATAAAACCACTACATTAGCAGATATTAAACCTCTACAGTTTTGCGTGACACAATTTATTTAGTTTGTAGCAGTTTTTTTTTTAACCGAACAGTGACCATGTTTCAAAACAAATGTACAGTCCGTGGGCTGAGCACTGCAGACTGTGTGAATATCAGTATCCCGATGCTTAATGTGGGTTGTTTTATAAAAATCATTATAAAATGCCTCCTCATTTGGCTGAGCATTAGCTTAGCTTAATTTCTGCCCTTTTTTAAAAACACCATTTTTGTTCTTATTTAAACAGCATTAGGTTTCAGTAAATGAAAGCCACGGTGTGCTTTTGTTTTCAGAGAGTCCAGGAGGCCTGATATGTCTCATTAATATGGGGAGCAGAGCAGGGAAAAGTGGCACTGGATTTGGCCCGCTTGAGCAGACACACTTAATAAAGTCACTTAAACTAATTTCCTAAAAGCCCCTAGCATCCCAAAAGACTCCTTCATTTATCTCAGTGCTACAGTGGTGCATTGTCTCCACTGGCCTTCTAGTGTGGTTACAGTCTGGTCTCAGTGTTTTGAGAGGAATCCGTGTCTAAACATGTTTGTTTCATGCTTGGATGTTTACATCACTGAAACACTGTCCTGCGTGTATCGCACCTGAGATTCCTACTGCTGCTGTCTGACAACGGTTGCACTGATCGCGTTAATAACCTGTAGCACAATTGCTAATGAGGGAGCTCGGGTCTATTTATAGCTTTGTCTTGAATAATGTATGACGTGGAGTCAAGAGTGGAGATGGCACAAACACACAAACTGTATCGAACACATGGACCCAAGCAACTGTTTGTATGAGAAGAAATGCTAAAGAGCTGCACTCTTGATGTTACTTAGTCGCATTGCAGGAACGCTTGAAACAAAAGCCCTTTCATAAATCCCTTGAACCAAATCGGCACAGAAATATGTTCCTTATTTGGCTGCCACTGCTATACAGTAGCAGCTCTGGACCTATTGGTTAAACTAGTGTCCTTCATGCAACTTCTCCAACTTTACACAATCATCATGGGTCAACTTTGACACTTTCTTGTGCACTTTATGTCAGTTGAAGTAATAAAGGCCCTTTACTTCTGGATTAAACTCCTTATTTAACCATTATTGTACATGTATAAACATATACTGGAGTATACAGTAGTCAAACAGAAGGATTGCCAGATTTGTTAAAAAGTCCCCTCGAACATTTGTGTTGTTGTCTCAGTATCTTCCTCTTTCTTTGTCTGTTCAGGCTCTGGATGTGGATCGCAGTGTCCTCTACAAGATGAAGAAGTCAGTCAAGGCCATCTACGCGTCTGGTCTTGGTACGTTGTCATGTCTGATCCCGCTTTCAGGTCATTTCTTTGTCACATCTACTTTTTTTTTTTTTTTTTTTTTTTTTTAACAGAAGCCAGTCTTTTTCCCCACCCATGGACTTTTTAGCTTATTATTTTAAAACAAAACGGTGAAAGTCATTTTACTCCAGCTGGTATTTTATTTATTTAGTTCAGTACATCTGTAACACTTAAAGTGAAGGGAGAAAACCAGACTTTTCTCTTTCGGGGTGTGTGTGCATCATTTCGGCGGTCTTTGTGGCTGCCTGTGCCGGTGTTGGGTGTTTGCTGGTGTCTTTTGTTTTGCTGCCTGAAAGAACCCCGCAGAGAGAGGAGAGAGCCCTCTGAACAATGTGCTGAGCGGCTCTGTTTTTAAAACAGTGGGCGCTCTGTTCGGGACACAGGGACAGCTGTCTGATTCAGACCCCCAAAAGGAACAGCTGGGGAAGGGGGGGACACTCTGCGCTTGTGTGCGGGTGCTGAAGCATGGAGAGACGCATGTTCACGCACTTTGCTCTACCTTTAGCTGCGTGTTTACACATACACGTGTTTGCTAGACTCAAAATTAAACCAAATGTAAAATAAATTTGAATTTGTGCACCACTATACGTCAGTTGACGTTGAGTACATTAAAGAAAATGTGTGCAGGCAGACCCCCTTTCTGCCCCGATGCATGAATCCACTCTGGATTTCCACTGGTGTTTATCGGTGTTTACAGTAAAAACAATTCTCTGTTTGTGGAAAAGCCTCTGAGAACTTTTGGTGTTTTCTTCTTACCAAGGTCACCTGTTATTACCAGCCGTCACAGAAAAGCTGCCCAGATACAGATCTGTTTTGAATACAACCACACTGAGGACAATGCTGTCTTTTTTTTTTCATCTCTTATATTTCTAGCCCATGGGTGGGCAACAATTATTTTGCCCCTAGAGGGTCATTTTGACTTGACTTGGTACGTTGGAAGGCCATACCTTGAAACAAGAGTACATTATCTGGATCTATCATATATAACATCACATCGTCTGCAAAAAAACCACTCTCAGAACTAAAGGCTCGCTCTGTTTTGCTTGTATGGCTACGTATAGCTAACGTTTGTTGCACATTTTAGGTTGATTGCTCTGGCAGATATGAAAAGACCTTTTTAGGAGCTTTTTTTTTTCCGTTATTACCAACTTGTAACATAGGTGGCACGCTTGCGTAAAAACTGGTAAATGTTCTTACTATAGTGAACTAAAACATGTAAGAGTTTGTTGAGATATCAGCTCTGTTTGAAAAAAGCTTCATTTTAGAAGCATCCGTCTTGTTAAAAAACTTGGAAAAGAAAAGTTACATTGGTTAAAAACATAAATGGCACTCTTTGGTGAAAAGCTAGTTTAAACTGTAAGTCATCTTAGCTTCCCTTTATATTTTTAATAACGTTTTGTATTGTAATATTTTTGTTCTTGTTTGACATGAATGGCCAGATTGACATGATCAAGAGCAGCTTCTGACTCCTCCGATGTATTTTACCCTTGTGTGCTTTACACCATGAGACGCTTGGATGCTCAATGCAATAATATTGTTATTGCGATAACATTAATTGCAATAAACCCACCTCTTTGTTTTTGCTTTATCTGAGTCACATTATATTGATCAAATGTTTGCTGAAGTTTAAGCAGTCTTTTGTAATGCTGATCTTGCACACATCAATATTGCCATAACAATACTATTTCACTGTAAATACTATTTCACTGTAATGTGCAGCCTTCTTATGCTGACTTTACTGAATTCAGTGTTTGTGTTAACCAAGCATTAACTAAATAGGTAATTATGTTGCAGCTTTGTTTGTTTGTCATTGTCTCAGTTTACTGTTTATGGTTTATGGTTCATGTTTTATTTGATGTTTTTATGCGCTCAGTTTGCTGCAGAGAGGAGCTGCTTTCTTATATCGTTGATGTGCCAGCAGTAAGTGACACAAAGGCAGGCAAGCAGGCATTTACAAGAACAGAAACCAAAAACTTATTTCATCCTGTTTTATTGTCCATAAATCTTTAATTTTGCAGCAAAGTAGATTCACCCTGTAGACAAAATACCATTTCCCCTTCCCCCCTGAAATAACTGTGAAAGAAGTACTTGTGCTCCAAAATGGCAGAGTAGAAATCCGGTGCAGTTTTGGGAAAAAAAGGTTAACTTTCAATAAGTTTTCTTTTCCAAACTACTCAAAACCAACTAGTTTCTGTTTTATATTCAATCCACTGTTTGAATTTAATGGCTACAGTAAAGATTGTTTAATTTATTCGAATGGCAAAGTATTAAAAAAAGTTCACATCAGTAAGTGACGTTAAAAAATGTTTAGTTTTCAAATGTGCAGGTGGGATCCGAAAAGACAATGGCTTCAGTTTACAGTAAAAGGATAATCACAAATACTTCTGAAGATGCATGCATGCAGGTAAAATTTACTATATCAGAGAATTTCGTTAAAGCGGCGCATAATGTGTATTAAAAACTTGCAGAAACATTGATTCAAAGATGTCGGAGCTGCTTTAATTTAAATTCAGACTCTACTATCTCGATGTTTAGAAAAACAGGTTAAAAGTTTTCATGTTGCTCCTCTGAGGGCTTAAATACCGATACACAACAGGACGTATGAACACTGTCCCTTGGTGCTCGGAGTACATGACTGCTGTGAGAGTGAACGTCTAAAACTGAGCAGGAATATTTTCAGCTACGAGGAATAGTAATGAGGAGGGGATGTTGGATGTTTGGTTACAGAACTGAGTGGAAATCAACTACAATGCAAGAAGCTGAGCAAGCAGTGTGCACATCTATCAGAGGAGAGGGAAACAAGTGAAAGTAAACCGTACAGAGGTGGGAGAGTTGCAGAGGAAGCATATAAATGAAGGAGGAAGCCTTGTGTTGCTGCAGGCGCTTGTCAGGGTGTCAGCTCGGTGAGGTGGATGAATAAACCAGCAGCCGGAGCTGACTGAGCTGCAGGTGTAGATGATGGTGTCAACGCTGTCCATCAAGGTCACTGCTGGAGACACACACATGCATTACTGTACTAAAATCTTAGTATAATAAAGTCTATTATTACCTGAGATGGGTTTATGGAGTAAACACCCAGGGACAGAACTTCATTGAGGTTCATACTCCAAATGAAGGATGCAGTAGTGACGGGTCCAACAAAAGACAGGCTGCTCAAAAATATCCTTTTTGTCACTCTTATGATAGACTGCAGCAGTCCCTGCAGCTTACTGCACCCATGCGGAGACATTCCTGCATCTTGACACCTTGTACATGTACTGCATTTTTCAGAATATAAATCAAGGTTTTTTTGCATAATTTGCATGCCCTGTGATTTATATCCCAAAACAACGTATTTATGGATTATTTCCCATATTTATAAACTTATTTTTGAGTGAGAAATGACAGTTTTCATTCATTCTGACTGAAAATATTGAGCACTACCATTTTCAGCTGCTAGATGGCACTCGAGTAGTATGGCATGCCGTTGTATCATGTAACCTGCCTAAATAAAGGTTGAATAGGTAAAAGTGGCTATTAATGACATAATCGGCTTGCCATAGCTGCCACGTTCGTCCAGCTCGCCTGGAGCAACAGTCGACTCAGCTTCATTCAGCTGCGCCACCCCGGTGAAACGCAGCTAATTTGACCACTGAAGTGCATTTATTAAGTAAAAGTTCACCTGAGACACACCTTTACTATAATGTCAAGCAAACAAATAATTGTTTTAGGTGCTTATCTTGTTAAATTTTGAAGAAATGCGCAGCATTCCTTCTTCCTGATTTCCTCCCTCAGAGCGCGCTCCCGGAGCACCGAGGCAGCTTTTTCTTTTGAAAATGCAGCCGATTTGACCGTCAAAGTGCATTTATTAAGGAAAAGTTAAACTGAGACACACCTTTGCTATAATTTCGAGCAAACAAATAATTGTTTCAAAGTGTTAATCTTGTTAAATTCTTGTTAAAGTCCTCCTGTGCACTCGGCCGCCATTTGGCAGCCAATCGATTTTTGGCACAACACCGGCCCACATTTCCGGGGTTGTCAGTGGTGAAGCGTAACAAACAAGAAGCATCTTGCGACTTATACGGTGAAGCGACGTATTTATGGATTTTTCCACTTTATTAGACATATTTGGACTGATGCGACTTATAGGGCGGTGCAATGTGTACGGCGGAAAATACGGTAATGCTCCACAGCACATCCTGATCAAATAAAAACTTTCTTTTCTGTTTAATACCCAACAGCCTCAGTTGTGCTGAAATAAACACTTCTTTTGCTAATTATGAAACACAGATTGTCATAAGGTTCAATCCAACTGAAGTTGGAATCGATGTGAACAAGACAGATTTCACTGTGGAAACATAGATTATGATCTGCTGCTGCACAACTAGTCCTTTAATTATGTTTTTTTTTCCCACTTCTGAATGTCTTTCTCACGCCTTCTCTCTTTGTGTGCTTTGAATAGAAGGAACGCTCCCGTCTCTCAGAGCTCGTGGCCATATTGTGAGGTGGACACGGAGTCCGGTGTTGTTTTCACATCGTCTGCTGAGAGATATGGAATAAATCTGAGGTCACACATTGTGTTGGTGTGTGTCAGCAGAACTGGCCTCGCAGATCTGTGTGAGACGGAGTGAGTGTGGGAGAGGAGGAAGCAGCAGCCAGTCTGTTGTCTGATGATTAAAGTGTGTGCGTGCGGGAAACTTATTGGATGTTAGATAATCCTCAGGCAGATGCCTGGAAACTTCCTTTTGTCCTCTTTTGCAATTGTTTGCTTGTTTGTAAAATAAGATACAGTATTTGGTAGTAGTACGCCATATATAGTAAACGGTGTTGCTCACGATGCTCATTTGTCTTTACTTCACATAGTGTTCCTGGACAAAGGCAAGCTCTTTTCTTGGTTTATTTGCAGTTTGCCTTTGTGTTCACGTCTGCCTTTTAGCAAAACAGCTTATGAACCATCAAATGGATTTCAGGGAAACCTTTCAAAAGTAATCATTAGTTGTACAACTGACTGAATTTTGGAGTCAGCCTAATTAAAGATGGCCGACACAAAATTACCATTATTTTTTAGAAAAATAATAGTTTACTTTCTGGTTGTGAATTAACATTAAGATTCATGTACATGTATAACATCAACCAATTAAGCCGGTCCAGAGTTATCGCAATTACCATACTTGCTGCCGTACATTTCACACCACTGTATAAGTTGCATCAGTCCAAATATGTCTAATAAAGTGGAAAAAACATAAATAAGTCACTTTGCCATATGTAAGTCGCATCTATTATGCATCACCGCGGACCACCCGGAAATGTGGGCCGGTGTGCCAAAAATCGATTGGCTGCCAAATGGCGGGTGTGTGCACGGGAGGACTTTAATAAGAATTTAACAAGATTAACGCTCAAAAACAATTATTTGTTTGCTCGAAATTATAACAAAGGTGTGTCTCAATTGAACTTTTCCTTAATAAATTCATTTTAATGGTCAAATCAGCTGCATTTCGACTGGGCAGCGCGGCGACATGCAGCTGATTTGACGTTTGCTCCATGAGTTCTGGAGCAAGACGAAGGTGGTCCGGCCCGTATGGCAAGCCCAGTGTCTCATTAATAGCCACTTTTACCTATTAGTGAGACACTTGGCTTGCTATATTAGTCGAGGGCCCTCCAGTGTAGGAAAATGGTAGTGTTCAATATTTTCCATGTCAGAATGAATGAAATCGTCAGATCTCAGCCAAAAATTGGTGATAAATATGGGGAAATGACATGTATTAATCGCTTCGGTGTATAAGTCGCAGGACTTGTAAATTTATGCAAAAGGATGTGACTTATACAGCGAAAAAACGATAGTAAAAATACATGGAATTACTAGTTAGTTGGTGCAATAACATTATTTTGTATTCAATCGTCAAATAAGAGCTCATTTTTCCTCAAATTAAAAAGTCGAGGAGGGCATCGTTCCTGCTTCCGAACATCATATTTATGAAGCTTTTTAGATAACATTTACAATTCAGCACCAAATTTATTTACTGTTAAACTTAAATTAAAAAAAGTTTTGCTTTTAGTTACTTTTTAATGTCACATAAATCACGCTGAGGTTCAAGCCTGCACTAAAGTCTGCATGCTTATTGTGTTTAGGTCAGGTTGCAACAGTTAAACTTGTAGTTACTTGGCAGCCCTGAGGGGATTTGTGCTTGATGTCAGAGCTCTCGTGTGCCACACCAGAAACGATAACAACAAGCTGTCGTTTTGTTGGCTCTGAGCCTGGCAGAGCCACAGCCCGTGACAGTGACTGAAGTTTATTGCGTCTCTCTTTGACGCATCTCACTCAGTCTTTTCTTTGAGTGATGCTGACGCATAATAGAGTAACGGAGTGGAATATATGGCATGCCACCTTTTCTGTGTAGGTTCTTTTGAAGCTGCTATCAGTTTTCTGGGTGCCCAAGTTTAAAAATATCTAACTCGGAGATGAATTTAGGATTGAAAAATAAAAGCACCCCCATTTCCAAGCTCAAAGAGTTTATTTGCCCCTATACCCCGCCATTTATTACAGCACACTGAAAGATGTTTGTACCGACCTTATTATTCTTTGGCTTTTTGTTTTGTCATCTTTAAACTTCATTACAGAAGTTTTATAGTTAACTTAACTAAAAAGGAAATATGCTAATATTGCTAAACTCTTCCTTTATATAAAATCTTACCTTGCCTCCTACAGCATATAAAATATCTCTGAAGACGGGCTTTAAACGAGGGCTTTACCGTAATTCTGTTTGTTGACATCAAAGACATTTCTTGACTTGAAGAAACTATGAATTGGCTTGTTTTATTAGAGTGGTTTGTCATTTTTAATAATTCTAATGTAAAGTATTGATGCTTTTTAAGATGTTATTTTGTGTCTCCAGTTTTGTAAAGAAGCCTAACGGCTGCATCAAGCAGTATTTTGTGGCTTAAACTAGACCTGCGTCATACTCGAATGCCTGTAGAGGCTTTTTTCTTTAACTTTTTAATAACCTGATTGATGTCGGTGTTGCAACACGAGCTGGAGGAGCTTCATCTATAAACTTGAACTTGTCTGGCTGCTCTTTTATTGGTGTTTGTCGTTAAAAAGCTGGGAATCTGAGTCATGTTGTGGCTGCAGGTGTGTTTTCAGTTATTCCCTTCTTTCTCCATTTTTATTTTTATTTTTAACCCCACACCATCTCCATCTTTGCCGCTGCTTTCTGAGTTTGTCGTCATAGCAACAGTCCCCCTGGCGCTCCTGCCTCTGTCTCGCTTATGTCCCTGTGGTATTAGTTGTTATCAGCTGCCCAGTCTGGCATAAAGTGCATTAGCTGGAATCACCTAAGCCTGACCTTGAGGTAGACTGGGACACGTTCAGTCAAGGGTTTACCATCATTTAAAGGATTACAGATATTCAGATTTATAAAGCATAAATCTAAACAATCAACAAAATAATGAACCTTTTAAGTAGAAGTAAATGTTTATTATCCATTCATTATTGATTCCCTGTAATTGATCCTGAAGTTCATGCAATCAAAGACGCAAAAGTCTCGGTTTGTTTCGGTGTCACGGCTAATCTGTGTGTGTGTGTGTGTTTTTCAGCCCATGTAGAGAACGAGGAGCAGTACACTCAGGCCCTGGAGAAGTTCGGTGAAAACTGCGTGTATAGAGACGATCCTGATCTGGGTTCAGCCTTCCTCAAGTTCTCCGTCTTCACCAAGGAGCTCACTGCACTTTTTAAAAACCTTGTAAGTCTTTATCCTGCCTGTGTAGGTGCGTGGGTTGGAGGTAGCTGGGAGAAATCCTCAGGGGTAGATCTGGACTTCAGTGCCTTTGTCTTTTTTCCTCCCCCTGAGTCACTAGTGTGTTCTCTAACGCTCACAAGTCTGAGCACATACCAGGTCCAGCTGCAGCTCTAAGCCCCGAGGAGGTAATTCTTGTTTTTCCACTGATGTGGCCAAAGAGAAGGTTCAAGACCCAATATCTGATTAGTCAGATTCAGCTGCTCTGATAGAACCAAGTGTCGTGCTTTACAAGCTCACACTGAGAACTCGAGCAGGATTTTTGAATTGGTCTCATCAACTTGCATCTTGTGTGATTGACCCTGCAGTGCCAGCTTCATTAATGAATGTGCACATCTGTATGGGCTCAAAGACAGGCTCGTCTTTGCAATCATGTGAAGTTATGAGAAAGAGCCTAAAGTGGCAACTGATTCCTCTGACCTAAATAATAAAATATTTGCCTCTCATCATTGTCCACATTTACCCATCACCATATTTTGCCCTTTAATGACAAAAGTTAAGGCTGTTCAAATTATTTTTAATCTAATCTAATCTTTTTGTTTCACTTGTCCCTCATCCAGTTCCAAAACATGAACAACATCATCACCTTCCCTCTGGACAGCTTACTGAAAGGAGACCTGAAAGGGGTCAAAGGGGTAAGGACGCTAACAATCTTGTTCCTCTGTTGCTGCAATAAACGGGAAACTTTGCATCTTTCAAAAACTAAAAATAAATGTTTTAATAGAAAACATAATTGACGCATACCTGCTGAACATCTGATTGATGCAGAAAGCCTTTTTTAGATTTCAAATCTGGCTCAATCACATACTGATGAGAAGCTGTTTGAGCTCTGCAAGCTAGATAATATGTGCTTTTATCTGTTTTCATAAAAAGTCACAGAGGAGAGAAGAAGTCATGTCAGATTCTTGTATATTAAAATCTAATGTGAAGAAAATAATCATTAATTTAGCTTTAACTGGTGAATATTAGCACATTTCCTGCACTTGCACATTATAATATAAGTTATAAGGCATGTATTGTCACTATGCAGTGTTTTTACATAGCGTGTCATCATCTATAAAATAATTTATTAATATAACAGTTTAGTTTTTTTCCTGAAGGAAGCATGGTGAGGAAAAAAAACGTGGCGAGAAACCCAGTAAGCCACAGCTGGACTTCCCTGATAGCAAACGCAAACTTTCTGGTTTGAGACTAAGAAAATATGTGCAGTGGTCAGAACGGACAGGGAGATGAAAAAAACTTTAAACCTTATCTTCTGCATGTTCACCTGGTTCGTACTGTCTCCAGGCAGATCTTGTTACTCGTTACATTTTTCTTGGCCCGAGTTGAGCAAAAACACTGCGGCCATGTGAGCTTCAAAAAGCACGGTGGATTTTTTTTTAATTTTTTTATCTTCAATAACTTCTCACTCATTCCTGGAAGGAAAACAAAAATTGATAACCTCTATCTTTAGTAGGCAGTTTAAGATTTTAAGAAGCCATTTATAAACTAAAAACTTCAACGCGCTTGCCAGCAGAGCCGGTAGAGAAGAACCAGCAGTCGTTACTGTCCACGGCCGTTTGTGACCTTTCACTCTAAAGCCACATGATTGGCTGTGAAGTTTGATGCGATTAAAGTAAGTGGTCTAATCAGGCTGGTTGCCATGGATGCGTCAGTCGTCCTCATGACCCCCGGCCACTTGGCTGCACTTCCACCCAATCAGCCGTTGTCCCCCTGTCTCTCACACACATCAGTTTTCTTTCCCGTCACCATCTACTTTGCTCATTCGTTAGTTCCTGTCTTTGTCTTCTTGTCTCTGATTAACTCCACAACGATTTCTCTCCCTCTCCGTATATATTTTTTTTATGCTTCGCTTTTTATTTCCGTCCTTCACTCCCCTGTCCAGTCATGTAGCTGTAATTCTTAGCCACTTATTCCTCATTAGCCCTCAGATGATTCTCATTAGTCCACTGATATAAACTGCTGACTGTGCTGTCCTTTATGCACACACACACACACACACACACACACACACACACACACACACACACACACACACACACGCCACTGAAAAGGTTCCTGTCGATGCATTGTAACCAAATACAGGAAACGATGGTGTCAAAATAAGTGCATTCAAAAAGAAACAGACGTTTTGCGTCCCGTGTAGGGAGATTTTGCAGTTCAAAATAAGAGTATGGATTTCCAAGTTTAAAAGAAATTTATTAAGTTAACGTTAAGTTAATTCCTGCTTGACAAAATAAGTAAAGTAGGGATGAAGTAGGGATGAACGTGATGGGCTGGGATTCCCTCCTAACCTTTAAAAGCGTGTTCAGCTCCACAGCCTGAAGGCTTTCTCTCATCTCTCCTTTCCTCTTCATCAACTTTATCATCTGCTATCATTATCCCCCTCCTTCATTGCTGTCATGTCTCTCTGAAAGTGCTTGTTAAGAGAGGGGGCAAGCAGGAAAGAGTCCAGACTCGCACGACAGACTATTTAGACTGCAGTGAGACGAGGGAGGACAGTACCATTTGGTAAAAGGCTGAAGGGGGTGTTGGTAAAGATCAAAGACATCTATATAGAGACAAATTAAGTTTGGTGTCACATAAGAGGAAGTTTTTTGGAAATATCAGTCTTGGTTTGAAACTATTTAGTGAGTACTTCAGATATATCAAGGGAAATACTCTTACTATATGAGCTTGGAGAAGAAGAAACCCAACAAACTCTTCAGTCTATTTCCCATTTGTTTGTTTTTTAAAGCACTGCCAGCCCAATAATGGAAGCAGACACTAAAACAATAAAGTACAAATAAAATTTTTATTTTTTATTTGGCCTATATTAGTAATAGTTGGTAAATCCAACAATGCTCAGTCAGGTCATCTGGACGGTTTCTTTTTTTTTTTTTGAGAAGTTTTGTCTTTCATCCATAGGACTTCATCAATCGGAGGAGCCACAAACAAACTGTGTCCCTCATGCAGCACACTTATTATTGAGCACGAGCCTTGATGTTTTGAACCACTCTGTCTGTGGGTGCCTGCGAGGAGTTGACGGGGGAGAGGGCGGCCCCCAGAAACCATCTTATCACCAGCAAACTGGTTGGTCCCTATGGGAGTGTGTTGCGTGCGGGACACTGTCTGTTTGTGGCTCCTCAGATTGATGAAGTCCTTTGGATGGAAGACAAAACATCTCTCAACAAAAAACAAAAAGAAACTGTCCAGATGACCTGACTGAACATTGTTGGATTTGCACCTGGATTACTGAGCATGAACCTTAAATAGTTTGTAAAGGTATCTTTTAAAAACTCAAGATGGAAGTAGGGACCCGTTAAAACTGTGACTAAATATGAAGTTACTTCAACAGTTGGATCTGTGGATCTGTGTTTTACTAATACAGTTAAAATTTACATTTTGTTTAGTTTCTTTTTACCCAAGCTTATCATTTAGACTAATGAAATTATAAATGGAGGGAGTAAAATGTCTTCTTTGTTATTTAGTCAGTATGTTTATGAATAGAGTCCTATAAATATTGCCCAACAGCAATATACATTTACAACTTCATTTTTAATAACTCACCATAAAATTTATACTTATCTGAATGCTTTATTTATTTGGTTTGCAAGTTCAACTAGCTAGCTAACAAACTAGCTGAATAACTTGTGAGTATTCACTATAGATGACCTCTTGAAGGTTTCAGTAAAGGCAGGACAAACTCATTCCAGAGTAACTGGAAAGCACCGAGTCCACCGAACTGTTCAGCTAAGCGTGAACTTCCTGAGCAGGCACTGGCATGACGTCATGTTGATCCTCTGTCTGTGATTTTAGCACACCGTGAGTCATATCAGCTCATCACTGTTCAGTCACAGTGTCTGGATAGTTAAATTCATTGTATTTTTTAGAGTGTGCAGTGGAAAGTAGGGAGGTTGTGTACATTAAGGCTTTTGGACTGAGAGTGCGAGTTCAGCTCATTGTGGTTCAGCGGGTCATGAACACCCAGAAGCACCCCCGTGCACATTGAGACTTTAGAGGAGAACTGATTTCTGATTACTAAGATTTTCATTAGCTTGCTTGTTCAGCTGGGAACAAAAATGTCAGCAGGATTACTGTTTTGAAAAGTTACTGAACTATGGACTTGCTGTCAGTTTTATCACCCAGGAAGAATATTTTCTCTCTCGGCAGTGGTGGCTTTCACATATTTTTCATTCAACCTTTATTTATACAGGCTACACAATACTACAATACTTTTAGTTCCGCAGAGGCAGAGCTTAAATGGGGGGTTCCGCAGGGGTCCATACTGGGTCCCCTCCTATTCTCTTTATACCTGCTGCCGCTTGGTGCTATTTTCCGGAAACACAACATGCCCTTCCACTTCTATGCCGATGACTGTCAAATGTACTTCCCCCTAAGACACAATGGTACATGTTCTATTCAACCGCTGCTCAACTGCCTGCCAACAATGTATCTGTATACATATATACATATATATGTATGTATGTGTATGCATGTGTACATATATATGTATGTATGTGTATGCATGTGTACATATATATGTATGTATGTGTATGCATGTGTACATATATACGTAAGTATGTGTATACATATATACATATATACGTAAGTATGTGTATACATACATGCATATATATGCATGTATGTGTATACATACATGCATATATATGCATGTATGTGTATACATACATATGTATGTATATACACGCACTGTTTTTGTATGACAACCCAGTGATAAGGATGTATGAAACGCCAGCACATTGTTATAACATCTCGCGCGCCGTTGAGTTTAGATTTGTGAAAATTTACAAATTTGCACCGTTGGAGTGTTGTCATTGTGTTAGAAAGAGTAAATGTCATGAATAAATTTGAAATTAAACATAATCCCAGTTGAAGTGTTACATCATTTTCAGCCCCCTTTTGGCATCTGCATTTGGTAACAGGCCAATCTGACAAAGATCATGCTGAATAATGTAGTATTTTAATTCCACAGCAGAGAAAGAAAGCTATGTTGTCTCTGTAAGTAGATCTAGGAAAAAAAAAATGTATTGGTATTGGTAATCGTCAAAATAAGTTTTGACATATCGGCATATCGGATATCGGCCAAAAATCCAAATCTTGCATCCCTAGTAACCCTGATGGCAACAACAAACGACCAGTCAGGCAGGCATCATGTCCAAACTTAGTCAGAGCAGATGTGTTATGTGAAATATAACGACTTTTCTTGAGGTGTAGAAGTACACCAGTGCAGCAGAGAGAAAGGTGTGAGAAAATCTTTGTTGGAAATTATTATGCTTCTTAATATGTATGGTGAAATAAGTTGAGTGAGAGTATTTTATTATTTTCCCATCTTTTTGGTTCAAATGCACAGAAACAGAGGATTCTCCTGCTCTCTTGGAGTGTTTTTTACGCCGTGCCCTGCCCTGCTATGTCTGTGTGTGGTATTTTTAGCCATTGTTACCATTTTTCCTCTCTCTCTGGCTCTGACATTTCCTTCCGCTGACCCTTTCTTTTTTCCCTTTTACTCGCGGTCCAATCCTTATGTGGCTTTCTTGCTTTGACTATTTTCTTTTGTGCTGGTTAAACGAGGGCTCCTCAACGTGATGCTGACGGGTTCAGCCTGCCACTCCTCTGTAGAAGTGGTCAACAATTTCAGTTCTCTCAGAAGCTCTAACAGTGGCACTAAAAAAGCAGCATTCCAGGAGAGTTGAGAAAATGCTTTCACCTTTTACGGACAGAAATGTACAATAAAAGAGATGAGATCTGCAGCAAAATTTGCAAAGACTCATCTGATTTTCTTCAGGCAACAATATTTTGCAAATGTGTTTAATTCTTGTGACTAACTGTTGCTAATAAATATGTTTTTGTTTTTGCAACTTGGCTCTCAAAGTAGTTAACAATTATGTTGAGAACAACATAGCAAATTGCACCCAGTATCACCGGTTTTAAGTTATTTTATTAATCAACACTGCAGCAGTTGTTCAGTCAGGTGTTTGGCTCAAAGACCCCACACAGCAGCTAGAAATCACATTTTCCTTTGCTTGTGGCCTCTCCTTCTTCCCTGCTGTGCTGTAGTTTGGGGCTGCTCTGCGAAGAGGATGACTCTGCATACTGATTCACTTCAGACATCCCTGCACACACCTACGCACCAAGACAAACATTCAGACTTTTTTTACCTGGTGAACAAGCAAAAAATTATTTTTGATAAGCATTGACTTTTGACTTGATCGTGACATTTTTGCAATTGCTTTATGCATGTGCAGTCAAAATCCAAGATGGCCACCACCACCATAATTGAATGGAAAAATGAGAATGAAAAATATGAAAAATAAACAATGGGCCAACTTCGTTTTCGGCTTGTGGCTGCATCTAGGGGTAAGGTCTTTTCAAAATTGGGTTTCCATCCGTCCATCCATCCATCCGTCTGCAATCATGAGGTTGCAGGTTCGAACCCAGGTTGCATCAGGAAGGGCATTCGGCGTAAAACAAATTGCCAAATCTTTCTTGCAAGTTCGCTTGCTGCGGTGACCCCTGAAGAAGGGAGCAGCCAAAAAAAACTTGTTAAAATCCAAGATGGTCACCACATATCTTCTATCATTTTGAGGAAAATAGGCTTTCTAGTTTTTATATTGCTTAAAAGTATAGTTTCTTCAAATGATTGGGTTGGCCGATGGGATGGCCAGAGATTAACCTATGGTGGTCAAAGCCACCACTGGCCACCTCCTGGCTCCACTGTTGCACCTGGTGGTGGGTAAAATTGCCCCCTCCACTCGCCAGGATCTATCACTCTGTTCTGCCTTGGACAAGAACTTTGTTCTTCTCCACAGTGTAACTCCTACCCACTTGAATATCTCACACCAAAAACATTAAGGTTTACTTGCAATCCCTGTTCAATTCCAGTCCAGAAAAACACTCATCTCAAAAACTACAAACATTCAATAGTCAAATCTTGAAGCGATGCTTGTTTTCCTCCTAATTATAGTCTCTAGCTGTGTTCATTTTCAAACCTGGCCTGAGATTTTATTTCTCCGACATTATTGTCGTGTGAAATGATTGAAGCACAGCGGTGAGATGAAGACGATCCACTGCCGTTATGCCTCTGAGCCACAATGAGAGGTAGGCACAGAGCGGAGTTGGTGTGTAAATGAGATGTGACCGGCCATGTTGTTGTCTCTGTCCTGGTTCTGCGATGCTCATGAGACTTTGACTCAGATGTGTGAACTTCAGAAAGCAGCTTAAACAGACGATTCTTTGAAGGTATTTTGTGGAAACAATGTAAAATAACTTTTTGATTTTAATTCAGTCAGGGTTTAGAGTTTTGATGTTTGCCTCTGTATTTAGGAGCTTAAGGACATGCCTGTCATTGTGTGAAACTTCTGTCTGCCTCTTTTCAGCAGTTATTAACAAAGTTTAGTTTATCTTTGGGCCATTGGGGTTAGCCAAGCGTCATAATCTAGTACATGAATTCCCATAAATCCACAAATTGCTGCTTTGCATTCCATAAGCTGATGTAATATGTTGGATCAGCTTCAGTAGAGACTCCTGCTACTTTTGGATTCCTTATCAGCAACTTGTTTCACCTTCATACTTGCCGTCTGAACACAATGACTTCACCTGACAAAAATTAATAAAAAAGCAAGAATATTTTGCTGTTTAGAACAAATTCTTCAAAATTATAGTATCGATCTGGAAGCGAACCAACTGGGCTTTTTTTTTTTTTTACAAAGCGACTCTTTGCTTCAAATACCTTCGCAAACAAAAATACTATTTCCGAACTTCTTATTCAGTTTCAGTGACTTCACAAAGAAAACATTTATAATTCACAAAAATGTATTTTAAAGGTCATGACCAGGGGTCTGCAATCTTTATGATCAAAAGAGCCATTTCTGCCCCTTCGTTCACTAAATGAAACATAACAAAACCTGCTACAATTGTCATTTTCAACTGGTGGCCCATGGGCCACTTTAAGTTTTTTTTTTTTTTTTTTTTTTCTGACCAGTAGGCATGACAATATTAAACTAAAAACATCCAATGATTAACATTTATTGATATTTTACATTTTGAGATAAAAGAAAAGACTAGGTTCCATTCATCCATCCATCCATTAGCTTTACTCGCTTCTTCCTTTTCGAGTTGCAGGGGGTCACTGGTGCCCATATCCAGGTTGCAAGTCCAATTGCCAATTTTCTTTTAAACTAAAACGATGAACTGTGCAGGCATATGTATTTTTTTTTTTATTGTGGAGAAATTGAATATTCCACTTTGAAGAAATAAAGCATCAAGTTAAAGTGAGTATAATTTACTCTGTCACTATTTGTTGTATAACGTCCAATAAAGTTCAGTTTTATGTTAGTTTTGGTCAAAGTTTGAAAGAGCCGCAGCAGAGGGACCAGAGAGCCGCATGTGGCTCCAGAGCCACAGGTTTCAGACCCCTGGTTATGACCATAGGTTAGGTTATAAATGTGAATGGATAAAAAAGAAGCCTTATAACTGACGTTACTTTTTACCACTGAGATATAATGCAATGATAATTACCAGTGGAAATACAAACCGGATTCCAAAAAAGTTGGGACACTAAACAAATTGTGAATAAAAACTGAATGCAATGATGTGGAGGTGCCAACATCTAATATTTTATTCAGAATAGAACACAAATCACAGATCAAAAGTTTAAACTGAGAGAATGTATAATTTTAAGGGAAAAATCTGTTGTTTCCAAATTTTATGGCGTCAACAAATCCCCAAAAAGTTGGGACAAGTCCATTTTTACCACTGTGTGGCATCCCCCCTTCTTCTTACAACACTCAACAGACGTCTGGGGACAGAGGAGACCAGTTTCTCAAGTTTAGAAATAGGAATGCTCTCCCATTCATGTCTAATACAGGCCTCTAACTGTTCAATCGTCTTGGGCCTTCTTTGTCCCACCTAACTCTTTATGATGCGCCAAATGTTCTCTATAGGTGAAAGATCTGGACTGCAGGCTGGCCATTTCAGTACCCGGATCCTTCTCTTACGTAGCCATGATGTTGTGATTGCTGCAGAATGTGGTCTGGCATTATCGTGTTGAAAAATGCAGGGTCTTCCCTGAAAGAGATGACGTCTAGATGGGAGCATATGTTGTTCTAGAACCTGAACATAGTTCTCTGCATTAATGGTGCCTTTCCAGACATGCAAGCTGCCCATGCCACAAGCGCTCATGCAACCCCATACCATCAGTGATGCAGGCTTCTGAACGGAGTGTTGATAACAACTTGGGCTATCCTTGTCCTCTCTGGTCCGGATGACATGGCATCCCAGTGTTCCATAAAGAACTTCAAATCGTGACTCATCTGACCACAGAACAGTCTTCCGTTTTGCCACACTCCATTTTAAATGACCCCTGGCCCAGTGCAAACGCCTGAGCTTGTGGAGCTTGCTTAGAAATGGCTTCCTCTTTGCACTGTAGAGTTTCAGCTGGCAACGGCGGATGGCACGGTGGATTGTGTTCACTGACAATGCTTTCTGGAAGTATTCCTGAGCCCATTCTGTTATTTCCTCGACAGTGGCATTCCTGTTTGAGGTGAGTGACGTTTAAGGGCCCGGAGATCACGAGCATCCAGTAGAGTTTTACGGCCTTGACCCTTACGCACAGCAATTGTTCCAGATTCTTTGAATCTTTTGATGATGTTATGCACGTTGATGATGATAACTTAAAAGTCTTTGCTATTTTACGCTGGGTAACACCATTCTGGTATTGCTGCACTATCTTTCTGCGCAACAATGGTGGAATTGGTGATCCTCTTACCATCTTGGCTTCTGAGAGACACTGACACTCTGAGAAGCTCTTTTTATACCCAATCATGTTGTCAATTGACCTAATTAGTGTTAATTGGTCTTCCAGCTGTTCATTATATGCTCAATTTCCTTTTTCCAGCCACTTATTGCTACTTGTCCCAACTTTTTTGGGATTTGTTGACACTGAAATTTTGAATCAACGTATTTTTCCTTTAAAATGTTACATTTATTCAGATTAAACTTTTGATCTGTCATCTTTGTTATATTATGTTAGTCATTTTGGGGTTAATTAAATGACCACTGCAGAAACATATTCCTGTCTGTCGATTTTAACCTTTGCTTTCATGTATGTTCTGTCTTTGCAGGATCTAAAAAAGCCCTTCGACAAAGCCTGGAAGGACTATGAAACCAAAGTGTAAGAAACTTTATTTATCCAAACGTGTTTTATTTAAAGAATCCAGATTTTTATACAGTTGCCAATAAATGTAAAAACGAGTCATCAATAAGTTGAATTTTCCTACGTGACTGTTTAAACGAGTGTCTTTGGTATTTTAAAGCAACATAAATGTCTTGTTTTTGTCTTTCTTCACTAACTGTGCTCCCCTGTGTCTTATCTCCCCCTGTGACTGTCAACACATCCCTGATTATATGAATAACTCTGTCGCTTTCCTACCTCACTGATGAGACGTTTTCACTACATGCATGATGCATGAAGAGAGCAGACGTTTTTATAGCACTTTTATATGTTTTCCAAGCTGCAAAGGACATTCTTTACTAAAAGGGTAATGCTTCTTCCTTCCGAACCACTTAGATAAAGCAATACGAGCTTTGTCCTGAGATTTGCAGTTAGTCTTGATTTGGATTTTGATTCCCTAATTTGAGAGCTTCTTAGCCTCAGATTTTTTTCAGTTCTTCACTGGACATCGCCTCATGACGAATGCTGTGTATTCAAGAAGTGATTCATCTTTCAGTCTCCATGTTCAGTCGGACATTTCATGTTGAGTTTAAATGTGAAGTGCACAAAGAAAGGGACAGGGGTCCAATCGTTTCTTGGTGCACCAGTTCCTGAATCTCAACTCTGTCTTCTAACATCTGTCAGTGTGGCCCGCAGCCAAACAGCCTGGCCAACATGTGCCTTTCTGTTAGTGGCGGTACTGATGATGCTGGAATGCTTTCAGGATCAAATATTTCTGTGCTGACAAAGACTAAACGTCTATAAAATCAAGTTGGACACGTTCACACTGGTAAAAAAGTGTAGGATTTTTAGGCGTCTCAGTGATGTAAACACAGATATTTGTTTTTGCAACAAGGTCATTGAATAAATCACTAATTATTACAAAGCCAACATATAATTTATGTGTGACTATTAAATACACTAATCCAGATTGTTGTTACCGTAAACTTTGTTGTCCTTTATAATTACCATCCTACTCTGCAGCTTATGAGCAACTCTCTAAAGTTATGAAGCAAACACTGATGCTTTTTTGTGCTTTGTATAACAAATTGGTTTAGTTTTCCTTTTTACAGACATATTTAGATTAGATATATTACTCTTTGTTGAACTTTGGGGCATCGTTCCCATTAATGCTTTACAATTTAATGGGCACATTTAGGAAGGTATATGTGTCTACCGGTATTTAAGGTTTAAAGTTGCTGATTAGCTGAGTTTTCAGCTTGATACATGCCATTAAAATCTTCCAAAAAACATTATCACTCCACCAATCATACATTTAAGATCAAGTCAACTGAAAAGTTTTTTTTTTCTTTTTAATTATTTAAAGCTCACTTATTGAGCCACGGGGAGTTTGCCAAAATAATTAAAAAAAGCACATTCTTCTGGATTTATTAACAAAGGTTGAACCGTTAATTAAGAGCTGCTCAAAGCTTGTTTGAAGGAAACTTTCTTCTGGATTAATCTTATTAATATAGTAATATTAGTATGTGCTGAAACAGTTTAAAGATAGGCTAGATATGAGAAAGTATGCAAATGGATCTCGAGCTAAAAGCTTAGATTTCTACAAGAGAGGTGAACCAAAATTACAACCCGGGTGTCCCAATCTGGACCTGAAACCAGCAGATTAAATCTGTATGAACCTGAAGGCAGCTGCACGTTTAGTGTTTTTATTTAATTTGAATTAACTTTAACATTTCGGTTAAAAAGTTAGTTTAAACAACAACAAAAAAAACACCAAAGGTAACAAATTTGTTTTTGTTTGACCATTTTGCAGAAATTTGTGCAGATTAATGAAAGAACATGAACACTGAAACATATTCTATTTCATGGATGTTTGATCAACCCTCCTGCTGCCATATAGTCAAAATGACTTAACCTCAGTCTAACCACTGAGGCCTCGTCAGGCATTTTGACCCTAGGGCAGCAGGAGGGTTAAATATGAAGCTGGGAGATGTTTGGTCCAACTTCTAAACTCACAGATCGACTCTTTTATTTAGTTTATTCATTCTACACAAAAGCTGAACTCTAAAATCACAGAATTATTTTCCTGTGGAGGACTGAGCTGAATAGTTTCATGGCGAACATCACGTCTTTTTTCCTTTTGGTGTTTTGGTGTGATCATGATGTTCCTGAAGCCTTAATATTTGCAAACGTGCAAATATTAATGAGCTTATCTCGCCATTGTCCTGCAAATAAATGGTTACAACAACTTTTTTTATTTTGTTTGCTTACAAACATTTTTTCCAAAACTTCAGTTTTCATTTTTATTAGCAAAACTGAGCTTTGTTTTATTAATTATAGTTAAACTCTGGATGGTGGAAACAAACTGAAGCCTTGTTATTGCAGATAAATATATGCTGTTGGAAAATGCAGCATATGAAAAAATAAGGTGCTGCATGGAATGAACCCTTCTCTTTGTGCTGTGCGTTTCCTTGAGACTTTGTGTAAAAAATCAGCCTTAAATTCTCAGTCAAGCAATTTACCAATATTTAATCTTTTACTTCATTTGCTCAGAGACATTTTAGATCATTTTTAAGCTGTTAAAATTCCTTTTAATAACAAGAAACCATGAAAACTGTAAGGTTTATTTATCCGTTTGGTATTTATAAAGTCAAACCTTTAAAAGATAATTAAGAGGACGAGTTGGAGAGAACTTCAGCATTTCACTGTTTTTCTGGGCAGAAGTGTGCAAAAAAAGAATAAAAAAATTGCTGCTTTGAATTAAATTTTTATAATTTAATAAAATGCCCTTAATGTAGAATGTATTTTTATTTTTATTTTTTTTAATAAAAATGCAGATTTAGAACTTTTGCATAATGTTTGTGTTTCTATGGGGTCAGAAACAAAAACTGATTATTTGTTTTAGGATTAAATGACAAAGAGGAGGAGGTCTTAGGGCTGATTTTTAAAAAAAATATATATACACATTTGATCTCACCTTTTGATTGTTTGGAATGATTTTTCTGTCGCACTCTGAACTCTGTGGTGTTCTGATCCGTCAGGACCAAGATCGAGAAGGAGAAGAAGGAGCACGCGAGGCAGCACGGGATGATTCGGACGGAAATCAGCGGTGCGGAAATCGCTGAAGAGATGGAGAAGGAAAGAAGATTCTTCCAGCTGCAGATGTGCGAGGTCAGACAAACAAAGACGGACAATTTGAACGCAAAATAATTAAAAAGGCAAATGTTGATTGCACATTTGCGTTACCTTTTTAATGTATTACTTTGAAAACGAAGCTTTACTTAAAAAAAAAAAAGTAAACAAGATCAACATTTCTCCTGCATGGTCTTACAGGATGAAAGCGATTAGATGTGAGATGTTCAGCTGCTCTCGCTCCTGACTGAACCCTGCCTGACCCCTTTGCTCTGATCCTCTCTGTTTACAGTATCTCCTCAAAGTTAACGAGATTAAAATCAAAAAAGGAGTGGATCTGCTGCAGAACCTCATCAAGTACTTCCATGCGCAGTGCAAGTAAGATGTTATTATCTATTTGGTGTCCTCATCTCATGTGAAGTGTGCTTTTCATTGTGCACGCTACTAATTCATATTACAAACCAGTTTGAAGTTTTTTGTAGATGCTAATGCTTCCTGTTCAGTTTCTTCCAAGATGGACTAAAAGCTGTGGACAACCTGAAGCCTTCTATAGAGAAGCTGGCCACAGATCTGCACACGGTAAAGATAAAGACAGGGTCATGGCGGTTACTTTGGTTTGCATTACTTTAAACCTTTCTTATTCTTTTCCGGTTATCAGATCAAGCAGGTGCAGGACGAGGAGAGGAAGCAGCTGACTCAATTAAGAGAAGTCCTCAAGTCGACTCTTCAGGTGGAGCAGAAGGAGGTAAAACGCTGATCATTTAGCATGTTGTGACTTTTAATCCAGTCAGGAAAGATACGATTTTTACAGCACCTTTTTATTCTCTTTGTTAAAAGAAAATCGTACGCAGAAAAGCTTAATTAATATATCTATCTCTCTATACATATGCTTCTTTTTTTTCTAGTATTTTGTGTATGAGTTGGTGTTTTTCTAAAACAAACTAAATGTTTCATTTTCCTTTTTGCTGCCTTCGTATTTTGTAATAAAGCCGCGAAAAGTAAGTGGAGATGTTTGCTGTTTTCTTGTATAGTTTTAATGTTCTGGGATAAATCCTCATTTTCTTTTAAATACTTATACTTTTGTTTTCATAGCTTTGTCATGTTGTAGTGCTTTGGGTATTTAGTTTGTTCGTATCTAACTTTTATAAGACAGTCTTGTTGGTTGTTTATTTTTTATGTTTAAAAAAAAGCCCCAAGTTCTGTTTCTGAATTATTTATTGATAAAGCTGCTGTAACGCTGCAGTCAACAATAAGTATTTAAAATAATTGGATCCAGAAGTTTATGCATCCTGCCTTGTTTTTTTTATTATTATTAGGAGAAACCATTAAAGTAAACTCCATAATGTCTGTAATGAAACAGAACATTCAGACATTTAAGCTTTTGGACAACTTGGATGAAAGATTTAAAGCTTAAAATTACGATTTATTATTATTTGTTTTATGTAGTGAACTTTAGGAAAGGAGAGAAGATGCAAACTTTAATGCTAATTGAATCCTATTCCAGCCTCACTTCTGGAAGGAGAGGCTTTCTTCTATGTTTAGGTAACGCTTTGAAGGTTTTTAAACCAAGAAGGAGGTGGCATCCGTCATGATTGTAGGAGGTCTAGTTGGAGTCTGGAAGGCTCAGAAACCTCAGAACTGCTGAGAGAATTAACTGGAAAACTGACCCAGAATTTGGTGTTGATAATTTATAATTGAACATCTGTTCAAGCTTTGCCGTTTGGAAACCAGGAACTGACAAAAACCGGAAACATTGCTTCAGCAAAGATGTTTGTAGAAAGAAGGCTCCGCGGCGTGATTAAAGGAACGTCCGCCCAGCTGCTAAACGTCGAGGCGCTTCAGTCGTGCTTCAGCCACGTGTTGCAGCTCGTGCCATGAGAAATATTTCACCGTCACAAGAAGGAATGGATTCAATTAAATGCTTGTAAACTCTGCAGGCCAACGTTGTGCTGTCTGTCCAACAGCTGAACAGGAAGGATGAAAATGTGAAAGCAAGTTCAAAAATCAAAGAGGATTTAAAATCTTTAGAACCAAGAAAATGAAGAAAACTACAAACTTTTGCTTCAGCTGGTTGTTTACAAAGCATCAGCTTATAGTTCTTTTTATTTTATTAACAAAAGACTCAATAACATAAAACTAAAAGGAATTTTTATTAAAATAAAATCAATTTCAAACTCAAGAAATTGCATTTCCTGCGAAAATGCAGTGTGATGGCTTATTGCAGAAGAACTTGCTGAAATGTAGCTAAAATGGAAGGACAATACTAATTTAGCAGAAGAAATCAGAAAGGACACATATTTGCTGACTTAGGTTTAAATGAGCATAAAAATTGGGAAATGAGCTAAAAAAAGAAGCTGAACTTAGCAAAAAAATAGCTGAAAAGGCAGAAAAAAGCTAACTACCAGAAGGAGGCAGGAAATGCTGAAATGAGTTTAAAAATGTGGAATTACCTGAAAAAGTCAAAAACAGCATCAAAACAGCTAAATAGTAGCTGAAATAGCAGAAAAAGCTGAAACTAGCAGAAAAAAGCTGAAAGGAGCATAACAGCTGAAATTAGCAGAAAGAAGTTACTTAGGCTGAAAGTATCAGAAATTACCTTGAAAAACTTGAATTTATCTGAAAACAGCTAAAAGGGTAGCTAAAAATTTAGAAAAGCTTAAATTAGCAGAAGAAAACAGAACATGTTTGCCCAATTAGGCTGAAAGCAGCACAAATGAGCACAAATAGTGGAAATTATCTGAAAAATAAGCTGAAATAAGCAACAACAGCTGAAAAGTAGCTAAAAAGCAGAAAGAAGTTAAAATTACCAGAAGTGAGTGGAGAGAGCATATTTTTGCTGAATTGGACTGAAAAAAATTTGAAATGAGTGCACAAATTTTGAATTACTGTAACCAGGGGAAAAAAGCATAAAAACAGCTAAATAGTAGCTGAAATTGCAGAAAAGCTGAAACTTGCATAAATAAGCTGAAAGGAGCACAACAAGCAAAAAGTTAGAAGAAGCACAAAAATGTTTCAGATGGCAGAAATAATCTGAAAAGAGCACAAAACAGCTGAAAATAGCTGAAAAAATTTTTGAAAAAAGTTTTAATTTGCACAAAGAAGCTGAACCAGAACAAAATGTAAAAGGAGCAGTAAAACGTAAACAGATCTAAAGATTTGAAGGATGTAAAATGAGCTCAGTTCATTTCTGATGAGGAAAAAAATGGCAGAAAAGGCTAAATATTTCAAAAAGCTAAAGTTGCACTAATACCAAAAGCCATAGCAGGATTGTCCTGAAAGAGCTGAATGTTTTGATGACTTGTTGAAATAGCACAAAAATTGTGGAACGAGAAAGATGCTGAAAAAACAGAAGAAAAATGGATCACAAAGTGCTTATAAGCGTTCACACAATAAAACTTCCTCTACCTTTTCTAATTTAAACAACCAGAGCACTTGAACTCCTCTGCAGCTTCCTCTTGACTGCATGCTTGTTTGCAAAGCTAATTAGCAGCTGCTGCTTTGTAAGCTCTCTCCTCTGCATAGTTAGTTATTCCTGCTGGGGCGTGTTTTCCCAGGATCCCCAGGTGCGTCAGAGCACAACGTACAGTCTGCATCAGCCGCAGGGCAACAAGGAGCACGGCACCGAGCGGAGCGGCTTCCTGTTTAAGAAGAGTGACGGGTGAGTTTGTAGGATGCAGCTTCACACAACGGGTCTAATATGCTGAAAATGTGCTTTTATTGTGGAGCAATTAAAGGAGGCTGCAGCTACAGCCTATTTTATTCTCATAAATTAAGTAATCTGTGAATGTGGGGTGACACTGCAATCTTTTTCCATCTATTTGTTATTAAATAAGAAATTTAAATCCCTCTTACTTGTCAAATTAATAAATATTTTATCAAATGTTTCTCCTTTACGACGATCTCACCACTGTATAAAAGTGAATACAGTATATACAGGTGCTGGTCATAAAATTAGAATATCATGAAAAAGTTGATTTATTTCAGTAATTCCTTTCAAAAAGTGAAACTTGTATATTATATTCATTCATTACACACAGCCTGATATATTTCAAATGTTTATTTATTTTTATGTTGATGATTATAACTGACAACTAATGAAAACCACAAATTCAGTATCTCGGAAAATTAGAATATTGTGAAAAGGTTCAATCTTGAAGACAACTGGTGCCACACTCTAATCTGCTAATTAACTCAAAACACCTGCAAAGGCCTTTAAATGGTCTCAGTCTAGTTATGTAGACTACACAATCATGGGGAAGACTACTGACTTGATAGATGCCCAAAAGACGCCCATTGCCACATTGCACAAGGAGAGCAAGACACAGAAGGTCATTGCTAAAAAGGCTGGCTGTTCACAGAGCTCTGTGTCCAAGCACATTAATAGAGAGGCGAAGGGAAGGAAATGATGTGGTAGAAAAAAGTGTACAAGCAATAGAGATAACTGCACCCTGGAGAGGATGGTGAAACAAAACCAATTCCAAAATGTGGGGGAGATTTACAAAGAATGGACTGCAGCTGGAGTCAATGCTTCAAGAACCACCACACACAGACGTATGCAAGACATGGGTTCAGCTGTCACATTCTTTGTATCAAGCCACTCTTGAACAAGAGACATCGTCAGAAGTGTCTCGCCTGGACTAAAGACAAAAAAGGACTGGACTGCTGCTGAGTAGTCCAAAGTCATGTTCTCTGATGAAAGTAAATTTTGCATTTCCTTTGGAGATCAAGGTCCCAGAGTCTGGAGGAAGAGAGGAGAGGCACAGAATCCACGTTGCTTGAGGTCCAGTGTCAAGTTTGGGGGACATGTCATCTGCTGGTGTTGGTCCACTGTGTTTTCTGAGGTCCAAGGTCAACGCAGCCGTCTACCAGGAAGTTTTAGAGACTTCATGCTTCCTGCTGCTGACCAACTTTATGGAGATGCAGATTTCATTTTCTAACAGGACTTGGCACCTGCACACAGTGACAAAGCTACCAGTACCTGGTTTAAGGACCATGGTATCCCTGTTCTTAATTGTCCAGTAAATTCTCCTGACCTTAACCCCATAGAAAATCTATGAGGTATTTTGAAGAGGAACATGAGATACACAACAATTCAGAAGAGCTGAAGGTCACTATCAGAGCAACCTGGGCTCTCATAACACCTGAGCAGTGACACAGACTGATCCACTCCATGCCACGACGCATTGCTGCAGTAATCCAGACAAAAGGAGCAACAACAAAGTACTGATGCTGTACATGCTCATACTTTTCATGTTCATACTTTTCATATTCATACTTTTCAGTTGGCCAACATTTCTAAAACTCCTTTTTTTAAATTGGTCTTAAGTAATATTCTAATTTTCTGAGATACTGAATTTGGGGGTTTCATTAGTTGTCAGGGGCAGCACGGTGGCGCAACTGGTAGAGCTGCTGCCTCTCAGCGAGCAGGTCCTTGGTTCAAACCCCGGTCCAGGGGCCTTTCTGGGTGGAGTTTGCATGTTCTCTCCGTGCATGCGTGGGTTTTCTCCGGGTACTCCGGTTTCCTCCCACAGTCCAAAAACATGCATGTTAGGCTGATTGGTAACTCTAAATTGTCCCTAGGTGTGAGTGAGAGAGTGAATGTTTGTTTGTCTCGTTTGTCTCTATGTGTCCCTGTGATGGACTTGCGACCCGTCCAGGGTGTACCCCGCCCCTCGCACAGTGATTGCTGGACATGGGCACCAGCGACCCCCGTGACCCAAAATGGAATAAGCGGGTAAAGAAAATGGATGGATGGATGGATTAGTTGTCAGTTATAATCAACATTAAAAGAAATAAACATTTGAAATGTATCAGTCTGTGTGTAATGAATGAATATAATATACACGTTTCACTTTTTGAATGGAATTACTGAAATAAATCAACTTTTTCATGATATTCTAATTTTATGACCAGCACCTGTGTATATATAATGTACTGTATGTATTGTGTGTGGCAGGCTGAGAAAAGTGTGGCAGAAGAGGAAATGCACGGCAAAAAACGGATACCTCACCATCTCACACGGCACAGTAAGCTAACCAGCTTCATACTCTGTGATCAAGCTTAACCCTTCTTGTTCCCATATAAGATTTAACCAGACGTCTCACTCAGAGCTGCTTATCAGAACTTTTATTTGGCTCCAGCAGTAGTCGCATACCATGAAACACAACATTCTTCCTCGCTTGGCGATTATTATTTCTATATTTTAATCCTGCGTTCCGTCCTGGCTTTTGTCTCCGTCAGGCAAACCGACCTCCAGCTAAACTCAACCTGCTAACCTGCCAAGTGAAACACAATCCTGAGGAGAAGCGGAGCTTTGACCTCATCTCACGTACGTGTTCATTTGTCCAAATGCAGTGCGGGTTTTACTTCAGTTGTGTCAGAATCAAATGTCAACAAATAAAACGGATATAATAGTAGCCGGTTTAAAAGAAATGCTTTTACAGCTTCACTTTTTAATTAGCTCATCTATAAGTAGACCTTTAGGTCAGTGGTTCCCAACCATAGTCCTTGAGGAACGCCATCCTGCATGTTTTAGTTGTTTCCCTGCTCCAACACCTGATTCAGTGATTTTATTACAGCCTCAAGTTCTGCCCAAGCCTGTTAGGCACCCATTCATTAAAACCAGGTGTATCAAAGCAGGGAAACAACTAAAACATACAGGGTGGTGTTCCTCAAGGACCAGGGTTGGGAACCACTGCTTTAAGTGACATCTTGAGCATGAGTATACAAGCCTAGACACACATAGTCTACAGGTGATGTGTAATTATGATAACCCAAAAAGGATTTAAACTTTTAATCAAAGCCATTTGAATGAAACTGGATCAAATAAATTAGTAACTGAGAATAAATTACGACTTTCTTTTTTGTTTTAGATGACAGAACGTATCACTTCCAGGCCGAAGATGACCAGGACTGTCAGATGTATGTGCCTATTCCTTCCTTCCTCTGCTTTAGTGCATCCTGTATTCCACCTCAGCTACTTTCTGAACACTTCCTGCCTCACACATTTGGACTTCTGACCTCCTCTTTACCTCATAAACTAACATTTTGTCCAAATCCGTCCTTCCACCCCCTCTCCCAGTATGCGCCGACTCAATTTCTGCATTCTTCTTGGTCATTTGCTGTCATCCAGTTGGATCTCGGTGCTGCAGAACAGCAAGGAGGAGGCGTTAAATCAGGCATTTAAAGGGGACCATCGTGTCGGCGAGAACAACATTGTGCAGGAGCTGACCAAGGCCATCCTGGGGGAAGTCAAGAGGATGACGGGAAACGACGTGTGCTGCGACTGCGGAGCCCCCAGTGAGTGGCAATGCATCCCCTCACAAAATATTTTAAACCTCGCAATTTGGAAAACCACGCTAACGCTGGATTATTACATTGAAATGATTGAAATGGTGGAAAGTGTCTGCTCAGCCTGATCGGATATCTGTACAGAAACACTTTGCTGCATCATGCAGGTTGTAGTAATGAACAGTGTTATAATCCTGGCAATCCTTAGAGTTGTTGGATACTCTTGTTGTGTCCTTTGGAGGACAAAATCATTAAGATGCCAGATCAGTGTCTAAAACATCATGAGCCACACCTTTTTAAATGAACTATGTTTATGTTGAGAATTAGAAACAACTTTCCAGATTTCCGGGTATTTTTCTGCTTTGATTTCCACAAAGAAATCCCTTCATGGAGTAAATGTTCACATCCTGAAGATGTGCTGAAACATCGTTATTATTATACAGCTGAATTGAAAGAGCCGCTGTGCACATTTTCCGCATGATGGCACAGTGGCATTAATAATTCAGATCTCCTGACTCAAGGACAGAATCAAACTGTGATAATTCACAATCCTCTGGTTGCAGTCAGTTTTCATATGTGCAGAAAAATCCCATAAATCCTGGATTAGAGTGACAAAACTGTGAGGAGCTTTAACTTTAAAATTACAGAGGTTATTTTCCTGTTTACGCTTGTTGTGTGGATGTTTATGAAACATTCATGATCCATTTTTCTTCCGTACGTTTTTCAGCATCTCTTTCCACAATTTTTGTGCCATTTCAACAAACCTTATCAAAATGCTCAGCTCTTTCAGGACAATCCTGACTTTTGGTACTGGTGCAACTTTAGCTTTTTGGAATATTTAGCCTTTTCAGCCTTTTTTTTTTTTCCATTGAAAAGGAATTGAGCTCATTTTCCATCCTTCATATCTTTAAATGTGTTTACAACTTTTTACTGCTTCTTTCACATTTTGTTCTGGTTCAGCTTCTTTCAGCTTCCTTCTGCAAATTTAAACATTTTTCAGCTACTTTCAGCTGTTTTTTTTTTTCCCCAACTGTTTTGTGCTCCTTCAAGATTTTTTCTGCTAACTACAACATTTTTGTGTTTCTTCTAACTTCTTTCTGCCAATTTCAGGTTATTTATGCAAGTTTCAACTTTTTCTGCTATTTAAGCAGTTTTTATGTAAATTTAGCCTTTTTTCAGCTAATTACACATTTTTTTCCCACGCATTTAAACTTTTTTTCAGCATAATTCAGTGAAAATGTGCTCTCTTCACTTCCTTCTGGTAATTTAAGCTTCGTTCTGCTTTTTTAGCTTTTTTTTTGGTGCAAATTTCTACTTTGTTCAGATAATTTCCACTTTTTTGTGCTCGTTTCTATTTGCTTTCTTCTGCTAATTTAAGCTTGTTGTACCATTTCAGCTACTTTTTTTTTTTTTTTTAGCATTTTTTAGCTGATTTCAGCTGTTTTCAGACAATTCAAGTTTTTCTTGTTGAGTTCTGCTACTTTCAGCCTAATTTATCTTCTTCATGCTAATTTCAGCTTGTTATGCTCCTTTCAGCTTTTTTATGCTCTTTCAGCTACTATTTAGCTCTTTTGATGCCAATTTTGGCTTTTTCAGTCAATTCCACTTTTTTTAAGCTCATTTCAGCTCTTTCCACTTCCTTCTGGTAGTTTAAGCTTCTGCCTTATCAGCTACTTTTCAGCTATTTTTTGTGCTCATTTCTGCTTATTTAAACGTAATTCAGCAAATGTGTTTTTTTTCTGCTTTCTTCTGCTAATCTAGGCTTGTTCTTCCTTTTCAGCTAAGTCAGCATGATTTTTTTTTTAGCTAATTTCAGCTGTTTTTTAGCAAGTTCTTCAGCAATAAACATTCACACTGCATTTTTGCAGGAAATGCAATTAATCTGTTTTTTATTTAAAGTAATGGTTTCAAGTACCTCTCGCCTAAATATCTAAAATAAGACATTTTGAGCTGCCTGTAAGTAAATAAAAGCCCTGTCCTGTTTTCATTATTTGAATCAACTTTTGTTCTTTCAGACCCGACGTGGCTGTCCACCAACCTGGGCATCCTCACCTGTATTGAATGTTCAGGGATCCACCGGGAGCTGGGGGTCCACCACTCCCGGATCCAGTCCCTCACTCTGGATGTACTCAGCACCTCAGAGCTCTTGGTAATTCAGCTTCAAAAACACGTTTCATCGTTGTCGTTTTCTACTTAGACGTTTTTGTTGGATACATTTAAAAAGAAAGCAGGAAGCTGATAGAAGTTTGGGTACGGAGCGTCTCCTGTGGACGCTTCCACATTTAGAATAGCTGAGATTTTGTTTGGCTTTTTTAAATCACGGTTTGGTGCTGAGATTTACAGCCTGTGGGACGTTAGGGATTAAACGCTTCCAGTCGTGATTGCGTTCCGTGGTGTAAAGACGCCAGTCGTGTTGGCCACAGTCCGACAGGGCTGAGCTCAGGATGTGGATTCTTTAGCAGTTCTGGTGACTTGGGAAATAATTGGTGTGATGCAAAAAAAAAAACTGTCTCAAAACTAGTTTTGAATGTGTGCATGTGTGTGTTTCCTCCACAGCTGGCCAAGAACGTGGGGAATGCAGGCTTTAATGAAATCATGGAGGCCTGTTTAATTGCTGAAAATGTTGTCAAACCCAATCCAGCAAGTGACATGTAAGCCTCATCTTCTGTTTCCGTTTAAATAAAATTTTACTTATTGGATTTTAGAACCACCTTCTTATCCGTCACAAACATGAAGTGGATTCTGAACTACTGGGAAAATCTTAAGACTCTAATTTGAACAATCATTTGTGTCCTTTTGTTCACCAGGCAGACCAGGAAAGACTTCATCACAGCCAAATACATAGACAAACGTTTTGCCAAGAAAACGTATCCTGATGCCATGTCCCGGCTTCACGCGCTCTGCGAGGCGGTGAAGGCTCGAGACATCTTCTCCCTCATCCAGGTCTACGCCGAGGGGGTGGACCTCATGGAGCCCATCCCGCTCGCCAACGGCCATGTAAGAACACTGCAGGGTTTATAAAACCTGTTGGAGCTTTCACGTCGGCCCATACTCACAGAGAGCTGATGTTTTCAATCAGGAACAAGGAGAGACGGCCCTTCATCTCGCCGTCAGGCTGGTGGATCGAACATCTCTTCACATCGTCGACTTCCTCACTCAGAACAGGCAAGTGCGGCGAGAAACTGTCATTTCTCTGTGTCTTCACAGTTAGGACTTATAGCCTCCCCTTTTCTGTCCGCGTTTAGTTTGAATTTGGACAAGCAGACGTCCAAAGGCAGCACGGCGCTGCACTACTGCTGCCTGACGGACAACAGCGAGTGTCTGAAGCTGCTGCTGCGAGGGAAGGCGTCCATAGATATCTGTAAGAAAACACCCAAACAGGATAAAGTGCAGCCATGGTGCATTCACTGACCTCATAGTGTGAACTCTTATGAAGCATTCACACTATTGCGATCATTTTTTTCCCCGTACATTTTTCAGCATCTTTCTCGTTCCACAATTTTTGTGCTATTTCAACAAATCGTCAAAACGTTCAGCTCTTTCAGGACAGTCCTGCCATGACTTTTGGTTTTGGTGCAACTTTGGCTTTTTGAAATATTTAACCTTTTTTGCCGTTTTTTTTCCTCATAGAAAATGAATTGAGCTCATTTTACTTCCTTCACATCTTTAGATCTGTTTACAACCTTTTACTGCTCCTTTCACATTTTGTTCCAGTTCAGCTTCTTTCAGCTTCCACGTGGAAATTTAAACATTTTTTTTAGCTACTTTCAGCTAATTTCAGCTGGGTTTTTTTGTTTGTTGCTAACTTCCTAATTTTTGTGGTCATTTCTGCTTATTTAAACCTAATTCTGAAAATATGTATTTCTGCTTTCTTTTGCTAATTTAGGCTTGTTCTTCCATTTCAGATACATTTCAGCACTTTTTTTTTTTGTTAATTTCAGTTGTTTTTCAGCAAGTTCTTCTGCAATAAGCATTCACACTGCATTTTTGTAGGAATTGCAATTTCTCTAGTTTGTCTTGTATTTCTTTATTTACAGCTCAAGTTTTATTAGAATATTTCTATTTATGACTTTCTCCTTCAGTTCTTACATTATTAAAGGAAAAACAGCATCTCTTCTACATTTTTGTGACATTTTGGGATATTTGTGCTTTTTTTCTCATTGTTTAGTTGATATTTATCAGAAAGTTTAACTTTTATTTGTTAAATGATTTATTAATGCCTGTATCATATTGTTTGAAGATGTGATCTCTGTCATTTCCACAGTAAAAGTCTCTGTACTCAGTGTTTTAAAATTACATTAAGAAGCTGGTAAAAGATAATGGATGGATGAAAATCCTTTAAGTGCAGATTTAAGGTGTTTTTTTGCAAGATAAACATCCAAACTCTACACAAAATGTATATTTTCACAGTGATGTTAAAGTTTTACTTTAATAATGACTATCTCCACCATCACTGTTTCACATATTTTTGCCTCATAGTGTCTCTCAGGCTCCCAAACACCCTTTTCTCCGAGCTTTTTAGATTTAGTTCCCAGACTCGTAGCTCTTGAAAACCTTTCTCTGTTGTTTTTTATTTTTATTTTTTTATCCTCCCAACACTCATGTTTGTGCTCTGCTCTGAAATAAACTAAAACAGCTAGATAACAGATGCAGTGCTGCTGGCTGTGGGAAACTGCTTAATTACACATTTGCTTATGTTGCTGTGGAAAAGAAAGAGAAAATGTGTGTGTGTTTGTCCTCATGTTGTTTGTGAATAAAGCAGTGATTATACGTTCCGGTTGTTTTCCTTTCAAGCTAATGAGGCCGGAGAGACGCCGCTGGATATCGCTCGGAGGCTCAGACACGTACAGTGTGAGGAGCTGGTGAGCTGCAGCTTTAGTCTGGCCAGAGCGTTACTTCACTGATCCATAAGAGCCGTCGGTCATTTGAGTTGTTTGTGTTTACAGCTGAACCAAGCGCTGGCAGGAAAATTCAACGCCCACGTCCATGTTGAGTACGAATGGCGCCTGCAGCATGAAGACCTGGATGAGAGCGACGAAGATCTGGATGAGAAGGTGAAGTTTTCATCTAAATTAAAGTGAAATACTCATCAAAACTCGTAAGCAAAGAAAAGGTAAAAGAACGTTTACATCTTGTGGAAGCTGAGACATAAAACGATGTGTGGAGCATCACATAAAGGTTTTTTTCCAAATGATAAACTTGAAAGTTGTTTCTGTTGTATTAAAAATTCAAAATGAATCGAGATAGACTTTCACCAAGGTGAATACTGCAGTTTTAATCTGACACTTGAACGTGTTGTCTGCATAATAAATAGGAATATACTTTGTAAAATAATGTGCAGATCAGCTTTAGCCCCACCAAAGTTGGTGGTGCTTCTTCAAATTAAGTGCAGAGTAACACATAAGTTTGTTCATCTCATTTAATGGTTGAACGACTACATAGTTTTTTAAAGTCGACATTAACATGATAATAGTTGACGTTGACTAGTTGATGACGTCATAGGAACTCAAGACGCTTAAAAAAAACAAACGCTTTTATTTACAACAAAAGAACAACAAAACATCGGGAGCAAATATTTATGCTCCTTCCATTAATCAAACTGCAAATAAGTCACAGGAAAACAAAACTATTATTAAGCTGCAAAAGTTAGTTTTGTTTTTTAATCCACTAAATAAACCACCGCGGCGGTGGTGGATTCTCCACCGGCTGTGGTGCGCACCCGTTTTTATTTTATTTACTGGATTAAATAAAGTAAGAATAAAAACAGATAAAAACAGGAGGCGAGCGGTGGTGGATTCCACCGTGGATTAAATAAAATAAAACTAAAAACATCATCTTTTTAGTGAAATCCTTCCACACTGTTGATGAATTTCTACCTGCGTGGGAAGACTTTGCCTGCTCATCACCTTCCATCTGCTTGGAAGAATCCGTTTTGTAGCCAGCGGCCCAGCTGATCATGTGACACAATCACTGACTGCATCTAGTCGCCGTGAAATTTTAAAACTCGCGAGATATCCTAGGATTGACTTGTCTATTCAACCCCTAATCTCATTTGTCTGGTTTCGTCTTTTATCTCCTCCTTCATCTTCTGCCTCCAATCCAGAAATAACTCTCCAAGATCCAACAAAGTTAAAGTCAGGTCCTCTGGACGGTTTCTTCTTGTTGAAACGTTTCGTCTTTCATCCAGAAGACTTCGTCAGTTCGAGGAGCCACAACAAACTCAGGCTTATAAATAGCACCTTTTCATAGTGGGTCAACCATCTGAGCACCATCAAACTGGTTGACCAGGTTGTTGTGAAGGTGCTACTTATAAGAGTTTGTTGTGGCTCCTCGGACTGATGAAGTGTTTTGGATGAAAGATGAAACGTTTCAACAAGAAGAATCCGTCCAGATGACCTGACTTTAACTTTGTTGGATTTTTCTACCTGGATTATTGAGCATGAGTCATGATAACTCTAAGATGTTTACTGGATGCTTTAGTTCCTAAACGCCACATGGAGGCTTGCTATAGGAGAACTAAGTTAGGATGCATACATACAGTAAGTGTGTACTTTGGAGAACTACGGCTCAAGTTCTGCAGAAAGATGTAAAAACTGAAACTCAGCTTCTGATTCTTTATTCCTGAATAATTTGACACACGTTAAGCAGAAAGATTGATTGTGAAGTAAAACGGGCTTAAGATCCTCACATCGATGCATGTTTTTCCAACATTTAATTTCAACCTCTGACCTCCCCGCCCTCCTTCCAGCCGAGCCCCCACCGGAGAGACGATCGCCCGGTCAGCTGTTACACCCCCGGCAGTAACTCCCACTTGCCGTCCAGCCGGGACAAGGACAAGCAGCGCCTCCACATGCCCAACCTGGTCAACAACGAGACTTACGGCACCATCCTGAACAGCAGCTCCCCTCAGCCGGCCACCACCTCTGCTCCTCCACTGCCCCCGAGGAACTTGGGTAATATCAGACTTATGCACAGTTCACTTTTTATGACTGAACAACAGAAAAGTTTATTGCAGCCCAGATAACCTGCCTGACCTGCATTTGTATTGAGGAAGTTTTATTTATAGAGGACGCCCTCGAGGAACGTTTAACTCGGATCTACGTGACATTTTGACCTTTTGTTCACCGTGGAGACAGATGTGGTGCCTTAAAACAGCCAGATGTGCTGCTAATTGAAGTCACTGTAGTTCTTACCCGTGTGTGCGAATCGCTCGCAACAATCATTTCTGTTTATTTTATTTGTTCTAGCCCAGTTATCAGGGCTGGGAGGGATCAGCCAGTCCTCCACCACCAGCTGGAAACCAGCTTCTTTAGACCTGACCTGCCGACAGCGATCCTCCTCAGATCCTCCCAACATGCACCCACCTGTGCCCCCCATGAGGCTCACATCAACTGCAGGTAAGACCAGCTTAGTTCAGTCGTTTGGCTAAATTAATGTTGCCTTTCAAACTGAAGTACTGTGTGCAGAATATATTTTTTTCCTTCATGGATCCATTAGACCTGTTTTTGTTTAAATATAGGCCGACGTCCAAGTCGGCTTGAATAATCTTCTAATTTAATCCCAGTGAGAATGACAGTAAGAGTAATCTATTTTATTGTTAAAAGAATTTTATGTTCTGCAGATGTTTGCAAACCCTAAATCAGTTCTGTTCAATCAGACCATAATAACGGGAACCTTTTGTTATATTGGTTATCTGAACTAAAACATACAATTCTGGTCTTTTTAAAAAATGTAAATGGACACGATGATCAGAATCTGCCTTAAACTTCTGATAACAGTGGATTAAATGATTTAAAGAAAAAAAATTATGAGAAAATCATAACTAAGATACTTCCAGTTTAACAAGTTATATTTTTATGTCCTAAAAAATATTTTACAAAACAGTCTCCTTTTGTTAACTCAGTTTTTTTTTTCAACTTTGAATTTTATCATGAAATCTGTCTTGAAACTTCGAGTATGAAAACCTATTGTCGTCTTCAGGTTGTTTAAATGTGCAGCACTTACATCCAAATATCAGTCAGCTCAGTTGTTCATGACCGCAGAAGGAACAAAAAAGAGTGACTTGTATTAAAATGCGTTCCAGGTCCTTCTCTAACAAAGATGGATGCCATGAACATGCAGTCCAAATCTGGTCAGGGTTTGTTAGGGACCAGGTCAGCACCGCCTAAATCTCCTTCTGGGTAAGAACATAAAACATCTGCATGTGCACACTCCTTCAGCTGTTTTGAGTCATAGCTATCTGTAGAGGTATCATATTTTTTGGCCTATAAGTTGTGGTTTTTTTGCATAATTCACATGCCCTGCGACTTACACACCGAAGCAACATATTGATGGATTTTCCCCCCATATTTATAAACCAATTTTTGACTGAGATATGACCGTTTTCATTCATTCTGACTGAAAATATTGAACACTACCATTATCAGTCACTGGATGACACTCTAGTAGTATGACATGCCGTTGTGTCATGTAATGGGTAAAAGACTATTAATGACACAATCGGCTTGCCATAGTCTGCCACCGTCGTCCAGCTCGCCTGGAGCAACCGTCAAATCAGCTGCATTTCACTGCGCCGCCCCGGTGAAATGCAGCTGATTTGATTGTCAAAGTGCATTTATTAAGCAAACATTAGACTGAGACACACTTTTGCTATAATTTCGAGCAAACAAATAATTGTTTTGAAGTGTTAATCTTGTTAAAGTCCTCCTGTGCATGCTCCCGTGGCCGCCTTTTGGCAACCAATCGATTTTTGGCACAACACCAGCCCACATTTCTGGGTTGTCAGCAGTGACGCATAATAGATGTGACTTATGGAATGGAATGGAATGGAGTTGCCCGGAGTTCCTTAAGGCTCTGCATGTTGTAGGGTTGTGTTGGCTTACGCGACTCTGCAATATTGCGTGGACATCGGGGGAAGTTCCCTTGGATTGGCAGACCGGGGTGGTGGTCCCCCTATTCAAAAAGGGGGACCGTAGAGTGTGTTCCAACTACAGGGGGATCACGCTCTTAAGCCTCCCTGGTAAGGGCTATTCGGGGGTTCTGGAGAGGAGGGTCCGTCGGATAGTCGAACCTCGGATTCAGGAGGAGCAGTGCGGTTTTCGTCCTGGTCGTGGAACACTGGACCAGCTCTACACTCTCAGCAGGGTCCTGGATGGTGTGTGGGAGTTTCCCAACCAGTCTACATGTGCTTTGTGGACTTAGAGAAGGCGTTCGACCTCGTCCCTCAGGGAACCCTGTGGGGGGTACTCTGGGAGTATGGGGTACCGGGCCCTTTGATACGGGCTGTTAGGTCCCTGTATGGCCGGTGTCAGAGCCTGGTCCGCATCGCCGGCACTAAGTCGGGCTTGTTCCCGGTGAGAGTTGGACTCCACCAAGGGTGCCCTTTGTCACCGATTCTGTTCATAACTTTTATAGACAGAATTTCTAGGTGCAGCCAAGGTGTTGAGGGGATCCATTTTGGTGGCCTTAGGATTACGTTTCTGCTTTTTGCAGATGATGTAGGTCTTATTGGCGTCATCAGATCGTGATCTACAGCTTTCGCTGGAGCAGTTCGCAGCTGAATGTGACGCGGCCGGGATGAAGATCCATCCATCCATCCATTTTCTTTACCCGCTTGTTCCTTTTTGGGTCACAGGGGTCGCCGGTGCCCATGTCCAGCAATCACTGTGCGAGGGGCGGGGTACACCCTGGACGGGTCGCAAGTCCATCACAGGGCCACATAGAGACAAACGAGACAAACAACCATTCACTTTCTCACTCACACCTATGGACAATTTAGAGTTACCAATCAGCCTAACATGCATGTTTTTGGTCTGTGGGAGGAAACCGGAGTACCCGGAGAAAACCCACGCATGCACGGAGAGAACATGCAAACTCAGAAAGGCCCCTGGACCGGGGTTTGAACCAGGGACCTGCTTGCTGAGAGGCAGCAGCTCTACCAGTTGCGCCACCGTGCTGCCGGGATGAAGATCAGTTCCTCCAAATCCGAGGCCCTGGTCTTGAGCCGGAAAAGGGTAGAGTGCCCTCTCCGGGTCAGGAAGGAGGTCCTGCCCCAAGTGGAGGAGTTCAGGTATCTTGGGGTCTTGTTCACGAATGAGGGAAAAATGGAACGTGAGGTCGATCAGTGGATAGTTGCAGCGTCTGCAGTGAAGCGGGCGCTGTACAAGTCTGTCGTGGTGAAGAGAGAGCTGAGTCAAAAGGCGAAGCTCTCAGTTTACCGATCGATCTACGTTCCTACCCTCATCTATGGTCATGAGCTTTGGATTGTGACCGAAAGAACGAGATCTCAGATACAAGCGGACGAAATTAGTTTTCTCCGCAGGGTGTCTGGGCTCTCCTTTAGAGAGAGGGTGAGAAGCTCGATCATCCGGGAGAGACTCAGAGTAGAGCCACTGCTTCTCCACGTCAAGAGGAGCCAGTTGAGGTGGCTCAGGCATCTGGTTGGATGCCTCCTGGACACCTCCCTGGTGAGGTGTTCCGGACACGTCCCACCGGGAGGAGGCCCAGAGGAAGACCCAGGACACGCTGGAAGGACTATGTTTCTCGGCTGGCCTGGGAACGCCTCGGGATTCCCCCGGAGGAGCTGGATCAAGTGGCTGGGGAGAGGGAAGTCTGGGCCTCCCTACTTAGGCAGTTACCTCCGCGACCCGACCCAGGATAAGCGGAAGAAAATGGATGGGATGGAATAGAATAGAATAGAATAGAATAGAATAGAATCAGCCTTTATTGTCCCATGGATGGGAAATTCAAGTGTAACAGCAGCAACAAATAAAAAGATTTCACACAAAAGTTCCTAAATGTTAAAAACAATATATAAAGAAATAAGATGAACAATATCAATAATAATGTTCAATATGTGTTTAAACATTGATAAGGACAGACTATTTACAATACAGTAATATAGGCAGTGTATGTGTTTTAGCAGAGGTCAGCATGTATTTAATCCTTATTGAGTTTGTTGGGAGCAGTGATGGTTGTAGAGTCTAACAGCTGCTGAGAGGAAGGACCTGCGGTAACGCTCCTTTGTGCATTTAGGATGCAGTAATCCGTCACTGAACGAGCTCTCCAGTTCAGCAACAGCTTCATGCATGTGGTGGGAGACGTTGTCCAGCAATGATGTTATTTTAGCTAGAGTCCTTCTGTCTCCCACCACCTGCACTGGGTCGAGGGGGCATCCAAAAACATTGGCCTTCTTGATGATCTTATCTAGCTGCTTCTTCTCAGCTGATGATAAGCTGCTGCTCCAACACACACCGTAGAAGATGGCTGATGCCACTACCGAGTCAAAGAAGGTCTTCAGGAGCACCCCCTGCACTCCAAAAGACCTCAGTCTCCTCAGCAGGTAGAGTCTGCTCTGACCCTTCCTGTAAAGTGCATCAGTGTTGTGAGACCAGTCCAGTTTATTGTTCAGGTGAACACCCAGGTACTTATAAGAGTCCACCATCTTGATGTCCACTCCCTGGATGTTCACCGGGGTCAGTGAGGTGGGTCTGTGCCTGCGGAAATCCACCACCAGCTCCTTAGTTTTAGCAGCGTTGATCAGGAGGTGGTTCTGCTGGCACCAGTCCACAAAGTCTTGAGTCCGCTGTCTGTACTCTGAGTCGTCCTCACCTGTGATGAGGCCGACTGTGGCAGAGTCATCGGAAAACTGTTGCGGCGAAGCGACGTATTTATGGATTGTTCCACTTTATTAGATATATTTGGACTGATGCGACTTTCATTTTTCATTTAGCCTTTATTTATCCAGGTAGTCTCATTGAGCCACGAGAACTATTTTCAAGAGAGACCAGTTTAGGAGCAGATGGGGGTTAAGGGCCTTGCTCATGGGCCCAGAGTGGGGCAAATGAGGGTGGGGGCAGGTGTGGTTGCTTCACCTATCCTGCCCACATTTTTGATGTTGTCTGTACCGGGGCTTGAACCGGCGATCTTCCGATCACTAGCCCACCTTCTCTAACCTCTGCGCCACCACTCCCCCTTATAGGGTTTTATAGGGTGGTGCGACGTGTACGGCGGAAAATACGGTAAATGTCAGCCATCCTTTGTTTGCTACGTTCTAAAACGTGCGTCTTAAAAATGTCTCTGTCTTTGGTGGTTTCCAGCTGGTCGATCTAATTATTTGTGAAAGTGCTGAAATAAATTTGTAACGGGGCTGCAGTAAGCCTCAGAGTTACTGTTACTCTGGTGATGGGATTGTTAATCCTTTGTTTTTATTGTTATTATTCAGAAATGATAAGAGCTTCAGCCGAAGTTTCCTGAATCGAACAGAGCCCACAGAAAGAGAAGGTGAGTGAACGGATGTTTGAGCTGCTTCGGCGCAAAGAAAGTTGCCCATTCGTCGCTTGACCGGTGGAGTTGGCTTTTTCCTCCGGTTGTGATGTAGTTTCCTGTTTCCTGTTCCAGCTAAGGAAGTACCAGGATGCCCCCAGAACTCCACGGGTCACTCTCTGCCTCCGGCCCCCGTTCCCAGAAAGGCCTTCCCAGTGAGCATCTCATCCTTCTTTCAGTCCAAACTGAACCGAGCTCACTCGTTTACTTTGTTACACATTTACTGGCTTCTTTGTTTGTTTGGGTTTTATTTATTTTTTTATGTTTTTGTGTTAATCAGTTTAGTTCTGTTTCTGAGAAGAGGAGCTCGTTTCAACGTACAAACATGGTTGCAAAATTAGATTTTAAGAACAATTCTGGAAACTTTACACTTGTGCTATACCACTTTAAATTCAAATATAATTTAATTTAGCTAATGAGAAATAACCTACATGGACATAAATTTGAAAACAAAATTAAAACTTTTCGCAAAATCAATGTTAATGGAAGGGTGAAGGAGTTCACAAGTCTTATGTTAAAAAACAAAACAACTAGAGTAGGCAAATAAAAATTAAGTTAATAATTTGTTGGCTTTGTACAGCTTTAAGTAAATGTCAGAATTTCCTTTGAGCTCTGTGAAAATCACCGTGCTAGCATCATAAGAGATAATAAAGAAGAGTTGCACAAGCGTTGGCGAGCACATCATGGTTTCAGCCCAGGAAAATAATTAAAATAAAAACTTTGAGAGAAAATGTAAGTTTCTTTTTACTTTAAAGCGTTTCATATCGCCCTGATTCTGGGCCGACTTGAGCTGATGCTTTCGTGTTTGTTGCCTCAGAAGCAGAGACCAAAGCGGGTTAAAGCCATTTACAACTGCATAGCTGACAACCCCGACGAGCTGACGTTTTCTGAGGGCGAGGTGATCGTGGTGGACGGAGAAGAGGACCAGGAGTGGTGGGTCAGTATCGCTTCAGCTGCACACCCACACATCCACTTTATTTAATTTGTTAATGGCTGCTAGCATCAGTTTTCAGATTAAAGCACAAAGCGTTGTCTAAATAATTCACACATCTATGTAGCTGTCAATCAGGGGGTGAGGGGGAAATTATGGGGGGGGGGGGGGGCGTCGTTCTCCTCCTGTTTTTATATTGCCTCCCGTTTCTTCCTCCTCGTATGAACCAGCTGTAGCTCGTTTTCCTGACCTGCAGGTAGGACCGTATTTCGTCAGCCTCTCTGTCCCGCAAACAACCATGCTACCATTGCTCCTTTTCTGTTTCGGGGCAGGGGGAGGACAAAACCGCTAAGATGGTGCTTCTGTGACAAAAATATGTGAACAAGAGTAGCAACTTTAGCAGGATTTTTGCTGCTAGGGGCAATGTTGTGAAAGTGATTGTATGCTGAACAAAAATATAAAAGTAACACTTTTTTGTTTTTTTCTATTTTTTCATGAGCTGAACTCAAAGATCTGAGACTTTTTCTTTGAACACAAAAGACTTTTTTCTCAAATATTGTTACAAATGTGTGTAAATCTGTTAGTGAGCACTTCTTTCTAATCCATCTCACAGGTGTGGTATGTCAAGATGCTGATTAGACAGAATGATTATTGCACAGGTGAGCCTTAGTCAGAGTCAGAGTCAGAGTTTCTTTATTGTCATTCGCACCTCATGTGGTACATGTGGTGGAGCGAAATATGTACACAAGGTCCCAGTTACATCCAACAATAAAATGTATAAGAAAAACAGTAATAACATCTAAGATATGAACTAAGAAACACATCAACTAAATATACACTAAGCACTCATAACATAAAACATTGAACATCAGCACAAACATGAACATGAGTCTGTGAGCAGATGTGCACGCATGAACACATCAACATTGAAACAGATCAGCAGCAACATGAAACAGATCAGCAGCAACATGATATGGTTTTTCACAGTGATATTCCTGGTTAGAGATTCATGAGTCTAACAGCCTCAGGGTAGAAGCTGTTCCTCAGTCTAGTGGTTCTACACTTAATGCTCCTTAACCTCCTTCCTGAGGGGAGTGGGGCAAAAAGTGTGTGTGCTGGGTGAGTGGGGTCCTTCATGATGCAGGTGGCCCTCTTCCTGCATCTGGAGGTGTAGATGTTTGTGATGGTGGGGAGGCTGATTCCGACAGATTTCTGTGCAGCCTTCACCACTCTCTGCAAAGCTTTTCTTTCTGCAGCTGTGCAGCCTCCATGCCACACATTGATGCTCAAGGCTGACCACAACAAAAGGCCACTGTAAAATGTGCAGTTTCATCACAGCACAATGTCACAGATGTCTAAAGTTTTGAGGGAGCGTGCAGTTTACATGCTGACTGCAGGAATGTCCACCAGAGCCGTTGCCTGTGAATTGAAAGTTCATTTCTCTACCATAAGCTGTGTCCAAAGGTGTTTCACAGAATTTGTCAGTGCATCCAACAGGCCTTACAACTGTAGATCACGTGTAACCACACCAGCCCAGGACCTCTACATTCAGCATCTTCACCTCCAAGATCAACGCTGTGAATCGAGTGACTCGTGGTGGAGGTGGGTGTGCAGGTGTATCTTGTGGACAACAAACACGGGGGTTGCAGTTGTAAGGCCAGTTGGATGGACTTCCAAATTCTCTGAACACAAACATTTCTGCAGTCTGCATGTAAATTGCCCCCCCCCCCCCCCCACACACACACACACACACACACACACACACATTTCACAGTGGCCTTTTGTTGTGGTCAGCCTGAGGCACACCTGTGAGGCGGACGAGTTATCTTGCTAAAGTAGAAGTGCTCACTAACAAATTTACCGGTACATACATTTGTGAACAACATTTGAGAGAAAAAGGCCTTTTGTGTTCAAAGAAACAGTTTTAGATCTTTGAGTTCAGCTCATAAAAAATGGGAGCAAAAACAAAAGCGTTGTGTTTCTATTTTTGTTCAGTGTTTCTTTATTTTGTGGCTCGTCATGTTCAGTTGTAGCCCTGTTCAAATGTTGCCAAGGAGAAACATGTCCCAGCTTTTCATTTTCAGGTGTAGGCGACAATTAAAATAAACGCTTGATCAGTCAAGGTAACAAGAAAAAGAACATCCTGTTGAATATAGTAGATGTCTGTTGTGACGTAGCTTTGTGTTACCATCTTTGCACCCTTAGATGTTGTAGGGATGGATGTTTCTCTCAGTTTGATTCAATTCTGTTTCAGAAAATTCAGATTATTTTGTCAGTTTTGCTAAGACTAAAACATCAAACAGCCTGAGCTGGATCATCTGCAGTGGCTTGAAAAAAGTAAAGGCTTTTTAGCTCAAATTTCCCAGAGATTAGAAAATGCACTGATCTCCAAATGGCATTAAGTTTATAAAAGGGCACTTTTTAAAGGCACCATTTAAATATTAACTTTGTTTTAACTAGTTGGGTAGTAAACGAAAATTGAGTACTCCAAGTTTGAACAGCAAAATCTGCTCCAGTGCACTTTGTACCAATGTTTTAGAGATAAATTAGATTTTAGGTCTTGTTCAAGTCACCTGTAGGACAGATCAGAAGATGCTATTATTATTATTTTTTAAGTCAATATATATTTAATCTAGAGAAATTGCATTTCCTGTGAAAATGCAGTACTTATTGCAGAAGAACTTGCTGAAAAACAGCTGAAATGTAGCTGAAATAGAAGAACAAGCCTAAGTTAGCAGAAGAAAGCAGAAATAACACATTTGCTGAATTATTTTGAAAAAAGCAGAAATTGACACAAAATTAGGAAATTAGCTAAAAAAAAAAAAGCTAAAATTAATAAAAAATATGCTGAAAAGTAACTGAAAAAGCAGAAAGAAGCTTAATCTACCAGAAAGAAGTGGAAGGAGATGAAATTAGTTACAAAATTGCATAAAAACAGCTATAAAAAGTAGCTGAAATGGTGGAAAAAGCTGAAACTAGCAGAAATAGGCTGAAAGGAGCGCAAGATGAAATGAGCATAAACAAAGCACAAAAATCTGGAATTTATCTGAAAATAGCATAAATTAGCTAAAAAAAGCTAGCTGAAAAATTAAAACAAGCTTAAATTAGAATACTTTATTTTTATAGTACCGTTAAAACAAATGTTACAAAATGCTTCACATTAATCAATTAAAACAACATTATAAATTACATCAGAAACACAAAAGTAGACCAAATCAATTAAAATACATAATATAAGAAGAAAAAAAAAACAAAGAAATTCAGATATTAAACGCCTTATTATAAACAAGTAAGTTTTAACTAATGATTTAAAAGAAGACCTGTCTAATATTTAGAGGAAGAGCATTCCACAAATTAGGAGCCCTGACCATAAAAGCCCTCCCTCCCTTCTGTCACCAGTCGAGCTCTGGGAGTGGAAAGTAATAAGAGATTTAAGGATCTGAGATTGCAAGAAGGGATGTAGGGGGTGAAGCTCAGATAGATATGATGGCACAAGACCATTCAAGGATTTAAAAACGAACAATAAAATGTTGAAGTCAATTCTAAAAACCACAGGGAGCCAATGCAATGAGGACAGAACTGGAGTGATGTGCTGATATTTATGGGATCTTGTGAGAACTCTAGCTGCAGTGTTTTGTACTAGTTGAAAACTATTAAGAACTTTGGGGCAGACCAGAAAATAATGAGTTACAATAATCAAGATGGCAGGAAATAAATGCTCTGATTGTGGCAATATTCCTAATTTGGAAAAAATGCTGTTTTAGTGATGTTCTTAAAATGTTTTTTTTTTTTTTTTTAAACAAAATCAGAATCAAAGGTCACCCCTAAATTTCTGGCTTCATGAGTGCAGTTAAAACAAAGAACAGAAAGGGACTGAACTACTAAATCCCCTTTGGCCTTGGGTCCAAACACCATCACCTCAGTTTTATTGTTTATGAGTGAAAGAAAATTATCAAACATCCAGGTTTTGATGTCTGTAAGACATAGGGTAAGTTTATTGAGTGTACAGAGGACTGATGGGTTAATAGCCAAATAAATCTGGGAATCGTCTGCTTACAAATGAAAAGAAACATTGAATTTATGAATAACCTGACCAAGTTGTGGTATAATCTAAATGGAAAATAATGGAGTCCCAAGAATAGACCCTTGGGGGACACCACAGATGAGAGAAGCTGAACTGGAGGAATTATTGCCAGAAATTACTGAAAAAGTTCTGTCATGAAGATAAGGTTTGAACCACCTCAGAGCAATGGCTCTAGAAGCAGAACAAACTCATTTGCCCAGTTAGGTTGAAAAAAGCAGAAATGAGCACAAAAAGTGGAATTTATCTGAAAACAGCCAAAAGTAGCAACAACAAAAAAAAAACTGAAAGTAGCTAAAATAGCAGAAAAAAGTTTAAAATGGCAGAAGGAAGTGGAGAGAGCACATTTTTTGCTGAATTAGGCTGAAAAAAGTTTAAATGAGTGCAAATAAATGTGGAGGAAAGACTAAATATTTCAAAAAGATAAAGCTGCACCAATATCAAAAGAGCTGAATGTTTTGATTTATGATTTGTTGAAACCGCACAAAAGTTGCGGAATGAGAAAGTTGCTGAAAATATATGGAAGAAAAATGGATCACAATAGTGTGAATGCTTCATAAACATTCACACAACAACTTGAGAGCCAGAATAATGTTGTCAGGAGGATCCAGCAGGTTCAGAAACAGCTCTGTCTCAGTCCAGTGCATCATCAGTCAGCACTCAATGACCCGAGCATCTCACCAAAAAATAAAACTGATGAATCCTCTAAATAATATATCAAACACCAAAATAAAATAAAAAACATTTGCCTTTTTGACGACTTGGTTCTTTTACATTAAACTAATTATATTGTTGATTAATGCATCCAGTCTGTAAATAAAATAATCCTGTAATGTTTACTACAATAGTTGAGGAAATTAAGGGGGACTAAAATCATTAATACAGTTCCTTTTGGGAAATCTGTTCTTTTTTTTAAATCTGGTACCAATAAATCAATAAAGTGCAAATTTAAACGATTGACGATTCAAAGAATCAGTATTGAATCACCTGGCGAAAACAGCATTTTGTTCAAATATTATTTACATCCTTAAACTTGTAAAGTTTAAGGATGAAAGTTTAGATGTAAACTAGCGTTGATGAAAGCAGTATTTTAGTTTCCTTGTTTAGATTTTGTCCCAAAGCAGCCTCCGTTCTCTTAACTTCCCTTCTGGGGTTCCTCTTCACAGCTGGGCCACATTGAAGGCGATCCGATGAGAAGGGGAGCATTTCCTGTCACTTTTGTTCACTTTGTCGCCGACTGAAAGGACCGTTTGGGAGCCCAGGAAGTGGATGTAGCGTCCCTCTTTAACTCATCTGTTAACCACCTGCAGTCGTCCGCTTTATTTATCCTCTTCACGGCAGTGTCGTCACTTCGTCCAGACGTTGTCTCGTTCTCATGGCAACAACTGCAGCAAGTCTCGAGGCCTCGTGGGGCAGCTTGTAGTTCTTAAAGTGGACTCTTTAAAGAAATAATGATTGTAGTGAGAGATCTTTGGCAATAAATGCACTTTTCTCGTCTTAATCCATCAGAATGAAGGTCACGTGTTCAGCGTTCGTAACCCTTTTCTGTTGATCTGAGACTGCAACGATGTATTTTGTCTTACTAGCCACTCTGAATGTGAACAGTCGTACATTCCACATCTGTGCATGAGTGGTTTTTAAACATCTGCTTTCTAGAAGCAGCCTGTCAGATGTGTAGCAGCCCTCCTGTGTGGAGGATTTTCTAATGGTGCTAAAGTTAACCCAGGAGTAGACTCAGACATGCGCACCAACTCAGACGAAGCTGCTGCATGTTAACACATTCAACTCATCACAGCTGGTAGAGAAACAATGTTTTCTTTTATTTAAATGTGTGTTATGAATTCAGTCTTTTTTTTTTCCCCTCCACGCCTCCTGCCTGTATCAGTTTGGCTTTTATGGATCATACTCAGCAGCACGGCTTCAGTCCTCCCCCTCTTTTCTAGGTCAAACACTGAGCCAGTAAATGGTGCGTCTTTGCCTGCTTTCTGAAGGAATCAGGCGTTCGTTAGAAGGACCGTGTCATTTGCACACGACAAGCTGCGAATGAAGTTAAAATAACGGGATCGTGTGAAACTTGGACAAAGTGAGAGTTATTGCAGCTGCGACTTGTTTTGCTCCTTTATGCTTCGAATGAAACTCACTCCAACAGGCTGCTGGTTTAAAGCTAAATTAAGTTCCTGACACCACACAACCTGCAGCTCGAGCCTCAAGTCAGCTCATCTCTGGTTCTGTGACGTCGAAAGATGCTTTTAATATAAATATAAAACGGCCTTGTAGTTGCAGAGCAACTTCTTTAGTGTGTATAAAGTTAATATTTAGACATTTAACGTGAAATCAGAGCCTTCCATGGATTTGTGAATGACAGGAAGTGAGGCAGCGCTCTTCATCCCATTAACTCACTGGAAAACTGAAGATTAATCATCCGTTCCTGTAAATAGATTTGCTTACATGTGTGGGTACTTGAATGGAACCGGAGGAGTAAATGTCTTTAAATGCACTGTCGATGAGCAACCGACCTCAGCTGGACCTGTGAGTGCTGCAAACTGAAACGCAGACAATCTTCTCCACGGAACTTGGAAGATGAACTCGATTCATCGCCGCTGACCGCCTGAAGAGCATCGCATCGACTGAACTTGTGCAAGTGAAACTGGAAAAATAAAATGTGAAACAATGCTTCAATTTGGTGTTTTATTTCGAGCTGCGATGGGAGTCTGATGCATCTAGAGCTCCCTCTGCTGGAGAATGTTTTAAGTTTAAATAATTGTATTTATTTTGAGCAGATCCTTGAGCAGCACCCCAAACTCCTGAGTCATTCATCAGGATGTGAGTTTGAATACAAGAGAAAAGCAGCAGGTTAAACTAATTAATGTGAATGGGAAGAATGTAACTCCCCAAATGAGATGCTTTAATATGAAATAAGTCAACGGTGTAGAACTGCAGTCCGTTTATTAAATGTAAGGCACAAATTTACAGACGAGACGTTCAAAAAAATATATAAAAACACTCCTGTGTTGTACCAAATCATCTGTTTCAAGTTCACACATTTTCTACAGGATTAAACAAAGGTCGAGTAAAAACTGTAAACAATGTCCCATCTGAAGTTCTTTTCTGTGAAAATAACTAATTTAAGATTAAACCGTTACAATAAAATATATATTTGGTACCAAATTTTTTTTTTTAAATGTACAAATTAAGAAAAAGAAATATGTTTAACATTCCTTCCAGTCAGAAATGACTAGTTTTGTACCAATACTGACTTCAAATCACAATAACTCATAATAAAAGATTTCCACATTTGGAAAAGGCGACTAAGTTGCTTTAGTCAATTCTGAGTACCATGTTGTACAGTACCACAGTGTACATTACAGTATTTTAACTGAAGGTAAAATACTAAAGCTGTGTTGCTACAACTGAACTTTTTTTCTTGCTTTATCTTGAAAACATTAGGAAAAAGGGAAACTACACAAGATTCTCACAGTGGATATGCACTCGAGGATGATGGGAGGTTACACTGATCAGCCCCAGCAATAAAAACAAACTGGGAAAGCTTAGGATAAGATTCACCAGCAATTTGTAGAACATGAAAACCTCTGGGTTTACGTAAAGGTTTTCCTTAATTCCTTGACCTGCATAATGTTTTTCAACGCTGAAGCTGATCAGTGTAAAGCCTGATGGCCTAAAGATCCATGAACGATAAGAAGAGTTGCAATCAGAAGGCAGTGGCCACGATGGTTTTCCTCAAGCTTTCTTGTTGATTTTGCATCTGTTTCACCTCTATTGGATTTGAAGTGGGATCTGGTCTTCAGGACTTGTCTGACGACAGAGCGCAGTCAAAAGATGTAGACAGCATCCTGCAGATGGACTGAGCCTGCTCCTGTTCAGACACATAGAGGACTTGGGTAAGGTCACTGTAGACATGATCCTCATTTTTAGCTTTAATCTTTTTAAAAAACTTCTTGATTCGGCACTCACTGAGCTGCTGCACTGGTACACCCAGATGCTGCACTCCTTTTGTTTTGTATCCGTGGTTTTCAGAGCCAAGAGGTTCTTCCCTGCGCCCAGCCCGTCGTCGTAACACAGCATACGCACAATCAAATACAGAGGGTGCCGATGCAGCACGTCCTGTCCACACGAAACCGTTAAAAACAGCAACAGAATCGTCTTTGCAATTTGCAGGAGTTCACACTAAATACAGTATGTATTGGGAAAACTGGAACATTTGAACTTGACTTTCATTAAAATTGGACTACATCTTTTTACATCAGTATATATAATTATACACCATTTTCCTCTTCAAGACACTGAGGTTTGGAGTATTATTTGTTTTGCTACTCACACACTGATCCACCGAGGCAACTTTGACCCCATACTTGGACACTCCCAGAACCATCTCTTCATCTCCAGGAACAAACGGCAGTTCTCCGCCTTGCTGTGAAATGAAGGTAAATATTTAATATCATCCCTTATATGGTCAATTTATTGAAACCTGCGCTGGCAAAATGAGTTGGAATGAACACAGGCTGCCGTGTAAAGTAAATGAAAATATTGATTTTTGCGTAAAAATTAGTGCATTGAGACACCATCTAAAATAGCATATAATCTTCATAATCTACTTTGATATTGTGGTTTTATAACAAGCATGTATTTAGAAATGATCTGTTGTCCTAAAACCCTTATAATTTATTTTGAAATAGACCATTTTTCTCTGACGACTTCTGTAGAGTTAGGAAATCCCTTCTTATAATATTTGGTGACATTGTAAAGCTTAGGCATTCTTCCTTTTAAATATAGCGCTAGAATTCCCAAAGACATCTAGACCAATAAAAATAAAGTTTTCAAACCAGCAAACACGTAAACTGGGGAAAAATCACCAAATTTCAACAAACTACGTGTCATTTCAAAGCGTTGAGATGGAGAATATGAAAATTGAATGTGGTAAAATAACCTTATTGTGACTCATCATTTGTCATGTATGTGATTGCTGTAGGACTAGTGAACAAGGAAAGCAGTCAATATCTTACCTGCGCAGCATCAATGTAGTTGATGAGGTCCAGAGGTTCCTGCAGGGTCTTGCTCATCTCAAATTCTAAGTTCTCAATGGATCCCACGTACTTGACTCGAAACTCAGCGCATGTCTCTGACGTGCTGTTTCCTGTTTAGAACCATACACTCCGTTAAAGAAGAGCAGGGCATGGCGACATTAAAGTTCAGAGGCCTTTAACAGCATGTATTCTGACCCGAGCTCTTGTTGGAATCTGAATCAAGGCTGGCGACAGTGCTGGATCTGGAGAGTCCTCCCAAACTGGAATCAACAGACTAAACAAAAAAAATAAAGAAAGAATTAAGATGAGCAAGAGTTCTTGTGGTATTTTGTGTTTTTGTACCTTGCTCTTGGTGCTGATCTCGCTGCTCTGCGAGCTGCTGCTGCTGTGGCGCTTCTTGACTTTCCGGAACATCCTTCACCATGACGACCGCATCCAGACCCCCCAGGCCTACAAACCTGGATAATCCCAACATGAAAGTGTTAAAACACACAATGGAGCAGCCTTCTCAAGTCTCAACACAAGCATTTAATAATTAATTGTAGAACTACCCCTTCAATAATAGATGTTTCTATCTCATCTGCACAGCGACTCATAGAGTTAATTGAAAAGTTGATATAGAATAAGACCTCATTTAAAAAGTTATAAAGTTTCCAAAATGTTTTGGTTTGTTCAGTTAAGTGTTATCTAATGTTTTTAGTGGCTTTGTTTTAACACAAATGTGCAATAAACACCTCATTTAATACAAATATCTGAGTAATCATCCTAAAATACGTAAAAAACGAGGGCACCAGATAAACGGGAAACCGGTTTATTCTGAACACCGGCGACTTTATCAAAATGACGGTTAGCATCCCTACAGATGTTTGTGAATGAGTTGGAGTTATAACTAAATCACATAACCCTCCATGACATAAAAATACTGGTAGCTCATTTACATGCTCAACTCAAACTACTTTTATTACATTTTTATTCTGGCTACGTCGATATTATTCTGGCTACGAGTCAACCGCTGGATTGTTTTTAGAGTCCCCCACCCCCACACCGCATTTATATTTACTAACTTAAAAAAACAAAACACAATTTTTAAATGCCCTTAGTAAAACAAAATAAAACCATTAATATTTACTAAGCCACAGACAGCATACCTGTTCGTACCGTAACCGTTTTAATGTCTATTACGAAGTTCTTCTTCGTCGCTTTAAAAACGTTGACACTTCGGTCTCGCTGCTTTGAGCCTACACCCAGGCGCTCTTAAAGGGGACGCAACAAAACACTCAAAAATAAATAAATAAATTACTTAATTAAGAGCGCAACGAAAAGCTTGTCATGTGTGTAACTTGTTATGTTATTACACAACTCACTACAATAAAAAAAATTAAAAAAATCGGATATGTAAATGACGGCGTTAGTTCAGGCTTAGCGGAACTGACTTTAACAGTGCTGTTTCTAGACGGATTGAAAAACCGTCCACACTTGTTCATTCAGAAAACATTATGCACGATTAATGATGGCCGCTTCTATATGTCTGTTTTCACGTATTTAACCTATAAAAATTAGAAGATATGGCTACAAAACGCAAAGTAGATGTGTTTATCCCTGCTGAGGAAAGTGACCAGCTCTTAATTAGACCTCTGTGAGTTCATATTTTATTTTCAATTTAGATAATAGCTGCTTCTTAGAACATCACAAGCACGAATTATCGTTTTTTTATATGCATTTTTTTTGTGTGTGGTTATGTTGCAGTGGTGCTGGTCAGGAGGTGGGGAGATCATGCATTATCCTGGAGTTCAAAGGAAGAAAGATAATGGTAAATATGAATATGTGGACTGTTCCGTGATGATACAAAAATATTTCAGTTTTGTACTCTGGCCTAAAACTTTCTAAATTATAATTTGTGTAAATGTGTATTTATCTAAATTCTAAAATTACATAAATATTGTGATCCATGATATAAAATGGGAGAAATGTACAGAAGATATAAATTAAGTGTTGAGCTACAAAGATGAACTATAGTAAGTAAGTAAATATGTAGTTTAAAAAAAATTAAATCTTGTGATACAAAATGCTCTTGCATGCACAAATCAATCAATATGAAGTGCTATGGGATTCTTCTGCTCATCTCTGTGTCAATTTGATTGGCTTGGTTAAAACGTAAAAAGGCTTCTTGCTTTGAGTGAAAAACGGGCAAAAAATGGCTGACAAGAATGATAAAAGGCACATTAAAAGTGTGCATTAACAAATAAAGTAAAAACCCTTGCAGGAATGAAAGTGACTAACATTGACCATATATATATATTAAATGTTTCTACAAGCTCTTTAAACAAATAAGCTTTTTTTGTTAATTCTCTTCTGTGATCATCTCTTGAAGATATCGATATATAAATAAAGGTATGTTTGTATTTGGCAGCTGGACTGTGGCATACATCCAGGTTTAGAGGGAATGGACGCTCTCCCTTATATAGATTTGATTGATCCAGCTGAGATAGACCTGCTGCTCATCAGCCAGTGAGTCTCGTGCTCTGAAAATATTTGAGCACCTGTGTCACCCAGATCTATGCGTGTGATTGTCGTATTAAAAATGTTTTAATTTTGATGTTGATACATGTCTCGTCAGTTTCCACTTGGATCACTGCGGAGCTCTGCCCTGGTTCCTCCAAAAAACAAGCTTCAAAGGACGGACCTTCATGACTCATGCCACTAAGGCTATTTACCGCTGGTTACTATCAGACTACGTCAAGGTTAGGTAAGAGCAGAGGAGCTAATCCATCCATCCATCCATCCATTTTCTTCCGCTTATCTGGCGTCGGGTCGCGGGGGTATATATGGGGGCCGAGATGGTGTAGAAGCAGGGCAGCCGGCATGGGACCCGAAAGTCCCAGGTTCGATCCCCAGTCACTGCATACCGCATGGTGTCTCTGGGCAGCACACCTCATCCCCAAAATGCCCCCCCAGGCGCTTTCAATAGCTGCCCACTGCACCACCTGGTGGTGGATGGGTTAAATGCAGAGACTAATTTTGCCATTGTATGGAAACATACAGTGCTGATATTGTGATGACATTATTATTATTAAGTAGGGAGGCCCAGACTTCCCTCTCCCCAGCCACTTGGGCCAGCTCCTCCGGGGGAATCCTGAGGTGTTCCCAGGCCAGCCGAGAAACATAGTCCCTCCAACGTGTCCTGGGTCTTCCTCTGGGTCTCCTCCCGGTGGGACGTGTCTGGAACACTTCACCAGGGAGGCATCCAGGAGGCATCCAACCAGATGCCCGAGCCACCTCAACTGGCTCCTTTTGACGTGGAGAAACAGTGGCTCTACTCTGAGTCCCTCCCGGATGATCGAGCTTCTCACCCTCTCTCTAAGGGAGAGCCCAGACACCCTGCGGAGAAAACTAATTTTGGCCGCTTGTATCCGTGATCTCGTTCTTTCGGTCACAACCCAAAGCTCATGACCATAGATGAGGGTGGGAACGTAGATCGATCGGTAAATTGAGAGCTTCGCCTTTTGACTCAGCTCTCTTCACCACAACAGACCTGTACAGCGCCCGCTTCACTGCAGACGCTGCACCTATCCACCTATCGATCTCTCTCCATTTTTCCCTTATTCGTGAACAAGACCCCAAGATACTTGAACTCCTCCACTTGGGGCAGGACCTCCTCCCTGACCCAGAGAGGGCACTCCACCCTTTTCCGGCTCAAGACCATGGCCTCGGATTTGGAGGAACTGATCCTCATCCCGGCCGCGTTGCACTCGACTGTGAACTGCTCCATCGAAAGCTGTAGATCACGATCTGATGAAGCCAATAGGACCTACATTATCTGCAAAAAGCAGAGAGGCAATCCTAAGGCCACCAAAACAGATCCCCTCAACACCTTGGCTGCGCCTAGAAATTCTGTCTATAAAAGTTATGAACAGAATTGGTGACAAAGGGCAACCTTGGCGGAGTGAAACTCTTACTAGGAACAAGCCCGACTTACTGCCGGCGATGCGGACCAGGCTCTGACACCGGTCATACAGGGACCTAACAGCCCGTATCAAAGGGCCCGGTACCCCATACTCCCAGAGTACCCCCAACAGGGTTCCCTGAGAGACGCGGTCGAACGCCTTCTCTAAGTCCACAAAGCACATGTAGACTGGTTGGGCAATTTCCCACGCACCCTCCAGGACCCTGCTGAGAGTGTAGAGCTGGTCCAGTGTTCCACGGCCAGGACGAAAACCGCACTGCTCCTCCTGAATCTGAGGGTCAACTATCCGATGGACCCTCCTGTCCAGTACCCCCGAATAGACCTTACCGGGGAGGCTAAAGAGCATGATCCCCCTGTAGTTGGAACACACTCTACGGTCCCCCTTTTTGAATAGGGGGACCACCACCATGGTCTGCCAATCCAGGGGAACTTCCCTTGATGTCCACGCAATATTGCAGAGTCGCGTAAGCCAACACAACCCTACAACATCCAGAGCCTTAAGGAACTCCAGGCGAATCTCATCCACCCCTGGGACCCTGCCACTAAGGAGCTTTTTAACCACCTCGGTGACCTCAGCACCAGAGATTGGAGGGCCCGACCCAGAGTCCCCAGGCTCAGCTTCCTCAGTGGAAGACGTGCCGGTGGGATTGAGGAGGTCTTCAAAGTATTCTACAGAGGAGCTAATCTTATTAAAAATAACTTTCTTAATAAATTAGTACCAGTAAGTTGTATACAACCTGTTTTGTTATTCTACTTGCAGCAACATTTCTGCAGATGACATGCTGTACACTGAGACTGACCTGGAGGAAAGTATGGACAAGATTGAAACCATCAACTTCCACGAGGTTAAGGAGGTGGCCGGGGTCAAGTTTTGGTGTTACCATGCTGGTCACGTGCTTGGGGCGGCCATGTTCATGATCGAAATAGCTGGAGTTAAAGTAAACAATTTTTAAAAATCTGTAGTTTTGTTGTTGGGTTGTTTGGCGATGGAATGGAACAAAATGTACTTACAAGTTTTCCCTCCCCAAGCTGCTGTACACAGGAGACTTCTCCAGACAAGAGGACAGACATCTGATGGCAGCTGAGATCCCAAGTGTCAAACCTGACATTTTAATCATAGTATGCCCCAAATTAAAATATATAATGCTCATATTTCATGTTGGATATTTAAGTTATTGCATGACAGATGTGTTTATGTCTGTCTGCAGGAGTCAACGTACGGCACACACATCCATGAAAAGAGGGAGGAGCGTGAGGCTCGCTTCTGCAACACGGTTCATGACATCGTAAACAGAGAGGGTCGCTGTTTGATTCCTGTGTTTGCGTTGGGACGGGCCCAGGAATTGTTGCTCATCTTAGGTTAAAAATCACCCAACTCTTCCATTTAACTATTACTGCATTGGTTATGGTGCAGTTACAATAAAATCCATTTCTGGTTTTCATTTCAGAGTTATAATATTTTGCTCACATTTTATACGTTATTTGTTTCCCCTTTTTCCAACCCCATGATCTAGATGAGTACTGGCAGAATCACCCAGAGCTCCATGACATCCCAATCTACTATGCTTCATCCCTGGCCAAGAAGTGCATGGCTGTGTATCAGACTTATGTGAACGCAATGAACGACAAGATCCGCAAGGCCATCAACATCAACAACCCGTTTGTTTTCAAGCACATCAGCAATCTAAAGGTAGACGGTTCTACAGACCACTGCTTCTCTGGATCTTAAAGCTTTGAAAGGACTTGTGATCTCAAATTCCTGTCTGTACTTTTCAGAGCATGGACCACTTTGATGACATTGGCCCCAGTGTGGTGATGGCTTCTCCGGGAATGATGCAGAGTGGACTCTCCAGGGAGCTGTTTGAGAGCTGGTGCACGGATAAGAGGAACGGCGTCATCATCGCTGGGTACTGTGTGGAGGGAACGCTGGCTAAGGTCAGAACATGTCAGAAAATTAATAACCAACTCTATAATTTTTTTTAATTACAAAACAAGACTTAATTACTGTAGTTTCCATGCAGTCAAATCCTACATCTATTAGAAATCTATATGTTTGTTTTCATAAATTAAAATGATTTCATTATTAATAGGTGGCGTATTCATAGATTGTTTCTGTCCCCACTGAGTTTGTTTATTGCTTTGCAGCACATTATGTCTGAACCGGAGGAGATCACCACAATGTCAGGACAGAAACTGCAGCTGAAGATGTCGGTGGACTACATCTCCTTCTCTGCCCACACAGACTACCAGCAGACCAGCGAGTTCATCAGGGCTCTCAAACCCCCGCATGTGGTAGGAGGGGGAATTAAACTATTCTCTTTGTGATAAACTGTTCATATTCTTTTTTTCTTAAATGTATAAACACTTTTCTTAGTTGAAGTGGGATGCGTTTGTTCTCAGATCCTGGTTCACGGGGAGCAGAATGAGATGGCCCGTCTGAAGGCCGCCCTGATAAGGGAGTATGAGGATAACGACCAGGTTCACATCGAAGTCCACAACCCTCGCAACACAGAAGCTGTCACTCTGAACTTCAGAGGGGAGAAGCTGGCCAAAGTTCGTACTCCATCCATCTCAATTTTGTCTTTACTTTTAGAATAAAATATCAAAGCAGGTGAGCTTGGATGAAAAGTGCATTATTGGTTTTTGAAATGTTTCATTCCAGGTTATTGTCTGAGCACTGTGTCAATGCTGAACCTCCTCCCTGTAAGCAGTTTCAACATGGTTAGTTATCAGTCTTACTATGGTGTTACTGGTGTGGATGAGGGGACAAGCATAGTTGAAGATAGATTAATAGAATGGGCCGAGGACTCATCCCTGTGGTGTGCCTTTTGTTCAAGACAAAGGTGGATGATGTGAGCTCCAGTCGTAAAATTCTGTGTTCTGTTACTCAGGAAGTCCAACATCCAGGAGCAGTGAATGCCTGAGCCCAGGTTGCTGTTTTTGTACCAGTTCATGGGAGATAAATGTGTTTCTAATGAAGTGGCACGTTTAACACAAAACTGTAACTCGTCCTCTCAGGTGATGGGTTCTCTGGCTGATGAGAAATGTGTTCAGGGTCAGAGGGTGTCCGGAATATTAGTGAAGAAAAACTTCAACTACCACATCCTGAATCCATCTGATCTTTCAGGTAATTTAATTAAAGCACAGGATCACCCGAGGGTTTGAAGTGCCCCCGATTGCTTCAACTCAAACGTTCTGATATGAACTGTAAATGCACAGATTTAGCATAAAACATGACGTACCTGATCCGTTCTGTCAACAGCGTACACAGAGCTCGCCATGAGCACCGTGAAGCAGACTCAGGCCATCCCCTTCACTGGGCCGTACTCGCTGTTAGTCTGCCATCTGAGGAACCTCACCGGTAACAGTTCATTTCATGCCTTTGAGGCACAATTTATTCATCTTTCATTGCCTAAAAGTTTTACCCATCTGTTTTAGGGGATGTGGAGGAGCTGGACGGAACTCTGAAAAACACACTGAAGATCTTTAAGAACATCACTCTGATCCACGAGGCTGGCATGGTGATGCTGGAAGTGAGACGCCCCATCAGCATCTCTGAATCTGACTAGTCTTAAACAAAAATATTATTAGCGGCTGCTGTTCACTCTGCTACTCTTTATTTTTCTGCCTTAGTGGGTAGCTAACCCTCTCAACGACATGTACGCTGACGCAGTCACCACTGTGGTTTTGGAAGTCCAATCCAACCCAAAAGCTCAAAAAGGTCAGTTAGATTGTGTTTTCTTTATGCTTTTTTGTTGGTCTTCATTCACATTCATTCTAATTTATTGATGGTGTGACTGATTTTTGCTTTAAAATCTGTGATTTACTTTGTGTTGCATGAACAGTGATGGAGACCCAGAGCACCATTATGGACATGGATGTCTTCCAAACTCGATTAGAAATCATGTTGCAGTGAGTCAGACTTGTACACTTATAAGAAAGGATGTGTCCAATTTAAAAAAAAAAAAAGAAAGAATGTAAAATCAATGTATTTGCTCAAACAGCTGTTGGAGCTTAAATTAGTTTGTTTTCCATGTGCTTTCAGAGACATGTTCGGAGTAGAAAGCGTGGACTTCAGTGACGATAAAAGCATTTCTGTGACAGTAGATGAGAAAACGGTCCTCATCTGTCTGGAAACGCGGGTGAAAGGCTCTAAAGATGTTCAGTCTTCAACACAGTACAGTCCACATGCTGCTGGATTTGATCACTGACTTGTTTCACTCTCTGCAGTCGGCGTACTACGAGGACGAGAGCGTAGAGGACGACTCTTTGAGAGAGATGGTGGAACTGGCAGTGCAGCGGCTCTACGACGCCCTGAACCCAGTGATGTGAGGACGGAGACGACCAACCACACAGAGCGGTTAAAACTTCATAAATGACATCAAGTATTAGAGGGACTTTAGTCAAAACAATAACATAAGCTATGTGAAGAGTTGTTTTTAGATATTTTTGTGTTTTATGTTATTTAAAATAACGGCACTTTGTTTAATGTATTTATTAGTTAACTGTATTTGAATGTGTAATCACTGTAGGTTGTGTTTGACCTCTTAATGCACTGGTTTGTGTTGTGTTGGAACTGTGAATTTTTAAATGCACTAAATGTTCGTGTTTGTTGTACGTTTAGTTCAAATTTGTATTTATTTGATCGTTTAGACAAAATGGTTTTTAACAAGACAGAACGTCCGATAACTTTTCAGACATTCAAGAATATAAACGAGACCTGCAACATTTGTTGTTAAGTTTTCTCCCGTTTGTTCCCCAAGTTTCTTACAAAATTTGTGTTTAGCAGCCTTTGCTGGTGTAGTGTGCTAAGGGCTAGGTTAGCTGCCCTTGACTACAATATATTTAAATAAACGGGTTCTCTCTTTTTCGATTAAAATTACTGCCATGTGACCGAGGTAACTGTGCGTGGATTGTTTAATCAGTGACATGAGACGTTAATTTACTTTGACCCATCAGAATAAATGTGGTCATTTATTGAACAGAATCAAAATTTAACATCAAAACATTGTACACTTGATTAGCTGATCTGGTTCTGATTAATAAAACTTGGCACGTTTTACTTAATAAGACAACAGGACTTGAAGAAGGCATCTAGACTACTGGCAAAATAGAAGAGTTTAAAGATGGGAAATGAAGGAGTTTAAATGGAGAGAAAAGATGGATAAGGAGGGTGTGTCTGTTCGGACCGCAGAATGGCACGCTTCTTTCAACACCAGCCCAACTCTCCGGTACACTTGGTGCGTGACCACTTGTTACCTTTGCAGAAGATACATCAACTCCGGTACAGAGGTCCATTTCAACAATACCTTTCAGCGTCTCCGGGAAGAGCGGCTGGCCATATCAGGAGTCGCGCCTCCTACTCCGTTCAACAAACACGCTCATCTCCCGGGTGGATACACAGCAAGATGTGAGTCCGTCAGGTTCCACTCAGATGTGGAAGAATCCATCACAGGCTCCGAAGACTAAGTTCAAGACTAGACTTCATCAGAGACCCACTTGAGGAGCTCAGGAGACTTGACCGACTGACAGACCCAGTTGACTGAGAAGTTCCAGGAAGTGTGGACTCTTAAAGAGTTCTCACTTCCGGTCACTTCAGGACTTCCTGATTGGTTGAAACAACCAACAGGGGGTGGTTCTAGTGATGTCAGAGGGTCATTACAAGTCAAGAAAACGGCAGGAATGTTTTAGGGACTTTTAGTACAGACAAGAGAAATGTTATGACGATGTGAGAGCAAGCAGGTGCCAGTAGCTTCTTATTTACCGTCTGCTAGGTTTAAAAACACGACACTTCGTTCTAATAACTTCTTTCTGACTTTCGACCGACATCACTACTCCTCATTTCAGACAGAAGATCAAAATGCATAAGTACTTTGTAACTAGACATTTAACTTGATTTCTAATTTAAATGAGGATTAAAAAATCAATACTGTTTCACAGTTGATTTAAAATGAGTGGTTCACTTCAACATTTAGAAATGGTATGAACTAAACACACTTTTGATTTATCAAGATATTGTAAAATAGTAATGATAATATAAAAGAAGAGTGTTCTTTCAATTGATTACTTCAGGATACAATTAGAAAGTCTCTGGATGAGCTAATTTGTATTTCTGGATTCAAATCAATGAAACAGTTCCTGTCCCATGAAGGTCCTCAGAGGCAGGATTTGGTCGGAGGCCGAGTTCACTACACTGGGCTGTTTCAAAAGAAGTTTAGATCAGTGGTCCCCAACCCTGGTCCTTGAGGAACACCATTCAGCATGTTTTAATCGTTTCCCTGCATTGACACACCTGATATGAAAGAATGGGTGATTAACAGCTTTGGGCAGAACTTGATAAAGTAATTAAATCACTGAATCAGGTGTGTTGGAGCAAAGAAACAACTAACATGCAGGATGGTGTTCCTCAAGGACCAGTGTTGGGAACCACTGGTTTCGACGATCCATTCAGCAAAACATGCAACGAGACATTTAGGGTCCACTTAAATCCTTAGGAAATGACACTTTCATTAATCTGTTTAGCACCACTTAGGTTAGTGAATATTAGGAATGATGTCAAAGATAAAGGTCTGATTGTTGGTTGTTTATTAAAAAATGTCAAACATGAAAGGCATATCCTTCGGATTAATCGTCTGATCACAACCTCAGATTTTTTTTTGTCCCCATTACAGTCAGACTTTCAGAACCGACTTCCACTGCTAATATAATTTTGCCTTAACTAAAAAACAGAACATATTTCCTCCACTACTGGAGCACAAACTGACCTCATTTCCTTAAATTAATTGTTAAAATTGAATAGTTTTCATTTGACACTATTTCTATCTTAACATGTGATTCTTGACCTGCCATTGTGTATCTGTTCCTACCAAACCCAGCTGGTCGAAGCAGATGACCGCTTGTCCTGAGTCTGGTTCTGCTAAAGGTTTCTTTCTCACTCATGAGGGAGTTTTTCCTTTCCACTTTCGCCTTCCTGCTTGCTCAAGATGAGAGTCTGCGATGAAGTTAAACTCAAAGTCTGCTCCTCAGATAAATATTAATTTACTTTTTATATATAAATGTTTCTGTTCGGTGCCCTGAGATGACTTCTGTTGCTACTTGGCGCTGTATAAATAAACTGAACTGAATTAAGTCATAGTTGATAAAATCAGCACGACCATTCCCGCCATCAACAAAATTCCCAACACATCGAAATGGACGCCACTATCTTGGCCCAGCACAGACCGCCTGCTGTCGGCCTGCTGTCTGGCCGAGCCCCCGGCGGTGTCTCCATGCTTGGCTGAGGGGTGTTTGGTTGTGCCGGTGAGGTCCGACAGACTCAAGAGTCTCCGGTCGAACTTCTTCCGGAGCACCTTGTTTCCCAGCACCATGTAGGCCTCGTTGATCACCGTGAATTGAACGGTGGCGTCCACACCGCCGGGGTTTTTGTCCGGATGGTACATGAAGGACTTCTTGTAGTACGCCATTTTTTATCTGGGCTTGGGTGGCAGAGGGTGACAGTCCCAGGATATCATAATACCCTGTTTTGGTTCGGTATAGAGGCTCAGATCTGCTACCATTGTTGTTGTATTTCCCGATAAAAACAAACTGCTCATGTACCAAGAACTGTCGAAAACACAGACTCTGCTGTCCGAGGAAGAGGTTGGATACATGACTCCAAATCATTGTATAGTTCCGGTATTTATGAACTTTCCATCCAGTTGGTTTCACCCGATTCTTTCTTGAATGTGGATTTCCTTTAGATCCACTGTGACAATATTCTTCAGCGTAATTCGCCTTTTCCAAACTGGCTTCAAGCAGGTGACAGTCTCCTGTCACCCCATACCTCCAAAGATTATTAAGGAAATTAATAAATTAAACTTTAACTTTATTTGGAGAAATAAACATCATTATATCAAAAAAGGAGATACAGTTAAAAATTATGAAGATGGTGGGATTAAAGCAATAGATTTTGAAATAATGAATGGCGTATTAAAACTTAAATGGCTTCAATCTTTTCTTAAAAATGGTCATGAGCTTTGGTTTGCTGTCCCCACTTTGGTTTTTAGTAAAGTTGGAGGTATTGACTTCCTGTTAAGACGTGACTTTGACATTCCTAAATTACCGGTTAAATTATCTGCTTTTCACCAACAGGTGTTATTAAACTGGAAACCAGCATACAAACATAACTTCAGTCCTCATGATGTTCCTTTTTGGAACAACAGAGTCGTTTTACATAGAAGGAAGTCTGTGTTCATGGAAACATGGATGGAGAAACAAATATGGTCACTCACTCATCTCATGGATGAAAAGGGAAATCTATATGACTATGAAGAATTCACAAAAAAATATAATCTAATCTGTACCAAAAAAGACTGATAAAGTAACAAAAAATATACCAATTGCATTTGTTCAGTTAATAAAGAATAATTATGAAACTAAACCAACAATTAGTTTACCGAGCATCAATCTCAGTGGACTAAATTTAACACACAATAAATGCAACAACAAATTTTTAAGACAACATTTAATAAAAACAATATATTCTGGTCAGGTAAGAAGAAAGTTTCACGATTTCTATGATAAGAAGGAAAGAATAAAAATAATGACAACATATCTGGGTTTCCCTCTTCCACCTAAATATAAAGAATTACATTTCAAAACTCTAAATAATATTTATCCTTCTAACGAGTTTATTAGAAATAGATTTAAATTTGAATGTGATAACTGTTCTATATGTAACGAACCTGAAACAACAGAACATTTATTCTATTTCTGTCATTCTGTGAACACATTATGGAAATCCCTTCACGATCTCCTGACCATCAAATCTATGAACATAGACTCCTTCTCCGTTCAGAATATATTATATGGATATGTATCTGAAAATAAAAAAGATGAATACTTTGCCAATAACATTATCATAATATTGAAATTCTATATACATAAATGCAGATATGGCAAGTCTCAACCAGTATGGTCTGTATTCAAACAAGAACTCCATTTGTTAAAACTTTCATTAGACAGAGCTAAAAAACCACAAGCAAAAAAGCTCTGATCACCTCGCTCAGATAATATAGCCCTCTGACAAATTATTTTAGTAATTATGTAGATTCTTAGATAAATAGTTAGTTGTTTAATTTACTGTACTATATTATTTGCAAACTCTCAAATAGTATTATTACCTAAATTTAAGTTTATGATGGTTGATATGATAATTCGTTTAAGAATATGTTGACCTTATAGGTATGATTGTAGATATTTGTATATGTTTATATGTATCATTGTAATTTGAGATTGTCATTTGTTGTTCTATTTGTGTTCTTTTGTTCTGTATGTTCAGTAGTTCAATAAAGTAAAAAAATAAATAAATAAATAAATAAATAAAAGTTTGAAGAAAAAAAAAAGTCTCTTGTCACCCAGTTACCTGCTTCATTTCCGGTTCCGTTCCGTCCGCAGTTTTTAACGTCATCGAGCACATTCCCCGCCAACTTTGAGGAGGGATGTACTACATTTATCCAGACTTTGCTTTGGCTGTCCAAGGGATGGTAATTAAACAGTTTCATAAAGTCGTTAGCTGCTCCACTTCCAACTAACTGCTTGACCTTCGCCATGTTTTTATGGAGAAAGGCGGAAGATGTTTCAACCACAGCGCCCCCAGTGGTCAGGATGTGGAACGGCCCAAATAATTAATGTTAATGTTTTTAACTGTGTATTATTATTATTTTTTATCTAAAAATGTAAACATTCCAAATATCTGATGACTTTACTCATCCCTTTAGTTGGCAGCTCAGAACATCACATACAGAACACCATGGACTTTTGGACAAGGTGAGGGATGTCATCATGGAGACTGATGAAACAACGGTCTCTTGATGTCACATCACTCTTTACGTGCATTCCTGTTGATGATGCAGTAGAGGTGGTCAGTTTAAGGTTAAAATCAGACACCACGCTGAGCAGCAGGACCACGCTTTCCACAGAACAACTGTGTCATCTCTTGAAACTGCAGTCAACCTGCTTCACATCATTGACGAGAGCAACAACACCGCTGAAGCCACGGAGCTCGAATATCCAACGTAAAACTGACTTTACCGCAGTGATATAGGAGCCATTATTATAGGCAGAAACATGGGTGTGCTATGGGGTCTCCAGTTTCTACTACTGTTGCCAACCTGTACATGGAGGAGGTAGAAAAGAGAACCTTGATGTCCTTTTCAGGGACACCACCAGTCCAGGTATGTTGATAACACCTGAGTTAAAATAAGATCTCAGGAAGTCCAACATTTCACTGATCACATCAGCTCTGTGGATAAATATATAAAGTTCACATGAGAAGATGTAAAAAATGGCAGATTGGCTTTCTTGGTTTGTGTGATCTTTAATGGAGGACACTGCAAACGAACCCACACAGTTTGTAAACTGTACTTAACGTTTCTTGTCTTCTTCTTTCGGCTGCTCCTTTCTTCAGGGGTCGCCACAGTGAACTAACTCGCACAAAGTCTTGGCAATTATTTTTATGTCAGATGCCCTTAATGACACAACCACCGAGCTACCACCGCCCTCTGTGTGGAGCAGAGAGCTGCCATGCCCCGGGGGAGCAGATGGTGAGGGTTAAGGGCCTTGCTCAAGGGCCCAGAGTAGTGCAAATGAGGGTGGAGGCAGGTGTGGTTGCTTCACCATTACCACTCACATTTTGATGTTGTTGGTCTGAGGAGTTGAAACGGTAACTATCCGATCACCGGCCCACCTTCTCTAACCTCTGCACCACTGTACTCAACCACTGCTCAAACCAAAGCTGGATTTTTTTTTACGCCTTTTAATTTGAAATACTTGTTTTTGTCAGTCACAAGAAAGTAAGTTTGGTGGTGATAACATTATTATTATTATTATTATTTGTCAAACAAATTGCAACTACTCTGTAAACAAAGACTCTTATTGTGAAATTTTCTTTTACCGTAACCGGACGTTGCCTCTCTAGCGCATCCGGTGTTCCACGGCTTTACGGTTAACATGATGCAGGGGATGTGCTTGTTTAACTGATACATCATTTTGTCGACCACGCCTGTTCTGTATCATCATGGTCAACCTCTGCTGTCTTTGCTGCGGTGAACTTCCGGCGGAACCCCGCAAGCAGCCGGGAGCTCTGCGGGACTCACGCTTGCAGCATCAGCAGCCTGCGGGCTCCGGACTAGACCCGGTGGTGGGTCTGAGGAGGGAGGCCCAAAAACAGGGAGTAAACGGAGAGATGCCTGCGGCCAAGCAAGTGAAAAGAGATGCATGAGTAACTCTGCAGCCAGCAGGACTCACCTGATTGAACACAACAGAAAATTATTCTGTATTATTTTCAGTTAAAACATAATACAGTTTAAAAAAAATTAAAACGTGTGCCCAGTAAGGTAAGTCATTTTCATGTTGATTGTTTTTTTTTTAATTGCATGCAGAACAATTTGATTCATTCGATCTTAGCAATTGTTATTGTGTTCACTCAGCCCCAGACTAATGAGGAAAAAAAAAAAAAAAGTTTTCACAAACATGCACAGATTTTAGCAGATTTGTGTAAAATATTTACAGCATGCTATAGATCTCAACACTTATCACAAGCAAAAAGGAAGCTCATATAGATTTCTTTAACAAGCCAATTGAACAAGTCCTTAATAAATATGTTTTTTAATTGTGTGTTTAGGTTTTTAACATGTTATCCTAATAATATTGTGAAGGCATTTGCCTGGCAATAGAATTTTGCTAAACAATTTTTTAACATTTCTTACTTTCCACCAGGGTATTTGAATGTGTCCTTTTGCAGAAAAAAAAAAAGCATGTTATCAAAGACAGACATATGAAAACACCACAGCGATGTTTATTTGTTGTGATCCAGAGTCCTACAGGGGAACTATGTGTTAATAAAATCCACTCAGCTTCCTGTGGTGGGGTTTATTTTGTGGAAAAGTTCTGCAGCTTGTAGTTTAACTGCAGTAGTTGGGATTTCTGTTGCATGCCACTGACCCACCAGCATGTATTGCATTCTGTTCTTTACTCTGCTTTGCTTGTCTCTGCAGCATCATCCAGTCCAGACATTTGTTTGGTCCTTGTGTGCAGAAAGTCTCATTGTCTGCTGCTTTTGGCGCTCATGCACATTCTGCCCCTCACTTACCTCTGGGGTCCTTCTGGGATAGGAGGGCACTCCATAATTTGCCAGCTGCATCTGCATCTCTTTGGCCTTCCTGCTCCTTCAACATGCAGGTTGGAGTGCTAGCACTGTATAACTGAGCTGCAGCCAAAAGAAAACGTGGACAGCACCTACGACCAAGTGCTACAGAAGCAAGAGGTCCAACCTTGCATTTTGTCCAAGTTGTCATTTCAGGGGCCGGCAAGGAATACAGATGAAGAACATGGACTTAAAAGAAAAAATGATCGCCTGGAAAGAACTTATGTAAAAGACAATATCTTTACACAGAGACGAAAATATTCTTGTTTACAAGTTATTTAATCGTTGATGAAGAAATATGAACCTTGAGCTTTCATGTTAATCTAAAGGAATGACCAGAACCAGTGGAAATATTTTAAACACCCATCTTTAATAAATAATTTGTATGTTTCCAATTTTTTAAAATTTATCATGAATGCCTAATTACTGTTCTTTAGTTTTCAGTTCTCGCTCTTTAATAGAAACTTGGATTTTTAAATATACGTATGGAGTGTGCTGACTTCTCTAAATAAACTAACACATCAAATAAACTGAAGACCAGTTCATGTTTTGTCTCAGTTCTCGCTGTAAGTCATTGTCACTTGGCTATGTTTATGAATAACAACTGACCGAACTGAATATAAAATGTTGTCAAATGTTTGTTTTAATTATTCATTTTTGGATGGATGGATTTTTTTTGCATCCGTGTTGCAGACAAACAGCGATTGAGCAAATAACTCATATCTATATGGTTTTTAAGACCATAAACCATTAACCATAAGGTTATAACCATAACCATTAAGACCATTAAGGAGTTGCTTTCTGTGTATTTCAATAATAAATAAAACGGATGAACAAACGCGTAAAGTCAAAATTAACTCTATAATTGTAGGTTTTCGTCACCTTTATTGTAATAATTGTTTATTATGATCCATAAATGAGTTTGAGCGCTCCGCAGAGGCAAAGTACCCGGATGTGATTCTTTGCCTGAGCGTAGCTCACGTAACGAGCGTCCGTATGACGTCACTTCCTAAGCGCGCGAGAATATGCTAGCAGCTTGCTAACGTCCCAGAAAAACATCGAAGGACATTTTTACGTTCTGTCATCTAAAAAGCTCGTGGCGTTTAGCTCTTCCTGTGTCGTGTAGTTTATTTTATCGAGCATTCAGATGCCGTGTCCGCTCTGCTGTGAAGTCTGCCCGGTTGTTGACATTGATAATGGATGTTTTCTTCGTGCTAAACGCAACTTTTTCGCGGATGTTTTCCTCTGAACTGTGTTTACTCCCCCGGTTGGCTTCGACTCGGCATTAAGCCCGGCTGTGATGAAGCTGCAGTGCTGTGTGGAGGTGGTGAGTCACTTGCTCCCCACGTATGGGATGAGAGGTCGGGGTAAGGGGGTGCGAGCGCTGGTTTCCATCGGGAAGCACATGGACAAGTCCAGCCAACACAGCCATGTTTACATGATGGTCTGCACGGCCAAAGACAGGACAGGAAACAAGTATAAGGTGTGTTTGAGCTGTTCAGCTATTTGGATCGGTTATTTCTGGCACAGCTCTCTTTATTTTACTCTTTATTTACATCTGGGTGTTTGTGTTTTAATTCTGGGTCGTCTAACTAAATAGCATTTCACATTTTATTTTCAGATCAAGGGCTAATACAGAAACAAAGAGTCACAACGCCTGAAAATGAATCTTTAGACAGTTTAAATAGTTAAGATGATCCAAAATGTTTCTGCCCCACAAGATATTTACCAAGCCTCATAGAAGAACCTTTAAAATGTGATGTTCTTACTTAATCAGTCATTTATGTTTGTTCTGTATTCTGTATATTAACATGTATATTTTGAAAGTTAGTGTTGTATTCAGTGGCGCCTCTTTAAAATGATCCCGACAGTGTTTGAGCATGAAAACTAGCTCATGATGTCATTTTACTTTGTGTCTGTTGAGTCAAATCACTTGTTTTCATTATTTATTGTGTTGTGTGCATCAGCTTGGAATGGCGCCTGGTGATAAAGATTTTTAATTTGAAAATCTTCCTCCAAGGGCTCACAAGAACCCCGTACATCTAAAGTAAAAGGTCTTTTAGCCTTTGTTGACTAAAAGTTGCAGTGCTTTTACATCTGTCAAGACTTGTTCAAGGTTTGAATCAGTCTTGATGAAATGTTCCTTCATGCCTGCCTAACCTTAAGTTGTGAAATTAGTTGTTTTTTTCCGCGCTGCTTATGTTTGCTAATTTATCTTTCAGCTGAAGGACAACATTGAAAAGTTTTTTACTTGGTTTGTGGAAGAAGGCAAAGCAACTGTAAGGCTAAAGGAACCAGCTGTTGACATTTGTTTGAGCAAGGTATGTCATCTTACATGTTGTTCTAAAAAGTCTTAAGTTCACTTCAGAGACGGGGTCAGAGTAAAAAATGAAAGGTTTTTGAACTTTGAGGATTATATTAACCACTATAATTACGTCATCGGGCCACAATATTATCAAACACTTAAATATATTAAAACGCTTCACCCTTGTTTTTATCTCAACCTCATATCTTGTTCACTGAACAGAACAGTGTCAGGATATCTAGGCCAATGAATTCAGGTTAGGTATTTCCAGGAATTCGGTGAAACGCACTCAGCCGCAGGAGATAGTGTGCGTCTGCTTTTTGTATCACCAGACCCAACCTATGGACACACCTGCATCTTTATGTCTTTGCAGGCCGATGCAAATAGCTTGAAGAGCTTCCTAGCAGCAGCTCGACTGGCGGACCGAGGCGGTGACACACACAGCCTTCCTCTGTCCACGCTCACTCCTGTTCGGGCCAGAGATGTAGAGCAGCCAAAGAAGAAGCTCGCCATCATGTCCAAGAAGGATTACCCCCTCACCTCCAGCTTTCCTCACACTCTGGAGCAGCTGCAGGTCTCGTACTGTAGACTGTCACGAGTGGACATGCGCATGCTGTCCCTCAAAGGTACGCTGATACGAGTCGGTTGTTGATATGCTAAAACGCTGATGTTTTCTAACGCTGTTTAGGTCATTGTTTTGTGTTTTGGTTCACCGCTGGTTGAGCTTCTGGTGGAGTTGCTGCTGTTGCTGATTTTTTTTAACTTTTGTTTTTATAGCTCTGCGCAGGCTGGATCTGAGCAACAACCACATCAAGAAACTCCCTGCCACCATCGGCGACCTCAGTTGTCTCTCTGAGCTCGTCCTTCACAACAACCACCTGGAGGCCTTCAGTGAAGCCCTCTGCCTGTCCACTCTGCAGCGGACGCTCCAGGTGCTGGACCTCAGTCAGAACCGACTGCAGTCGCTCCCCGTCCAGTTTTGTCAGCTCAGAGAACTAGTCCACCTCAAGCTGGATAACAACAAGCTTGTTTGTTTGCCGTTCCACGTTGGCCGCCTCACAAAGTTGAGGTTCCTGTTCGCTGCACATAACCAGCTCACTGTGCTGCCTTGTGACTTTCGTAAGCTGAGTCTTGAAAACCTGGACCTGTTTGGAAATCCGTTTGTGCACCCCAATCCTCTGGACCACACAATGCAGCTTACTTTCCCCCTTCCTCTACAAGAAATCGCCTCCAGAGCTGTGGCTGAGCTCAGGTTAGATTTTAACTCTTGTCACATTTACTATCACTGTTGTTCCTAAACTCTCACAGCGGACAAACGAATGAACTTCCTATTTGTTTATTTACCTCCCAGGATTCCATATGGCCCTCACCTCATTCCTGCCCACCTGTGTCGAGACCTTGAAGTAGCCAAGCTGTGCGAGTGTGGCTGCATCTGCATCAACTTCTACATCAAGACAGCGGTGCGCATGAACCTGCACCAGGTCTCTCACACGGTTGTATTGGTGGACGGCATGGGGGGCACAGACGCACCTGTGCAACGATATTTCTGCTCCCTCTCCTGCTACTCCGAATTTTTAGATAACTCTCTCCAGCGAGGCATAAGATGAGAAAGCAGACGTTTTCGACCCACGTTTGGAAAGCGCTGTGGCAGCTGGTGTTGACTGTGTTACAAGACGTTGTAGGAAGCTACATTTAAAGAATGAAAAAGAAGGTTGCCTGTGTTGGTAACCATTTGTTTTCATGGTGGTGTCTTTAAATGATTGGATGGCTTCGGTTAAGCTTTGCTTTTAAACGTGCTTCAAGCAGCTATTTGTACACTAACCTCAATGTAGGACCTGCTCTATTTGCACCAGAGTAGCACTGATTAATTGGAGTGACACAAAAGATCTGTGCTGCTGCTGAGTTTTACACATTATCTTGTTTTTTTGTTTTGTTTTTGTTTTTAAGAACAGACTGCAGGTTCTCCTAATGAGCTTCTTCTTTCCGACAGGGGAATAAAGAAACAACTTTCCCAAGCACAGTGCTTCGGCGTCTATGAGCCGGAGCTAAGAGGATTTGGTTATTACTGCGCTAAAGACCTTGAATTTTTATAAATGCATTAAAAAAATAAAAATGTTCATTGTCATGCGTTTAGTAGTTTATTTACATTTTTAGTATTATAGCTACATGCTAATTCTGTTTCTACCTGAGCCAGCCAGGATGCAGCAGTCTGCAGAAGTTTTGATTGCTTTCAAGCTCGTAACAAATTTGATTGGTTGTCTCGTTGTTTTTGGTGTTCCAGACCAGACGACACAGTGGAGTTGTGTAGGACTCCCAACGCAGCGTTGCAACAATATCCCTTTTGTGAAAACATGAAAAAAAAGTGAGGAGGAAAATGTAAACTCTCAAATCTTATCTACTTCAGTCTGTCAGGGGCTTCGATGGTGACAAATATCGATGGTGACAAATATATGCTACCCTTTGAATTTGTCTTACACTATGAATTATAATTCTTCTGAGTCCTTAAAACATTTATTCAGTTAACCTTTAAATCAGTTTGGGTATTCAGCAATGCAAAAATGAATGATGTACTATTTTAGTATGAAAAAAGATGCAAACAAACGTGTTTTTATGGGACTGCACACAGAAAATCAAAGTGGATATTAAGCTAGGGTAAGATAAAAAAAAAAAGTGAAATTTTTGTTTACAATCTGTAATAATTAATTTACAACTACGGACATTTGTGTTTGCTCAACGTGATTAACTGGACTATCTGGGTTGACTCCAAAGCTTAATCAGTTGTAAATGCACATCCAGTCAGTACTTTTTGATTTAATTCAAATCTATTTAGTGGTTCATGAGATTTTTTTTTTTTTACTAGCACTCAGGTAGTTACAGTGAACACAATAATAATTTAAAATAAACTATCCTATATGCTAATATTGTACTTAAACACAAACTTTTAATGTTGTTTTGTTTGTTGTTGTTTGTCGGAGTCCACGACAAAAAAATCTTGATCTTTTACGTTTTTAATTTTTTTTTAATAATTTTAATTTACTGTATTTAATAAGTTACTCCCCCAAATGTGTGGGTCCCAGCTAATTTTTTCGTATATTTTTATTTTAATAAATACGGCGTAACATAGTTATCAAGTGTGCAACATTTCATATTGTATATATTATAAATATATATTTATATAATTTATGCGCATACGCGTTTGTGTAAATTAAATAAAAAATTTCGGGGGAAGAATTTTATTGTCGCACTGTCGAGCTCCCTGCGTTTCCATGGTTACGTCAACAAAGCTAACTTCCGGTTTCTTCGCTTCAAGTTGCTTGACCAGCTAAACTTTAGGTAAATCGCATTTTTTTTTCCCATTTCATGGACTTTATCAGTTAATGTGTTTGAATTTAAACTATTTTCTGAACGTTTAGGTCAGAAATTCATTCAACTCGTTGCCGCCTCGAACAAATACCAGCATGGAGGAGGTCGGAGACGAGCTCCAGCTGACAGCGGATGAAGTCGACAGATTTACCAAAGCTTTCAGGGACGGTAAATTCAGAGAGATGTTGTGCGACTACGCTCAGGAAATATCCGACCCCGCGAACAGGAAAAAGTACGAAGAGGAAATCAAACTCTTGGAGCAAGAAAGAGGCAACTGCATCGAGTTCATCCACCCGACGCCGTTCAGGGTTCTCAAAACGAGCGCAGGTGGAAAGCAGAAATGCTTCATCAACATCTGCAGCAACGAGAAAGTCGGGAAGCCTGATTTTAAGGGTGCTGTGTTGAAGGATGGCCGCAGGGGCCAGTGCTGGTCTCTTCCTCTCAGTCTTTCACCTGGGAGGCAAAACACAGCTCCAAAAGGAAACGAATATGTGATCTATGACGTCATTTTTCACCCTGACACGCTGCACATGGCGGCTAAAAGCAAGATCTTTATGGATATGGTGCACCACACGGCCATTGATGAAGTCCAGAAAGCCTTTAAGGTGATTCTGGACAAAAACAATGTGAGAGAAGTCAAAACTAAATACAAGGGTACCCCTCAGCCATGTGTGATCAGAAAACCTATACCTGGGTACGAAGCTAAAGGGCCCCCTGAGGAGACGGACCCCCTCGCCTTCCCGTATCCGCATGGACCACAGACAAAGCCTTCAGAGTCGCCTCTTAAAACGAACAGCAGCTTCAAGATCCAACCGCAAAAAGCCGAAGAGCCAACAAAGCCAAACTACACGGTAAAATACAGATCTGTCATTGATTTACAGGACTTCAGGCGTTCTAGAGACTCTGCTCAAAGCCCCAGACCTAAAGAAATAGTGATTACTATTGACCTGCCGCTCCTGAAGACAGTCGGAGACACCAGCCTTGAAGTAAAAGAGAAAATCCTGTGGCTGGAGTCCAAACATCCGGCCTACAGACTGGAGCTGCCTTTATCCTACCCTGTAGATGAAGACAACGGAGAGGCCAAGTTCAACAAACAACGCAGACAGCTCACTGTCACGCTGCCTGTCCAACCACCCCGTGAAGAGTTTTCCTGCTTTGACCCTGCCACACCTGTAAATGATTCCCAGGGTGTCGGGGAGGAGACAAGTGAGGTGGGAGAGGAAGAACTGGAGAGCAAAAAAGAGGAGAAGGCAAAAGAGAAGGGGGCAGAGGAGCTAAGGATGGAGAAGCAGGCGTCAGCAAGAGAAAAAGTTACCAAAGAAGAAAATCGAAAGAGTGCAAGAGAGCTGTTTGAAACCAGTGAACAACAATGTAGAACTGGCGAACAGGAGGAAAACTGTGAAAGACCAGAAAGAAAAGGCCAAGGAAGTGAGGAGCAACTTCCACAATACGAACCACTTGAAGAGAAGGGGGAGGTGAAGGAAGAAATTGAACAACTGCAGAACAAACAAAACAGAGATGAAGACAGTTGTGACAGCGTCATGGGCGATGATGTCGCTCTGAAAATGAACTTCTCTGCTGAGGAGGAAACCACAGCTGTTGATGAGAGAACAGAAGCTTCATCTAAAGCGGAACACATTTCAACCTCTGATGAACTAATCCCTGAAGAGGGCGGGGAAGCAAAAGGAACATTAGCGTCAGAGTCCACCTCCACAGCGACGACAAACGTAAACCACACCGATGTCAGGGGCGTGAGTATTTCTGAAGGAGGCATGAAGTCTCACAGATGTGACAAACACATCCAGCAGTAGAGATCTCAGCGTTGTCTCTTTGAAACAGGAGGAAGAGGATGCAGGTGAAGTGCCAGAAGAGCAAGTCTTCCAGACCCCAGAGCGTGACAAGAAGCCACCGGCAGCAACACTGAGAGAGATTGACGCGAATGGAAACGAGACGGTGATCGGTGACCATTCCACGTCTGCAGGGTTCGTCTTCCAAAACAAGCTGATATACGAGCTGGACTGATGTGTTGTCACAGTGAGGAGCAGCTACATTCAGCTGAAGTCAGCTTTGACTTGTTGTCAAGCCTCTTCAGCTGCTTCAGTCAAGTGCACAACAAAATCTGTATTAAAAATATATTTTAGCTTGAATTACATTAGATGTGTTTAATGATTACCTGAAGTTTTAAGTCATTAGTGCAACTATTTGAACAGATTTGTTGTTCTTGTGTTTGTTGATTTCATTAAATTTTGAAAAGAGCAGAAAGTCGTCGTTCTTTGCTTAAGTAAGAGGTGAAATATCACATTATAACAAAGCTCTGATGCAAGTAAAAGTCATACTTTTAAGAAATATTCACAGTAGGAGTGGTGATATTCAGAGTTTTCAGCTCCGGTCATAATGATGTTTAAGGATTTTAGGGTTTTTTTTTTGCATAGACAGACTCAGTAATTTGAAGTACTAAAATGTTACATTATTTATTAAATGGATAGCTTAAATTAAAAACAAAAAACAAAACATCTAGCACATTGTTCTGGGGGGGAAGGGGGCTACTGTTTCACCAAATTTAGAGCTATTTAGTGAATTCTGAAAGTGTCAAAACACAACACGGGGTTTTTCTTAGCTCACGTCCTATTTGAATTTAGCATAAGTCAAAAAGTGCTCCAAATGAGCCCAAATGTTGTTCTTGTTTTTTTTTTTTTTATATCCTACAGAAATCCAACCAACGATTCACGTCTAGTCCCCAAAAATTGTTAAGATGGGATGGAATCTTTCTACAAAATAATTTATTTTTCAGTCAAATAAACTGTTGCTGTACAATTTGTTTGAACGTGAATGCTGAGAAACTTTTTTTTTTTAGCTTTTTGTGTTATTTGTGTGCAAATATGTCAAAGAGGCATTTAAAAGCTCTTGCTCTCAGCTAAATGAAATGTTCTAATAATGATAATAATACCATAAAATATTGTGGTTGATTACAAGTATTAATTGAGGCGGTTTATATAATTTACATGTGTTACATACTTTGACCAGCAGGCGTCGCTGTAGTCCACAGCTTCGGTGGCACATGGCCAGCGATGAAGTCGGTCAGTAAGGCAGGTGGGCGGGTGTGCAGAGGCAAGCGCTGATTGGTCAGTAAAGCTGGTAGGTAGGTGTGCAACAAAGAGCATTGATTGGTCAGTGTAGCGGAAAAGCGGGGTTCGCGGGTGCTGATTGGTCGCGCCCCCAACAGTTCACGCGTCCTTCTGTCTGATTGAAAGAACGTCACGAGGCCGCTGTTTATCATTTCATAAAAACATACTGTACTCCCAGGGTTGATAGCTGAAGTGAGAATAATTAAAAAAATACTCTTAGGAAATTTGCATCTTTGTATGTAATCTACAAACTATAGGAGAAATTGTTAGCTAAAATATTTAATTCAGTTTACGGAAGAGTTGTGGGACTTCAGTGAATTAAACATCCTGCCCGTCACTCCTGACTCATCGACCTATCTGGCCCTGAAACAGTGCTCTCAGATTATCAGCCTAAAGAGCTTTTATAACAGAGGGGGATTTTTTTTATTGACCTCACAGGAAGTTGCCCACAGCTTAGTAAGAACGTTTTAAAGAATCGTGAGTTTGAACTGACCCAAAAAGGCCAAGGAGGAGTTGGTGTGACGCACGGAGGACGTGGGCCAGTACCACTCACAGCTTTTGTCTCATTCTGCCGGGAAAGGGCTGCTGACTAGTCTTCCCAGAATCAGATACGAGCAACGTCACAAACAAGTGCTCAATTAAACATCTTTTTTTATTACAAACATGATATTAAATAATATGAAAAGGTATGTGAGGAGATACAATCAAGGCATAATCATAGTACTGCTGATTAGTGTTCATATTTACAACGTGTCGACGTTTCCCCCAAATAAGACACGTAAATGCCTTTTCATACTAAAACAAAGTACATTCACGTATTATACCAAGGAAAATGTCTCGTAGGGGAGGCAAAGAAAGGGAAATGTCAAAGACCAACTTCTTACAAGGCTTTGGCAAGACAAATTATGAATAATAAAAAAAAGTAAACTAAGAATCTTTTAGGGAAAACACGTGTACAAATGAGCAGTAGAGCAGGAACAGTCCAGTGCTTCTTTTTGTTGTTTTTTATCCCAATGAGTAAAGAGGAGCAGTTTTTTTGTGCTTGGCTGCTCCCTTCATCCCTCTGGTATTTTGGGAGTGAATAAGATGGCATTTGTTCGTTGTTTACTTGGAGACAGCAGGTACCAACACGCTCAAGGTAGCAATGGCGGGCTTAGAGGGAGGAGTTTTTCCAGCAGCCATTTTGCTCAGGTTGCGAACGTCCGCCTGCCAGGTAGGAATCTTTTTTGTGGTCATGTGACGGCGGGCGTGTTTGGTTAGATGATCGCTGCGCATAAATCGCCGGTCGCATACGGGACAGACAAACTTCTTCTCGCCGGTGTGCGTTCGGCGGTGCCGGGAGAGCTCGTCAGAGCGTGCGAACCTCTTGTCACATCCTTCCCAGCTGCAGCTGAAGGGCTTCTCGCCTAAGGGAGGGACGCAAACAAAGACGGAGAAATGACTCAGACTGTTATAAGAACGTGACTCGTCATTAATGACACAAAACGATGAGCTCAGAGTCTGATCATCAAGAAAAACAAGACTGAGACAAACAGGACGCGACAGTCACATCCTCAAGAGAAATACTGCCAAAGACCTCTGCATCCAGGAGACGCTCACCTGTGTGTGTTCGCAGGTGAGCCTTGAGATGCGAGCTCTTGAAGTAAGTCTTTCTGCAGCCTGGAAAGTTGCAGACGTAGTTCCTCCTGCGGGAAAAGTCCATTTTTGTTACTGCTGCGCTGCCGTTGGACCCCGCCGGCATGTACACAGGAGCTGGGGCCAGAGGTAGCAGCTTGGTGTTGCCCAGAGTCATGACAGTCTGAGGGCAGTGAGGTGCCTGAGACACAGAGGACTGGGGGAGGACCAGCATTACAGTCCCCTGGGGCACAGCTGAGCCCACAATCAGGGACTGCTGGACAGGGGGTGCGTTAGCTGCAGCAGGCTGGGGGAGAATGGGTGTGGAAGCAGTCCTAATTCCAGTGCTGGAGGCCTGAACTGCACTGGGGATGAAAGCTGAGATTATACCCGATTGGCTGCAGACGGGGAACATCTGGCAGATGATTTGAGGGCTGGTCACAGGAGGAGGGGACAGGGTTGTGGGTGTTGTGGCAGTGGGTGGGCTGTTTTGTAGCTGTGTGTTGACAAAAGTGGAGGTGGAGACACTGTCCAAACAGGGTTTTGAGGGACTGTGTGAGGGCTCTGGTTCTGAAGGCACAAGACAATCAGCAAGAGACGGAGGTGTGGTCATCTGCACCGTGTTTGCAAAACATTCCTGCTGCCGCTGCTTGCAGATGACTCGATCCGTTTTTGCGTATATGGCTTTCTCTGAACCGAGGGCCGCTGGAATGTGGTGTTGGCAGAGGTTTCTGTCTGCGGTGTGGCGAATGACACTGGTCGCCATGGCTCGGCAGCGCTGTGGTGGAGCAGGAAGGGAGGGGGTCTTGTCAGCGGAGGGTGCCAGGTTGCGTTGATGGAGCTTAGATCCAGAGTGTTGTGTGGACCCAGCCAAGCCAGGGCTCGACTGGACCGTGGTGCCTGATAAGGTCTCAACAAAGCTGGGACTGTGCGGGGGAGTCATGCACTGCAAAGAAATGGTGAAAGAATTAAAGTGTATCCCAGGATGACTTTGCAGAGATAAGTATCCCAGATAGTGAGCAGGTGCACACATGAATAATGGACACTCAGAGCTATAAACGGTGATTTTTATGACCCTGCACATGCAAATATGAAGGTTACCTAACAGTTTCAAAGAGTTTCTTGCTGCAGCATCTGCCCACATGTCATAAACTCAACGCAGGTGGCTCAAGCAACCCTAGACTCTTCTGGTGGGCTCAGTGAGTAATCCCTGGATCTTTACAGCCCATTGTCATACAGCCGTCTGATAATATCTTACCAGAGAGGAGAGGGACACAAAGTCCTTCGGGGGTTCTGGGAGCTCCAGTGGGAGGAGAGAGTCGCAGGAGTCAGAAGCCGGGGTGAGGGGCCTGGGCTTGTTGCCGCTGAGGAAGACCGTCTGTCCCCAAGAGCTCATACACACCAGAGCTTCAGCTGCCTCCAGATCGGTGTACTCCAGAGCGGGCGAACAGCTGCTGGTTCCACTAGAGACCGACTGTTCGCTGTCATGCCTTCTTCTCTTCACGTAAGAACCACAAATTTCCATACGTCCTGCCTGAGAGGAACAAAGCAACAAAATAATAACGATAGGCGATCTTCGCCTCACTCAGACACGCTGACAGCAAGTCCCTAAAAATCTAGCTCTGTCTGTGCAGTCACTGAAGTTTCCGGGCCAACTGCATCATGATACCAGAGAGAGGGAGGTGATGGTGGCTACACCCCAGCCCGTCTTGTACTCCCTCTGGCCCAAAGCCAGAACACCTCCCCTTCCCAAATATAGACCCAAACGGTGACGTGCTGCCAGAGCAGCCATGTGAAATCCCCATAAAGCGGCTCTGCATCAGGAAGTAGTCTTGTGTTACAACTTTAGAGAACATTTTTGCCCCAAATGAACATGGAAAAAAAATCCAACTACATTAATCAAAAGCATTGGTAACAATTTTATATTTAAAATACTTTTCTATATATTTTAAACTAACCTCAACACGCATTAATGACCAATTTAGCTCAGTGTTGGAGTTAATAAACTTTGAATATAAATGTTTACATTAGCTTAATGAGTACCAGGCAGTAAACAGAAAAGGCTAAATGAAAAAGAGTTTAAAATGATCGTACCTGGTAAATGTCCATCTCATGAATGTGTCTCGATGAAGAGGACAACATGTCAATGTCAGGTTTTTGTTGTCAAAGCCAGTGTTAGCATAAAAAAACGGCGGTCTGCCGGAGCTTCTTCCTCTTGTAGGACAGAGTTCAGTCCGTCTCTTTTTTCCTCACTGGCTCCCTTTTTCTCTCAGCTGTGTGTGTAAAACACGGGGAGGAGAAAAGGAACGAAAAAAACGAGGAAAAAAAAGGAAAACAAAACTCATAACACACGCACTTTCGGGGTGGCAACACTCGGCCAATCGCGAGCAAGTGTGTGCTAGGCTTTAGCCAATGGGAGAGCAGAGAGCGCGTGAACACTGCGTGCTCAATGGGCGGTTGGCGGAAGCGGGGTGCGTGGCTGTTGGTGGGCGTGGCCTTAGAGTCAGCAGTGTCAGGGTGAACTCAATGAACTGACAGCCGCTAGAACTGGGCGAAAGGTCGAGCCGGTGTATGCTGCGTTCAAAGAGCGCACGGATAACCTGCTGGAAATAATCCGACCACCTCAACGTGGCGTTACAAAAGGCGCGTATTACATATTTATACGCTAATATTTTTTCTTATAAAAAATGCTATGTTAAACATGTCAAATTTTTGTAGCTGCTTATTCATGTCTTCTATTTCCCTTTGCTTTAGGCGTTTAGCTTTCGTTGAGGAACATAAATGTAAAGAAGCATTTTAGAATAAAAATAAACGTGCATTTTGGCTAAATATATACGATTAAGCTGCTTGACTGCTCATAACTTCCCTTTGTTACGAAAATATCCATCACGCGAAACCACGGATAAGGTTATTTCCGGGTGTTATGAAACACCTTAATTTCTTTCCTACCTTTCTGCGCGTCAGTGAATGCAACGCTTATGGCAGACAAAGCGCGGGTTTCTCTCTTGTGTTCTTTTTTTAAAAACATGTTTATGTCCTTTTCGTTCAGTAAAAACACGCCAACAACTGCACGGTTATTATCACAAGGGCATTTTATAATTTCACACAACTAAAAATAGCTACTGTTGCTTTTTTTGGTACAGTTTTTGTCAAATATTGGAAACAAACAAAAATCATGCACCTTAAGGACAGCAATGTAAATACATCAGTTACAATTACACTTTATGTCATTATTGTTTCTATTTTTTTTATTTTTTATAAGATTTTTCTTTCATTCAAAGTACCGCGGTATTCACAGTTTTGATTTTTGTTAGCCTAAATATTGGGTACAAATTTATCCTTGGAATAAAATCCTTCAAGCCGATCAGATAAACTGCAAATTAAAAAGTTTATATATGGCTATAAAACGTTATTGTGTGTATTTCCGACCACGACTATATTCAACACTCTAAGTTAAGCTTTGAAATGAGAAGCTTTTGCTGATCTGGTCATAATTTATACCTAAAGCATGTCAGACGACTTGATGTTCGTAACCTACATAAACATCTACATCAACACGTGCATGCGTGCAAAGCTACAACGAGTCATACGTTTTCAGGAAACTTAAAAGCAGGGCAAGATAATGGTTTAAGGCGTATTTACTTACTAAAAATACTTCTTTTTTTTTCTGTTTTATTTCTGGGTTTGCTCATAAAGACACTTGATTCCCTCACATCTGTCTTCCCTGCAGCTGAGGGGAGTGTAACAGGTGTGCTGTCCCGGGTCTTAACGAAGGCCGGGCCCAGGTATGACTCACAGCAGGACCTCGGGGAGCTCCGAGCGCTGCGAGCTGTGGCGCTGCAGCTGTTTGTGAGAAGACGGGCTACTAGGAAAAACCAGTTAGCTCACAGGAATGACAAGCAGTCGGGCCCAAGCACAGCGGCCTGTTTGTGATATAAGTGGGGCAGCTCATTTCAGCTAGTTAGGGAATCTGGAGGAAAGGTTACGTTGGCCCTATCTGGGCCTCTGCACACACGCCTCCCCTGTCCGGTCAACTCCCCCCAGCTCAGGAACTCCAGGAGTCAAAAACAGGGGGAGTTGAGCCAGCGAGGTTAAATATATCTGGGTCTTTAATCTCCCCCCGAGTTCTGACAGGAGATAAGAGTCAGGCACCATAAGAAGGATGGCACTAAAAGATGCTATTTTACTTTATCAAGCCCAGTAACACACTTAAGTTTAGATGTATTTATTTTTAATGACCGACAATGAAGCAAAGGGATTGCATTTCATATCAAATATTAGAGTTAGACTTTCAAAGACTATTTTAGGTCCCGTTTTAAAATTCAACAAGAAATTTGAATATGATTCCCTCACCATGAGTTTACGTTTTTGTCCTAACGCAATGCATTTGAAGAGTTTTGCGCGTGCTAACGCTTTATATATTTCTAAATTGCTCTTTGCACTGATAAGCTCGTCCAGATAAGTTTCTGAACATGTGGTAACATGCAGGAAGCAATGTCAGTCAGTTGGTTCATCACGATGCTGCAAGCTGGCATCTGGGTCAAATGTCACAGACTGTAAAGATTATATAAAAACCATAACGTTCTTTTTTTAAAATCTGTATAACTATGTCTTAGCATTAAATAATATTGAAAATGTATAAATATTAGGAGTAAAAAAAATGAAGATGGACTAAATGCATCTGAAAATATATATTTATTAGGTTAAAGATGGCATTTTGCCACAGATTAGCTTTAATTTTTGAGAAATATTAGATAATTTTGTGAAATGTACATCTTGACAATGTTTTATGATTTATTATATATATGTTTTTATTTTACAAAATATGAATATGGACATGAACACGTGTCCACAGCTGGAAACTAAAATGTTAGTTGATTAATTTGTGTATGTATCATTAACCCTGACTGATATTTTTTCATTCATTCAACATTTATTTATACAGGTTAATCCCATTGAGCCTCGGGGACTCATTTACAAGCGACCTGATTTCTTAACAAAGAGCGATGACAAAAGCGGATAACAAAGACAGCAATAGACAGTAACAAAAGAGGCATACTAATTTATTATTTTTATTTTTTTAACAAAATAGCAACCAAAAGGACAGTCAAACGGAAAAGTAGAAAAAACAATCCCTGCTAGATTATAAAGCGGTGTAGAAAACTAAAATCAGGAACATGTCTGCATTGGTTTTATAATTTGCATTATTTATAATTTATTGGCAGAAACACGAGGTGTCATTCAGGTAATATCTTTTACTACCAAGATTATACGAGTCAAAAACATGTCTCCACAGAAAAAACTTTAGGTACTGCCTGCAGTTCATCCATGTCTCTGACTGAAAACCTTTGTTACCTTTTGTAGCTAAAAACTAGAAAAACATTTCACTTTTCAAACTACAGCGTTTGCTCTTCTCAGATCTGTACTCTGGTGTTGAAAGGAAAAAGTGATGCAACACAGCGGTAAACACGCGCCTGACCAAGCTATTCAATATCAAAGCCAAGTTATATCTATATTTTTTATTTTTCTTAATTAAATATTGAGTTGAATAGAAATAAATGAAATTATTTACATTTTTAGAAATGGGGCTGCCCTAACAGTATGAAAATGATGAAAAGTAAAAATTACAAAGCAAATTTCTGCATCTATAAATATGTATTCTAACTTTTAATGTTTATATTTATTGTTAATCATCATTTCCTACATTTGACATCAAAATTAAGAGAGAAGCTTGGAAATATTCAAGTTTTACACCCACAATTCAGTTCGTGACATCGAGATATTTTGCTTCATAAAGAAATATGTGGTTTTAGACAATCATAGGAAGTATTTTTTTTATTTTTCAATGAAAAGTCTTATTAGTTCACGAGCGGACGTGTGGGTTGTTGCGCACAAACGGTGTTTACTATATACATTCAGTCTGAGTACAAGATGTCCTGAAGTCAGCACAGCGCTGAAGGATGCTTTGTGCACCACACAGCACGTGACTCGGCCCTCTCTCCTCCTACACACCAGAAATGAGCAACAACAGGGATTTTTCATCAAGCACGTGGCCTCTGATTGGTCAGACGGTGATACTAAAGCTAATCTGTTGCTATGAGAGACTGATTTGTGCACTGCTGCCTCTCCGTCTGTTGTCCTGGAAACCTTCGAAGCAGGAGGCAGGATTCAGGACTCCCCAGAGGAGCTTTCCTGGAGACCGCCCATCGATGTGCCAAACCTAATGTTCTCCATGCTATCGTCCAAAGGTACACTTTGTATTACTTCCTGTCTGGCTCTCTGACATCAGTGGATCACTTTTAGTCTGTGCAGTATCTCTCATGAGTCTTAGCAACTCATTTACAAAGTTTGATATGATTGGGCGTAAATTCACATCAAGTACTTTTACTGTCCAACGCGCCATGTAACTTCGGATGACTTCTTTCAAATATAGGAAAAGTAAACGTCACACAAAGCTGTACGGCTCATTAAAGCACTTTGATGTGTATTTATTCCTGCAAAAATTATCAGGATAAAAAGAAAGGAGCAGATGGCAGATAACGCCTGAAGGCATGGCAGCGTGGTGACGTTGAAGTGGCCAGTGGGTTAAACTCTAACTAAATAAAACTTTCCCCTTCTTTACTTGTTCACTCTTATAGTTTATGATGGTCTCTGTAAAGCTAAAAGACATATACTGTAAGTATTTTCTTATTAAGAAGTATAAAACAAAAAGAAGAGAAAAAAATAGTATCTTTATAATTTATGGTTGCAACTCAAGACGTGGAGCAGGTTGTTCAATAAACACTATGACCATTTAATCCAGGTTTGCTTTTTACAGTTTTGATTTTATGAATTACATTTTTAATCCCTATGGACCTTTAATCGATCAGTCAAAAAATAATTTTAAGATCTTAGCTGGTTGCAACTTTTGCATCAATGTTAGCCGTTCTGGGAAATTATGACATCGTTTTGCACTTATTTTTCTCACAAATAACGTAAATTATGTCTATTAAACACAAAAAAATTAAGTAAAATAAACTTTATTGCAGTTAATCCTGAAAGCTACATTCACATCTTTGTTTCTTGCCATGTCTAGATTTGTATCAAGTTAGAAAAATAATGAATATTACAAAAAAAAGTGGGTCATTGTTTCCAGCCTGGTTTGCGTCAGAGCAGCTTTTTGGCACCAGGCCGTCCAATCATTCATGTTTCCTCCCTGCAACGTTTGAGTCGATGCCCAGAAATCTGCTCCTGTTGCAGTTTATTTCTGCTACACATAAACTGATGACAAACATTTGATTTAATAAAATATATTAAATTTCAAACTGGTGAACACAAAGCATAAAGAAGTACACAAAATGGCCGCCAACGAGAGCTTTTATTGGGCACTTTGTGCATCAAATCCTTGCCATGTAATGTTAGAATAACTTCATATAAAAGTACATGATATATTAGAAATAACAGAAAGTTAATTATTTATGCAGAGACCCACCTCCATATTATTAAATATTTACACAATAAGTACCGAGATATAAAAAAAGGGTTCATACAGATCCTTTTTCCAGTCAATATTTACAACAATATTTCCATTAAAAAAAGATCAGAGTGTATCTTATGTCAATAGAGGAGAATTATTTTCTGAACGTGCCTGAGCTTGATCATTATTGCACTGCAGGGACAGCCTGCACAAACTGCTCTAGATATTAAACTGACCTTTTTTTTTTTTAAATCAGCATTCAGAAAAAATAACAATGTAATACTTAAGAAGAGCATCTTATTTATATTGATTTAAGGGAAAACAGCATTTTTAAGTAAAACTTGCATCCTAGACTAAAAAACATTTACAGTTTTCTATTATAATCATATGGTGACATCCCAAATACTGCCATAGTGTTTAGTATTAACACACAGAACCACCGAGGCTCCATCAGCAATTCACTGCCATCTTTATGAGTGCGAAATATTCAACTTTGCAGACTGCGGTCATCAGTGCTGTGGCTTTCTGGAGAAAAAGAAAATCCGTTTTTCCACAAGAAAAGTCCAGCCTATGAATAAAGACACTCTGCTGCTTGCATAGCTTTGAGGTATAGCAGCTCCACAACTTCTCTGCAACCCTGAACAATATTTATAAAAGTAGGAATTTCATATCAGAGTTACAGATCAGGTTTTTACGAAACACAAAGTATCCTAATATTCAAATACTTCCTCACTTGTTAACTCCTATGCACAAAAAAAAAAAGATTTACATGTAATCACATGTATAATTTACACCACAATCCAGCTTGGAGCTTATTTTTAAAAGCTCCGGCTTTCATTTACCAATTTTTGGACTTTCTTTCTTGACACTAAACAGCACAAAGACCACGTTATTTAACTTTCAGATCAAGTCCGCCGTAAATCCAGAAGTGTAAACCTGACAGCGCCAATGATTCTCCATCACTGTGTGTCTCCTCCATTCAGATCTCAGTGAGGGTTAGTTTGTACACGCCACCATGTTCCTCCATGCTGATCTGAAAGGTGTCTTCATTGGAGTAGTGTTTGATGATGTTGTCGTCCATGTGGACTAGAATCCTGTCAACACACAAATGGGTTGTTAGAATCCTCCCAAACAACAAAATCCAGTCGGAATTAAACTCAGTTTCTCCAAACTGAGGTTGTTAAGATATTAATTGGTCATAATTTTCCCCACAGGCCATACTCAAAATGATCTGGATTTAAAGAACAGTTTCTCACCCTTTCTTGCACTTCTTGTAGACTTTTTCAACTTTATCCAGAGGCAGCTCGTACTTCTCTGAAATCTGGTTCAGACAAAAAAAAAAAAAGAAAAAGTTAGTGTTAAATTCTCATCCCCCACTTTTAAATTTCTTTATATTAACTGTCAACCATGGTGTACCAAAAGGCTCAGTCTTAGGACCCACCCTCTTCACGATCTACATAAATAATGTAGGCCAGATTATTCCTGATGCATCTTTACATTTCTATGCCGACGACACAGTTATTTATTGTCGAGCTAAAACGGTTGCTAAGGTTTTCCAGCTTTTACAGTCTGTATTTGACATCGTCCTGTCTGATTTGTTCCTTCTCAAACTGGTGCTAAATGCTGATGAAACCAAATGGATGTCGTTTTCAAACAGGAAGTCGGTGCCAGCAGTCCTTCCTTCTATTTTATCTACAAATGGTGTTCCTATTGAGTTTGTCAGGTCTTACAAATACTTAGGAATCTTTGTCGGTGCACATCTCTCTTAAGCATCATGTCAAAAACTTGGTAAAGAAATTGAAAGTAAAGCTGGGTTTCTTTTTCAGAAATTGATCTTGGCTAACTGAATGCTAGGAAACGCCTTGTAACTGCTACATTCCTTCCCTCCATTGACTACGGTGAAATTATTTATATGAACGCTCCTACAAGCACCTTACAGATGTTGGATGCTGTCTATCATGGCACGCTAAGATTCATAACTGGCTGTATCTACCGTACCAATCACTGCACCCTGTATTCACTGGTTAACTGGACATCATTAACTTCACACAGACTCTCTCACTGGTACATTTTCATCTTTAAATCACTTCTTGATCTGCTGCCTTCATACATCTCCTCCTACATGTCACTTTGTCAGTGCAGCTACAACGTGCACTCTCAAGACATCATTACCTGCAGCGTCCCCTCAGTGAGGACTGAATTTGGCAAAAGGGCCTTCTTCTACTCTGCTCCTGTTTCCTGGGACACCTTACAAAAAGATCTGAAGCTCTCGGACCTCTCAGATGGATTTCATCCTCCTCGGATTTTAAACAACTGTTAAGTTCAATGCAAAAATCAATGTCCCTATTTTTAATATTTTACACTGTTTTATAATGTAGCATGTTTTTTTATTTAAATTATTTTTTAATTTAGTTTTATATTTACTTTTCATTTTATATGCTTTTACATGATTGTCTATTGTTGTCTGTACCTCATCTGTGGTTTTTGTTAAAATCAGGTCTCTTGTCAAATCAGTCGTCATGACTCAATGAGACTAACCTTTATAAATAAAGGTTGAATGAATTGTTATCTATGTCTAGGGGCCTCCCAGTGGCATAACGTATTTCCTATAGTCTTTACTATCACAACTGAATGTCTAACCCTGACTCCGAGGACCCGTCTGACCCACAAACATCACTTTAACCTCTCCGGGTCAAACATTTTGTCAGACCTCACAAGTATAGTGAGCTCTCAGCTTTTGTGACCTCGTGAACGCAGCAGAAAGTTTACATACACACATGCACAGGAACAAGTTGTTCTTGTGTCAGAAGACACTTCAAACTCAACGGCTCACATACCTGCGGTACGTGACCCGTGTGTTGAATTTGTTTAAACCTCTCCAGTAACATATTTGTCTTTTGGACATGTTGCCCCAACGTGTTCTTTTACAACAATAAAAAAAGACGTCTTCATTTTTCTTTTCCTGCACAGTTTGATACAGCGAGCGCTTGGCCTCTGGCTGCTGCGTGCAAAGTTGAAGTCACCGACGTGAATCAGCAACATGAGAACTGAGAGGAACTCACAGCTTCCATTAGGCCCTGCAGCGTGGGATTCTTCAGCATGAGGGCATCAAACACCTCCTCCGATTCTTTGCGCACGTACAGCAGCACTGTGTGGTGAAAAATGAAAACCGAGAGACTCAAACATCAAAATGAAGGCATGAATCCAAACATAAATCTGACTTGACAGAGATCACCTGTCTTTTTACTTTGTATTCAACAGCTGATTATGTGCACAGGAGCTTTAATGTGCACAGTTACAACATTTTTCTGTACATTTGGCTCTGCAGTGCAACAGTTTCTGGGTAGACTTATGTTTAATTTGTGCTCCGTGTAGGAAATTATGACAAATGTATGCAAATGATAAAAATAGCAACTGTGCCACTTGCCCTTTAAATATTTTTGTTTACAGTTGTAAACGTCATTGTGCCACTGTGTTTCAAGTAAAAAATTAAAAAAAGCATATTCTTATGATGGAAACTTAATAATCAAAAGGTAGTCCCACCAAAAGTATAACCGGATTTAATCTTTTCCTTTGAAAATTAAGTCAAAATTACCAAAATGTGCATAATGACAAAAGCTAAAATGTAGCAACTAAGACTAAAAACTCCCCATAAAATAAAGTTTACAAAAAAAAAAAAATAAGTAAATGCCCCCAGATGTTTAAACCTTGACCATTTTGGTTTCAATTTTCAGATCAGCAGTCTATTTACACACAAAAAAATCTTTATTTCTGCATTAGCAAGCAAGTTGTATCTTTAAAATGGTAAAACTATGGAAAATAACACGAGTCTTCCATGTTTGCCAATTGGATCTGAACAGTTCTGATTAAAATGAGGTTGGTTTCTCCTCCATTTAAAACTCTCACCTGATGTTTCTATTAATACAAACTGATCTTTGTTGGAAAAGTTTGAGAAAATTAAAACAAATTTGATAAAATCACCCATTTCAATTATTTTGGGTGAAAATAAGAACAAAAACCAACAGATTGAATTTTCCTTTGAAACAGCCTAATGGATTAATTAATTCTAAAGAAGGGAGAAAATGTCCATTTATTGACAACTAAAGGAAACAACGGGGCATTTTTAAAAGCCAATACATTATATTACATATAAACAACTGAAGTTTTAGTTGTCATTCAACATTTTCAAAGTCTATTTGACAAAGATTTTAGTTTGGGGTTTTAGCTGATCAAGTTGTGGCTCAATTTAAATCTAAAGTCCTCATTTATTTAGTAACGTTTCTGATTATACACTTGCTTTTTAAATAACAGATTCCCTACAAACAGCTACACCTTTAAAACGTGCACGTGCACAGTTATTATTAAGGAAAAAGCCTGCTGGATGTCTATGAATAGGATTTAGGGTAAAGGGCATAAGCTTGTTTCCTTGTATGTGCGCACAGAGCGATCGGTGACATTTGTTGAGGCGCTTCAGGCCTCAAGCATGTGTGTATACCTGCATGTTTACATGCATGTGTGCGTGCACACATGTTTTGAAAGACCTGGAATAATCACATGACCCTGAGAGTACATGCGCATGGAAGGTGGGTGGGAAGGGGGCGCTTCAGAGGCTGACCGCAGCAAACACAGACATGCATGTGCAAACACTTGACCACACCGATTTAACCCCCAAAGGAGAGCCTCCCTCCAAGCGCCCCATTAACACACACGTCTCGTACCTTTCTTGGGCTCGTTCACTCTCGCCAACTTGTTCGGGGGCGAACCGAACTCATCATCGCTGAAGGGTAATCTCCTCATCCCTGAGCTGCAGCGGGGACACACAAAACACAGATTAAAGGGCTGCAGCAACCAGTTTCTAGGCCATAAAACTGAAGCCCACACGTAACGAAAAACCCACACAAGCTTTTCCTAGAAACAGCAAAATGCACATTTGTATGGGGTTACTGGGAACTGGTCCAAGGTAAACCAGCAACTACAGTAAAGTAAGACTTTGAAAAAGATGAGTGAACTCACCTGTCTTCTCCCTCTTCTGCTGCAAACGGCTGCATGGAAAACAGAAGCAGATCACTCAGTTTTACGGCTTTAAAAATGTATAAAAACCACCAACGATTTGCAACATCGGAATCAACGTAAACATGATGGTAACTGTGTAAACACTGCAGTTGTAGCACTTTGTGGTTGCAGCAGAAAATCAGTCAACTCGGTCAAAGGCAAAGTAAATAGCGAAGTCCAAATGCTGTCCTGTGTTGACCCACGACTTTTGTACCGCCAGCTGCAAACAATACGTTTAAATTTGTAAAAACGGAACAAAGCTTGGGATGCTGGAAGGAGAATAAAGTCTTCTGCTTTCCGAAAACAAAGAAATTGTAGCACAAATACAATAACTGTGCCAGCGTTGCCGTTATTGTCTGATCTCCTCCAGATTTACTGAACTGGATGAAAACACATCAAAGCATCATCGTAAGGTATTGCAATTGACAAAAACCAGAAGGTTACATTTAAAAGGATGAAAGAAAATGTTTTATTCTCGGAAACCAGCCATGAACGATCCCTTTGTTCTGTGTATCGATCGGCTGCTGATAAAAGAGTTTCTATTCTGGGAGCAAAGTCAGTAAACCCGTTTTATCAGAATCAGATTACACAGCCTGAGTCAAGTTCAGAGTCATTGGGATCACAAAAAAATAACCCCCCTCAGCCTTGTTAGCAAAGTAAACTTCAACAGGAGAGAAAATATTTGTTGTTTTGACCCATTTCAGGCTGTTCATAAAGTAACCAGCAGGGGGCAGTCACCACCCATTAGGAAAAGGGAAGTTTCTCAAGAAACTTTCTTCCTCGGGGGTTGTTTTCACTATAAATAAAGCATGTTTCAAACACATAAAATAAAAACTGGAGTGGGTGCTGGGTTTACATCCTCACATGCGAGTGAGCCATGTTCATCCTGTATGCACAGCGTGAACGGTCCATCCTGTCTGCTGGAAGCAAAGCTCAGAGTCCAAACACACAAAGAGGACGTGCTGCTGTTCGAAACTGATAAAAACCCGAAACTCCTTCCAGCAGCCTTTAAAGAAGTGAACATTTTTCTGGGTCCTCGTTCTCTGCAGCACACAATATCCAAAAATCAATTAAAAAAAATAAGACGGTATTGCTCGCCCCCACCACCCCCTGCCTTCAAGCTGGTCTTTGCCTTGAGCGTGAACACATCGTTTAAAAGGTGCTTCTACGGGAATTATTTTCTTCTCCTGGTTTGGTTCGAGTCACTGAATGACTCATGGTGTGAGTAAGCAGTTTGAAACCCTGCCATCAGTATGTAGGACTCCTATCAAAGCTGGAAACCAGAACTGGCTGTTCCTGCCAACAAGCATGCAGGCGGGTCACCTCGACCCAGCTGGCTGATGGGCGGGAGGGAGCTGGAAAACAAACCGTTTATGGACCACCATCTTTGCCACAACATTGCAGAAACCGTTCACGCCCGTGTTTGTAAACGCAACAAACGGCAGGTTTACTGGCTTAAACACTAGTCGAGGCCCGGGTTTAGGAATGGCACTCACGTGGCGCTGGAAGTTAGAGAAGTGAAGGTCGGGGATGAACAGGACCGGCTGGGTCTCATGGTCGGCCATCGTCTTGAAGATGGTCACATCGTTTCTCTTCTGGAGGAGGGGCACCTTTACATCTGAAACTGCAAGAAAGAGACGGACGCAGTTTACGACACGATCAGAAATCAAAATCTCTTATTTAAAAAAACAAAACAAGCATATTCATTGCGTTTCAAAACAAGCTGCCAACACTTCTTCTGTATTTTGTTGAGGTTTTATTGCTCACTGAGGTTCATAATTGTTAAGTAATTATCGGTTTGGTATTTTATCCCACCTTGACAGAAACGGGTCAACTGAGGTTGCTTTTAAACGTGCTAGAGAAACGACGAGCTCAGTACTAACTCAGCATGTGCTGTGAAGTCGGCATCTAGTGGATCTGAACCATAAACTGTGGACTGAAGAGGCAGGGGAAGTTTGCTGGACAGATTTGATGCAGTCATTTTATCCAGAGTTTATATAAAGAGATGTTCATGTACAATACAGGACAAATATTCATATTCATGGCCTCCCTCATTTGCCAGTGGCTGTGTCGCTCACTTGGGCGGCCTGTGCTGGGACCCACCCTCACCCACTCTACATGCACATGTCTGTTTGTTGCCTTTTTTTTTTGTTTTTTGGAGATAGGGTTTTTTGCAGCCTCACGCTGTGTCCTGTTAGGGTCACAGTGCGAGATATGATTTTTTTTTTTACCTCCTCTTCCCTCATGTTCCCCTTTTTCTTATTACTGTTTTTATTTACAATTTAAATTTTGTTTCATGTAACTGGGACCCTGTGTACACAATTTCATTCCACCACATGCATCACTTATGATGCGAATAAGAATAAAGAAACCTTGACCTTTCTAATCTAACAAAAAAGGAAGCGCCTCTCGGTGAGGCTGCAGCCTCAGTCACCCCCGTCTACCCTGTCTGTCCGTTTGTGTTTCTTAGGATGGGCTGTACTGAAATATAATTTTGCTGTGCTTCTGTGCGATGACAGTAAAGCCGATTCTGAAATATCTTGAGCTTATTTTACATTTCATTTCTAAGTTGTCAGACTTTGTTGTACTCTACTCATCACACTTGTGAATCTTTGTTTTGATGCTCAATACGAAGCACGTCCTGTTATGAGCTAATGCAAGAACTGGACGAAAGAAATGTCAAAAGCCCAAATAAAATCTTCTAAGACCTTCAGAAAACACAACTGATAAAAAGGATTTCAAGAAAGTTTGACTCATCAAAATCAGAAATGAGAGGTGGTTTAAAACTTTTGCACAAAGGCAAAACAAGCAGGTGGGAGTTCCCAAAGACATCTTATTGCTGCGTTTTCTTCAGCGCAGTTATACCCAAACTTCAGTCAGGACGTGTCGTTTCTCCCAGGTTTAAACCAGAAATGGTAGACCCGACTGGGGATCTGGACCAGTTCACATGAACTTCAAAATAACGGTGACTCACACGCCAGACTGGCGGCCAGCTCGGGCCCCTTCCCTTTCCGGCGGGACTGTTTCCTCTCCTCATCCCGGATCTTCCTCTCCGCTCCCTTGTCGCAGAACACTTTGATCTGGCAGTAGGCGCGGTGGATGGGTTTGTTGCTGCGGTTGTTGTAGCTGTAGGTGTCGATCTGCAGGTTCAGAGGGAGCCCCTTCACCCCCTTCTGAGAGGAGAAGTCTGTGCTCAGACAGTTGACGGAGATGAAGATCTGTGGAGAGAGAACGAGACGCCACCGGCCAAAATAAATGAATAAAAAGAGAGTTTAAACTATTTTCATTCTGATGAGCTTGGCTTCACTTTGAGGCCTTCATGCAGCAGGTGCTCCACAGATCAGTCCTGGTTGCACTTCTGTGGTTTGTGCTGCGCTCTATTGGTCTGATCTGGCAACACACGCTCCTTTTACGTTCCTTTGTCCTGATGCTTTCACTGAAAACAGGTTCTCACTGTATCAACAACAGACGTCATCGTAACAGACGGTCTGACCGCACTTCACAAAGATTTCACAGGGTGAGCAGCTGATATCACGGATATTTCATATTTTATTAAATAAAAAAAAAAAAACATCTCGGAGTGTATTTAACATTTATATTGTTTTAAAGCTCCTTATAATTTGAAAAGTATTGCTAAAAATAAAAAATATATATATGCAAACGCTTTTACATTTTATGCTTTTATAAACAGTTTTGCTTTCTGTATTAAAAAAAAATACTGTATATCGGAGGTGAAGACTGTTAAAATGCAAATAAAGGCAAAACACAAATCTATAAAAACACAGACGGTGTTTGCAAACTGCACTTAAGGCAAACACACACACACACACACACACACACGTGTGTGTGTCTCATGTTACTTCACCACAACTAGATGCTCAAACCCTAAATTTTAACTTAAACACACGATCGTCCGAAAGTGAGCGGGAACGAAGCACTGCTCAGGTCGAACACCCCACATTTTTATTTTTTTTAATCCATCTACACATATTTATATTTTCATTTGTAATCCGATAAGTTACCGAGGCAACGTTTGACAAAGAAAACGGTACGGTGGAGAGGTTAAACAGGCGTCATAAACAAACAAGGATGAACATCCTTTAAACACATGCCTCATGTCAACATTCAACTGTGCAGAAAAAGATACGTGCACGTGACTTTATTTATGTGAAGTGTTTGCAACGGTAAGGTTGATGAGATGAGCGTCGGCTCCGTGTCTGTCGGCCTGTTGGAGAAGTGAGTGAACAGAGGATCCTCCCTCCCGTCACTTTGCCCACGACTTAAACAGAATTTTGAATTCGTCCACTCGTCTTCATCCCGCCTAAGTTTCCTCATTCCTGAGTGTGCGGAGTTACCGTAAAATGTAGCATTAGTTCACAATAGATCTTCTGAGCAGAGCACAGGAGGCTCAACCCGACACCACAGCATCCACGCCGTTTCATTTACTGAACGACTAAATGGGAGCACCTGAAACTATTAATAGTGTACACTATTGTGATCCTGATAAGATTTATTATTCTGTTTTCTTCTTATAGTTACCTTAAACTATTCCGTACGGTTTTCAGCATCTTTCTAATTCCCCAGTTTTTGTGCCATTTCAACAAATCATCAGAACGTTCAGCTCTTTCAGGACAATCCTGCCATGACTTAGGTATTTGTGCAACTTTAGCTTTTTGACATATTTAGCTTTTTTTCTGCCATTGTTTTCTCATAGAAAATTAATTGAACTAATTTTCCATCCTTCAAATCTTTAGATCTGTTTATAGCCTTTTACTGCTCCTTTAACATTTTATTCTGGTTCAGCATCTTTCAGCTTCCTTGTGCAAATTTATACCTTTTTCAGCTACTTTCAGTGGTTTCTTTCAGCTTCTTTCTGCCAACTACATTTTTGTGCTTCTTCAAAACTTCTTTCTGCTAATTTCAGCTCGTTATGCTTCTTTCATCTTATTTCTGCATGTTTCATCTTTTTCTGCTATTTCAGCCGCTATTTAGCTGTTTTTATGCAAATTTTAGCTTTTTCAGCTAACACCATGTTTTTTGCACTCATTTAAACTTTTTTCAGCCTAATTCAGCAAAAATATGCTCTCTCCACTTCCTTCTGGTAATTTAAGCTCGTTGTTACCTTTTCAGCTACATTTTCTTTCAGCCCACATGGGCAAACATGTTCTTTCTGCTTTATTCAGCCAATTTAAGCTTGTTTTACATTTTCTGTTACCTTTTTAACATTTTTAGCTAATTTCAGCTGTTTTCAGATAAATTCAAGTTTTTTGTGGTAACCTGCTACTTTCAGCCTATTTAACTTCTTCATGCTAATTTCAGCTCGTTATGCTCCTTTCATCTTATTTTTGAGAGTTTCCTTTATTTCAGCTACTATATGCTAGGGAGCTGTTTTATGCTATTTTTAGCTTTTTCAGCCAATTCTACATTTGTAACTCATTTAATCTCTTTCCACTTCTTTCTTGTAGTTCAAGCTTGTTTCTGCCTTTTCAGCTAATTTTAGCTTTTCTTAGTTGCATAATTTCTGAGCTCTTTGCTGCTTATTTAAACCTAATTAATCAAATATGTGTTCTTTTTGTTTTCTTCTGCTAATTTAGGCCTGTTCTTCCTTTTCAGCTAAATTCAGAATGGTTTTTTTTTTTAGCTAATTTCAGCTGTTTTTTCAGCAGGATCTTCAGCAATAAGCATTCAGACTGCATTTTCGTAGGAAATGTAATTTCTCTAGTATAAAATAATTATGTGTTTTGATGTTTTTTGATGAAAACTGATGATCAAACAACCACTGTTAAGTATGAAGTTTATTTACATGAAAATCTCCCCTCTCAAAATGTTGGAAACAGTCATTTCTGTAAAAAAATTAAAAAGGGAGAAAAAAGTTATTTTTCTTACTTTGGCCTCTTCATTTGTGTCCCAGGTAAAGGAAATGGCATTGTAAGAAATCTCCTCAATGTTGCCGATGGTGTTAAAACTCTCCTTGTAGTCAGCTGAAACACACAACAACAAAAATCCCATTTTTGGGTTAATTACACTGACCTGAAGGTTTGGGTAGTCGAGGCAAAAATTACAGCAAAAAATTAGTGGAAATCAAAACTTCTCATGGATATTTAGATAAATTATGTAAAGCACATTTCAAAAGGAGCTCTGAACAGGATTCTTTCTCTAAACTTGATTTCTTTGAGTCAAGCTGTGATTTGTAGCCGTTCCAGACTTGCAGTAATCCTTATAACCAGAATACACCTTTTCCTCTGACGCCTCTCTTCATGTTAGACTCAGAAAGTTTAACCCGCCTGATTAAAATTAACTGACATTTTATCTACTTCCATTGTAAACAAATTCAAAAGCACATTTTAGGCCTATTTCAGACACAGTTTTTGTATAATCCACATTTTTAAATTCATAGTCATTCATCTAATCACCACATCCTGTCTGAAAACAAGCTGGTTTTTATTTTAAAATTATAAACGCTAAAGTCTGAATATTCTGCTTTGTGCTCCCAAAGATCATGGACAAGACAAACACCCTGTTTTGAACATCAGCTGAGTTTACTATAAACCTTAGCCCGAACTCATGAATCTTACCGATGTCCAGACACCTCTGTTTAGCCGTGTGCTGTCTGGAGTGCCAGTACTTCCAGTGTTTCAGCTGGTCATCCCGGCACTTTTCTTCTCCAAACACCACCATCACTACACTCTGTCAAAATAAAACGGCTGGTTAGATTACCGTTCGTTTGTTTCAGATCGTTTTGTTGATCCGTTTCGTACCCTGACTTTGGTGATGGGTTGTTGCATGCCCTTGTTGTCCACTTCCCTGAGTGTGATCGGATAAAACTGTCCCTTGTTGAGGTACGTCATCGTCCCGTCGCCAGTTTTCTGACGCAGGGACTTTGAAGCCTCAAGGGAGTACTCAAAATTGCTCCTACAGTACAGAGAAAAAAGAGCAAACTCTAATGAGTACCAAATATACTGAAGTGCAACAACTAAAATGAGAACTTGGTTAGCCTAATGGGCTAAATCCAGACAGAACAATCAGTGGTTTGTTTTTCCAAATAGACGCGAGTCTCGTTTCTCCCCTGCGACCAACATGAATGAAGCCTTTCAGCTGTGCCGTGTTAAAATCTGAATGGTGGCGTGGCGGGGAGTTGGCACCGTGCGACTCACCCCTGCGCGGTGTCAAAATGAGTGTAGTCCTCGGGCGTCAAGGAGGCCATTCGTAACTGGAGATCTCCCGGGAAGGTAAACATCTGTAACACACAAAGAGATCAGACAATTCAAGCAAAAGAAACGTGTCGTTGAAATCATCCTGCGCATCTTATTCTGGCATGCTTCATCTTTTTTATTTATTTATTTTTTTTAATAGAAGTTACAACAATGTATACATCCCCCCTTCATCTAGGAGATAAAAATGGCTGTGGCACCCCCCACCTTTCCCCTCCTGGCCTTGGTTTTGTTGGGTCACTCTTGTCTGAATTACTTCCCCTCCAGATTAAAAAGAAAAAGAGGAGGGAGGAAAGACTTTGGCTATTGTACGAGAAAAGTACAGCACTTTATTGTGTTGGTGAGACAATGGCATAATAACACACTGGCCACTATTTTACCATGTTCAAATAAAACCAGGGAAGGCTGAGCCCACCCCTGGCTCCATGGGATCAGGTGAATATCCCATTGTTTGACAGGAGAGATCCGAGAGAGGAGAGGAGAGGAAAACGAAGGAGAGGAGGAGGAAGAAGGGGGGGCTGCAGGGAGACCATTGGCAGAGTTTAGAAAGAGGGCGAACTGAAACGCTCACCTCCTGGGAACCGTCCTTGAAACTCTCGGAGAAGGTGGAGTCGGGGGGCGTGCGGGCCTGGGTGCTGGGGCTGCACTGGACTGTGTTTGGGGTGAGATGGCGGTCGAAGACGCTCACGTGGCTGTCGGTTTCGTTGCAGTTGTTTGGCACGGTCACAGAGAAACCGTGGGCCGGCACCTCTGTCTTGACGGGCGGGTAGGTTGGCACGGTGGCGATGGAAACTGTGACAGTCGTGTCTGAAAAGTTCAATATCAATAAACTAACTAGTTTCTGTGTTTTAAATCCAGTTTGTGTTCCTGGATGTGGACAGACCTGGGGAAGGGAAGTGCCCCCTCTTGTCCTGGGTCAGTTGAAGAATATTGACGGGCGCTTTGAGGACTTGGATTCGGTTCTCCATGCCGGCTTCCTGGAGGGGAACTATTGAATGTCTGGCCTGGATTTGGTGCCTGTAACACAGAAAATGCCGTTCAAGCTGAATCAACGTGAAACTGGTTTAAAAATTCTGCTTAAACACGACTTAAAAAACACATCATAACCACCATAAAGAGGTTAGAAACTATGACAGTTTAATTTAAACTTACATTAGTGAGACTTTTGTTAGAAAAACTAGAATTTAAACCTCATTTTGTTCCACTCAGTAACTATATTAAAATAGTTTAAATATTTTCAATCCAATTCAGTTTATTTATACAGCGCCAAGTCGCAACAGACGTCATCTCAGGGCACTGAACAGAAACATTTATATATAAAATAATAAGAATTTAACATCATTTATCTGAGGAGCAGACTGCTTTGAGTTTAGCTTCATCGCAGACTCTCATTTTGAGCAAGCATGAAGGCGACAGTGGAAAGGACAAACTTCCTCATGAGGAAGAAACCTTTAGCAGAACCAGGCTCAGGACAAATGGTCATCTGCTTCGACCGGCTGGGTTTGGTAGGAACAGATACACAATGGCAGGATGAGAATCACATGTTAAAGAGGAGCCTGTTAACTGAAAGATCTTCTTCCCATTCTGCTTATGGAAACTCTAGGAACCACAAATAAGCCTTCACTCTGAGAGTGACGTGCTCTGTTAGGAAAATATGGAACAATAAGATCTTTAATATAAGATGGAGCTAGGTTGTTGAGGGCTTTGTAGGTCAGAAGTAAGACGTATAATATTTAACATACATATTTTATTAAATGTTTAAGGTTACAAGATGGGTTGCTTTGATTTTTTTTCTAAATTATGATTAAACTCACAATTAAAAAAATTATTTTAACGCTTTGGAGACTACATTTAAATAAATCATTGAACAAAAAGACAAAAAAAACAACAAATATCACAAAAGCCACCAAAACATTGTAAAAAAAAAAGAAAATTATTTCCAGATGCTGAAATGAAAGTATTATTTTTTTACTTGTTTTAAAAGTCACTACATTAGTTCATTTTTTTTTTTAACAAAGCTGAGTTTTTAGATTTTATTTAAACGAGACTTTAGGTCTTAACCTGAACATTTAGGTTTCTTTTCAAGCCATCGCTCGGTGCTGCGCTTTTATTTTTGAAGGGGGTGGGATTAGTAGAGGTCGGATGCTCACCTTTTGTTTGGATCCACATCAGAGACCAGAGACTCTGTCTTGGGCTGTATTGTTCTCTTTTCCCTGGGCACCTGCAGAAGAGGGTAAACACAGCCGCTCAGCGTCTGACCACATCACATCCAACAACACGGGTCATCCTGCTGTCTGCATGGGCAGCTAGATCACTTACAAACTCCACCTCTGCCTAACAGATGCTCCATACTGGTCAGGTAGAGCATGTTAAAAAACCTGTACAGCTTTGGAACAAAACCCTGTTCAGTGGTCACGGGTCAGGAAAGCGATTCTTTTACCTCGTAGTAGTCGTAGAGAAAGCCAAGAGCTGCAGCGCTGTCCTCGTCGCCGTTGATGCTCATCATGGCCTTGGTGGCGGCTGTCAGCGGGTTCTCCAGAAACGATTTCCAGGCTTCGTCCTCGGTGGTGAAGGAGCGACGCTGGCCGCCATAACCTTGCTTGTTCTGGAGAACCAAGACTGCTCGCTTACTGCGAAATGAGAGACGCCGGTTTAGTCGCCGAGTTCAGTTAAAAGGTTGTTTTGGTTGCGCTCGTCTTCAGGGGTCGCCACAGCGAGCAAACTTTGCATGACAGACTTGGGGTTTGTTTTACGCCAGATGCCCTTCCTGGGCTCGGACTTACCGACCACAGAGCTACCACAGTCACAGATAATGAGGTATTTAATAGATTGGGATGTTTTTGAAGCCTGGAAAGCCTCAGAACAATTAATATCTTACCTGTTGTAGACAAACTTTTTATCAGCCTCAGTTTATAGAAGCAGAGTTTATTTATTTCTGAACGGATTAATGAGTTAAATTATCCAAACAGGGCTTGGACCAGAGTAGATTTCTACCACTCTAACAACTTTAATACCAAAAATCAGCTCGTGCGAGTTTTACAACCCAGTACCCCACAGTCAGTTTACAGATCTATTGCTGGTCCTTTGGGTAGTGGCACAAGCTGCTGCAGAAGTGCTACAGCTAAATGCTGCTGCCTCTATTTATGCTTACAAATGACCACAGAATTCTAATTAAACAACCGTGTAATATTTTCCTTGAAATAAAGTGTGTTTGCAAAAGTGACAGGGGTGGAAAAGTTTATATAACGGCACTGGCATGAACTGCTACCCAGCAACCCATTTGGTCTTGGCCATACAGACTAGCCATTAGCTCACTGATCCAAAATGATAGTTCACAACTTTTTCCATTGAGTCCAAACATAAACAATCGGGGGCTAAAATGCTCGTAGAATGTAGAAATGTTTGAAAGAGCTGATCGAAAAACTGGGCTTTTTAAGAGTCGTGTGAAGCTCTTAACTCCCCGATTCTCGATAGAGACTCCGAAAGAGCTCCACAAGCCAGGAACTAAAAATCACAGCCTCGTTAAAAACCGACAAACAGGTTATAGGTGTAACAAATCAACCATGGATGTTTATCTGCGGGACTTGTTGTTCAGGCTTTTCGACGATTGTGAAACAAATCTCAGCCGCCGCACACTGGAGTCGACGCGTTTCAGGCTCGTCCAGTGAGACGACTCTGGTTCGAGGACTGCCATTGGCTGCGGAGCTGACCGGAAGTGACACGCCTGACCCGGCTGCATTCCTGCGTTTCAACAACAGCTTACTTCGCCATTGTGGAAGGGTGAGAGAACCCGTTTGTGAATAATAGTCATAATGAGTTGTGACGAACGGTCGCTTCTTGCAGCGTTTCTCAGTCGCGACGCTCGACAAACATGCGAGGTCGCTGCTTCGAGAGCGACTAAACTGGAGGCGTGGCACACAAAAACAGATGTTACTTCCATTAAAAAACATCTGCTGCGAGACCTAAAACTATGCGGCGCACAAGAGGAACTTTAAAAACCTCCTCCGCTTTGTGTGTGAAACTGTTCACGTCTCCACTGAAGTTGCCTGTTTACAGTAAACTCAAATGTTTACCCATCGTTCGACATGTTAACCTAATAACAGCACATCTTCAGCGCTGCTGTTAAAAAAAACACACCGACTTCTACAATTAAGCAATTATTAAGAAATGTCATTGAACAAGCTCATATTCCTTATATATCTAAATGCTTTGCCATTATTTGTTCAAAGTCATTAATCCTATTTGACTATATTCTTAATATAAACCAAATAAGATTTAGCTATTATATAAGAGGAAAAGCGGATAAATTAGATTTTACCACAAAAAAAAAAAAAAAAAGGCAGCAAAAGTTCAGACATTTATTACTTTTAATGGATATGAACACACAAAAACAAACTTTATGTATAGGGAATAAAACATTTATCGCTTAAGGATTTTTTTTGGGCCCCCATTATTTATTTTGGAATAACATTTTGAGTTGAGAAAAATCCACCAGGACCGAAGATACAGAGCGGTGCTGGCTTACATTGTCTGTGTTTGTGGCCAACGCCTAGCAGGTGTACAGTTTCACTCCTCTCCAAAGTCTTCTTTTTGTTGGCCTCAAAATACGCACAGAGTGTAATCATCTCTAACAACAAAAGCATGACTTGTTTTTTTTCAAGTACACACACATCTATATACATATTCTGATTAAAACCTCCAATTCACCTGCAGGAAAAGCCCTTTTCTTTTGGCTCCACTGTTGATGCGCGCTTATTCTCTGAACAAACATTAAAACTAGAACTGTTACAGTTTTAAGCAAATCAAACACTAAAACGCCCATGTCGATCACGGGACAGCTCCTCTGCTCCAACAGGCGCCTCAGCTCGCACGACAGGTGGAGGTACACCTGAGATACACCTGTACAGGCTTGAACATGACAGGTGAACTGCGCGCGCTGACACCATGGGAAACTGGGGAGATGTTAATCGCGCTTGGCAGCCGTGAAGTTTGGGAACAACTTACCCACAAAAATATAGGAGCCATGATTAAAAGTGGTGCCTAAATGTTGCGACACCATATATTAAAATGGCAGGCAGCTGCAGGTCAGGGTCGTGCCATGTTTGACCTCGGCTTTTAGAAATCCATGCGTAAAACCGGGAAAAAGTGCAAAAATTACGTATTTCCCCCCAAAATATCAGAATCTGTATATTAGAAGCAAATAGTGTCAACGTGATCTTTGAGCAGGCTCGGAATGGAGAGTCAGGACGACTTACTTGTCATGCTCCTGTGACATCTCCGTCGGTCGAACTGGACTTTCTAGTTGGTTCTGAAAATCCGACCCGTCTTCTTTAAGGTGGAATACTCCTGGATGAGGGCCGCGGCAACAAACAAGGTGTCCCCTACTGAGAGAACGGGTTTTGTCGGCTTTTCTCGCTTGTTTTGGGGGCAATGTTGAGAAATTGAGGCCGGTTTTACCTGTGACAAGGCCGCGGATTGGATTACAGGTGGCAGCGGGGGCGTGGCCTGTTTGTCAATTACCCTGAGCCGGGCTGTGATTGGCTCAAGTGGTGGCCTATACCTGGAGCTGAGGAGAGACCAGTGGAAAGCTGCAGAGCAGGCTAAAATACAAAGCATTGATTTTTAGATTGGGTTGAAATTAGAGGAATTATATTTCAATTAGATTTTAACTTTTTGCAAAAAAAAAAAAAAAATTGATAAAAGGTAATTAAAGCTCATGTGGAGCAGAGTACCTGATTAATTTAGCCCCAAAATGTCTTAGATTAATGTCATATGATAATTGTCTGATATATTTGTTGAAAATTAGCTGATAGTAAACTTCTGTTGCATCATTCCATTATGATGTTTATAAATGATGCGGAATTTGGTAAAAACTGCTTTTATTGCATTATTTAAAAAAAAAAAAGGTTTCAAAACATCCCATTTTTGTTCTGGTTTAAAAACAACACAAAATTGCACATTCTCAATAAAAATATGTGGAATTTAGCTGATTTCATATTTCATTTTATTTCCTTATAAAATCATGTGAATTCTTTTTCATATAAACATATCTTAATGTGATAAAGCATTTTTGTAAATCTGGTTTGCTCTATCTTGACCAGGATTCAAAAAGAAAAGAAAAGCAAAGAAATGTTGATTTTAATTGTGGTGACATAAAAACAAACTAAAATAGATACAATATCATTTTCTTATAGATAAAAAAGCTGTTTTGGGTTGCAATTTTTTCAGCTACATAGACAAGTAAACAAATACAAGTTAGTTTGATCTCAGACGACATTGTCGTTGTTCTAAATATTAAATGACGGGGAAAAGAAAGCCTTTTCCAGATGTAGATCAGAACATTGAAAGAAACTCTATGAGGTCCACCAGGTTCTAAAATGATTCATCTTTAACCTCAAGGGACAAAAACAAACAATAAATCCAACCATGTCATTTTTCATTAAACACAATGTGTGTCAAAAATTAAGTTGATCTATGATTCAGTCGTTTGTTGAACGTCAGTAACTCTCAGGAGTTGTTTTCTGTTCTGATTTGCTGTGTTTGGGATCATGACCCAGTTTGGTCTAAGCTTTATTGGAGCTGTAAAACCAGCCCAAATCATCACCCCTCCACCACCGTGCCTGACAGTTCAGGTGTTTGTGTGTTTGGTTTTCACCTGGATTATGACCCGCACGTCTCTGCTTTAGTCTCATCTCCTGATGTGCTAAATAAATCCACTCATACACTAAAATGTTCACATCCACTCCTTTTTTTTCCCCAATACAACCAGTTTGACATGTGGATTCCCCCTCTTGGTTTTGGGTCACTTTTTCCCCTGTAGCTCTTTTAACAGGTTTAAACTACAACACAAAATGTTGTTTGCTCTTTTCAGGAGGACAGATAACCATCAGGCAGCACATCTGCAGGCAAATTAGCCCTGAAAATTGTCAGAATCATTTTGAGTGTGAAATGACATGATGAATTAGCATGCAACCAAATCAGGGGCTGCAAAGAGCGAGCACTTTTTCAACGGCTGTGTCCCACCTTAGCGTGAGCAGGAGGGTTTGACTGACACTGGAAGTTTGAAACATAAATTAAAGATCTGTAATCTCCCGTCTTTCCTATCTGTCTTGGTTTGACACTCTTCTTAACCACATTAAAAGAGAAACTTTGCGATAAAACAGATCTCTGAGTGAAAACAAGCAGCTTAGTCGGAGCTTAAAAGATGCCATCAGCTTTGTTCCAAGTTTCTCCTGACGCAGACAGAACACGATGGTAAAGCCCCCACACCTCCCCCCATGCCTCTGAAACACACATGTGGACACCACCTCCTCCTCCTCTTCCTGGATCCTGGTTCTCTGTTGGTTCATCCCGGTGGAGGGACACCTGCCTCCATTGGATCTTGTTTGCACTGAGGACATGGGATAATACAGGGAAGGAGGGATACAAGGATATGTGTGTTTTGTGTGTGAGAGAGAGAGATGGGAGGTTACGTAGCAGGTTGATGGTGGACATGCAGACTCAGCAGAGCTCATGGAGGGGTAACAAAGAAAAAGAAGAAGCTTGGGACTAAATCCAAAGATAGTCCATGACGTTCTCAAATATGTCAATAAGCAAAGCAACTGCAGCTCAGTGATAATTGCTTAAAGTAGTTGGAAGCTGATAAAAAGTCAACATTTCTCTGTTTTCATTCTGAGGAGAAATTGCATGTAGATTAACTGTTTTAACTAAAACATTTCATTATATAAATTCAGAGGTGCCTTTTCCCAAAGAAGATGAGTGAATTGTGCACATTTCTCAACCATGGGATGCAAATTTGAGATTCATTTTTTTCAATCAATCCTTGCTCAAGACCTGCATGACTCTGACCTTTGTGCTTTTAAAGACAGACAAGTTACCTGGACCACTTTCTTCCACTTTAATGAAATGACTAAAATTAGAAACACCTTGTCTTAAAATTATGCAGAAAAACTGCTCCATGCATTTATTGAAGTGGAGTGAAGTAAAGTTTATTGTCAATCAAACCAAGCAATAGTACATTACACAGAGGACTGAAATTGCATTTCTCCAAAACTCCCATGTGCAGTATTAAAAACAAGATTAACACACAACTAAGCATAAAACCTGAAGCATAAGCTGAGCATAAAACACCACAAAGCTAATAAATTGCTATTGCTTCTAGATTGGACTATTGTGATTTTTATATATCTAGGTGTGCAAAAAAAAAAACCTCCTGGAAAAGTTTTCAATTGATCCAAAATGTTGCTGCCAGAGTTTTAATGAGAGTTGGGAGAGATCATCTCTCTCCAGTTTTAGCTTCTCTCCTGTGGATCCCTGTCAGATTCAAACTTGAATTCAAAATCTTACGTCTAACATACAAACCTCTCAGCAACCCAGCTCCATTTTATATTAAAAATGTTATTGTTCCATATTTCCCTAACAGAGTACTTAAACTTTAGACTGCTGGTTTACTTGTGGTTTCTAGAGTTTCTAAAAGTAGAACAGGAGGCAGAGCGTCCAGGTTCTGTCCGTGATGCTGACACCCTGTCTACTGTACTTTTATGACTTGGCTTAATTTTCCTTTTTGAAAAATCCTATAGTTAGGGTTGGCTTGGGTTTCCTGAGCTATCCTTTATATTCTGCTGTAAGTTTAGACTGCTGTAGGACAGACTGACCACATATTCTCTCTGATGCTGCTCTCTTTACTTGCTCTACTATTCAGGTTTGTATTTTTTTTTTTTTTATTATTTCTGTCATTAACATGGCCTATAGAAACTATACACCTGGACTATAGAGACTACATCTGGACCTTATAAACTACACATGAACCATAAAAACTACACATGGACCATAGAAACTATAGATTCTATGGTCCATGTGTAGTTTCTGTGGTCCAGGTGTAGTTTTTATGGTCCATGTGTAGTTTCTATGGTCCATGTGTTGTTTCTATGGTCCATGTGTAGTTTTTATGGTCCATGTGTAGCTTCTATGGTCCAGGTGTAGTTTTTATGGTCCATGTGTAGTTTCTATGGTCCATGTGTAGTTTTTATAGTCCATGTGTTGTTTCTATGGTCCATGTGTAGTTTTTATAGTCCATGTGTAGTTTCTATGGTCCATGTGTAGTTTTTATGGTCCATGTGTAGTTTATAAGGTCCAGGTGTAGTTTCTATGGTCCAGGTGTAGTTTCTATGGTCCATGTGTAGTTTCTATGGTCCAGGTGTAGTTTCTATGGTCCAGGTGTAGTTTCTATGGTCCAGGTGTATATTTATAATTGTATTTATTGTTGATCTTCACAACATGTTTGTGGAAGTGTACCATGACATGAACAAAGAAGATTTCTGAGGACTTCAGAAAAAGAGTTGTTGATGCTCATCAGGCTGGAAAATGTTACAAAACCATTTGTAAAGAGTTTGGACTCCACCAATCCACTGTCAGACAGATTGTGTACAAATGGAGGAAGTTCAAGAACATTGTTGAGTGGTGGACCAACAAAGATCCTTCCAAGGCGTGGAAAAGTCAGCGAGGTCACAAAGGAGCCCAGGGTAACTTCTAACAACTGAAGGTCTCTCTCACATTGACTAATGTTGATGTTCATGAGTCCACCATCAGGAGAACACTGAACAACAATGGTGTGGGTTGAAGGAGAAAGCTGCTCTCCAAAAAGAACATTGCTGCTCGTCTGCAGTTCACTAAAGATCTCGTGGACAAACCAGAAGGCCGTTGGAAGAATGTTTTATGGACGGATGAGACCAAAGTAGAACTTTTTGGTTTAAATGAAAAGTTTAATGTTTGGAGAAAATAAAACGCTGCATTCCTGCATAAGAACCTTATCCCATCTGTGAAACATGGTGGTGGTGGTATCATGGTTTGGACCAGCTTTGCTGCATCTGGGTCAGGACGGCTTGCCATCACTGACGGAACAATGAATTCTGAATAATATCATAATTCTACAGGAACATGTCAGAACATCTGTCCATGAACTGAATCTCAAGAGAAGGTGAGTCATGCAGCAACACAACGACCCTAAACACACAAGTTGTTCTTCCAAACAACGGTTCAAGAAGAATAAAGTTCATGTTGTGGAATGGCCAAGTCAAAGTTCTGCCCTTAATCCAATCCAGATGTTGTGGAAGGACCTGAAGCAGCTGTTAATGTGAGAAAACCGCCAACATCCAGAGCTGAAGCTCTTCTGTGACACCAGATACTGAAAGCAAAGGTTCACATACTTTTGCCACTCGCTAATATGTAAT